CATATTACAAATGACGAGTTTCAATTTTAACTAATGCAAACATGAAGCTTTTTTCTTTCTTTTCTATTTTAAATTTATCACAGCATTATCATACTTTGTAAAAAAAGATCATTAGAGTGCATTAAGTGCTGTTTATAACTAATGAAAAAATAACTAGATTACACCGATCATATTTTTATATCACTAGTTATTTCAAATGACAAGTTTCACTTAACATAAAGCTTTTTTTATCTACTTTAAATTTATCACAGCATTATCGTACTTTGTGAAAAAAGCACAGTAAGTGCTTTTGCTTTTAACATTACTAGTTTAGCTAGTTTTTTTTAGATATGGAGGCCTATTCTGTAACTGATGTGTTAATTTATAACAGCATGTTAAAAAATAACACCCTGTTAAATCTTAAATTGGTATTCTGTAAATCAAAATTATCTTAAAATTTAACCGTCATATGTTAATTTATACTGTTAAAATTAAAATTTTGAAGGGTGCTAAGCGCATACTTTTAAAAAATTAACAGGGGTGTTAAATGATTGTTAAACTAAAATGGCAGCAGTTGCAGGGTTTTTATTCTTACAAAATGAAGAAGAAGAGGAGAAGACAACATACCGTCTTCAAAATAGTTGTATATTTGTCGCAATAACAATGTTATTAACTTTTGTAGTCGTTGCATGCGATTAATTAATAGAAACTTGCTTGATGCTGCAAATCCATTCAACTGGCAGGATGTTAAATTTTTTTAAATTGTTTCGTTTGAATAAAGAAGCGGCTCAGTGTTTAATTAATGAAATTTAGCTTCATGTAAACGCCGGCTTGCACCATGCTGCTATATCTAACCATCTTAAAGGACTTTGCGCTCTACATTTTTTTGGTCATGGGAGTTATCAACTTGATGCAGGCAGTGGTGGCAATTTTGGACTTAGTTAACCTTCGGTCTATAGGTGTATTTTCCAGGTTACTGAAATCGTATCGGCGCATTTAATAAACCTTTGCATAAAATTTCCTCAAACAGATTAAGAAATAAATAATAAAAAACGAATATTTATTCAAAAATATGACGGCACACATGTAGCAATTTGAACAGGGGAATTATGCGCAAGAAAAGACTGACAAGACGTCAACTTTACTTTTGTCAGTTGCCGTCTAGATATTTAATTTAAATTGTCGCGTTTAATAGTTTTTCAAAAGATGAATATCAACACAAAAGTAAAAAACAATTAATAATACTGTAGTTTTGATGTTTAAAAGTATTTATATAGTGAGAATAAAGTTAAATTAGCTATTTTCAAAAGTATTGCGATGTGGCAACAATGCTTCTTTTAACAGCCTTGTTATAAAAATTACTATAACAGAAGTGTTAAAATTGTTGTGTACTGAATAAGAATTTGTGTTAAATTTTTAACAGGCTTGTTATAATTTAACATTTAACACGACTGTTATTTTTAACACAAAAAGTGCAGAATAGGCGTCATGGTGCTCTTAACAAAAAACAGTTCATTAGTTGTTATATTTTATAACCAGTTTATAACTAGTGAAAAAATATTTTCAGTTGAAAATAATGCAAACATTAAGCTTTTTTTTCTACTTTAAATTTATTACAGCAATATCATACTTTGTGAAAAATCGCATATTTTTTCTTTGAATCATAGTTTTCTTTAAAATTTTATCATACTTACATGATAAGTACAGATTTATATATATATATATATATTATTCTGTCATATATATATATGATATATATATGACAGAATAATACATAATATTTCATTTTTTGATAATATTTATAGAAATAAGGTCTTATCGCGATAAAACACAAATGATAACTAATTTATGGAAGCTCAATTTTTTGTATTGAAGAGAGATTTAGAAAGGTTTTATTTATTTAATGTGAAAAGAAGTTTATTATTATAATTTGTTTTGAATTTTTTTGACATAAAAAACAACTTTGTGGGCAAAAAATATTTACTCTAATTCCCTTTTAAAACCATTAACCAACCAGAAAATGCAAATCACGCCAACTTGTAAAAATGAAACGTGGGTAACGCCACTAGACGCATTTTCCCGTAGTCATATTTCATTAAAACCCTGTTTGCAGCTTTAAATTCAAATAGGTACTCTCATTTAAATAAAAAAAAAAGGAAACGAACAAATGACAACCCGCATTTTTATCTTTTAATTTGTTTGTTGGCGTTTTATCACTGTCCGATTAAACGAGAAATGAACTGTTATTCGATTAGTGAGTACAAAAGACCAACGAGAATAATTAATCTTACAAGTTTTTTTAGTAAGATGAAAAATTTTTAATTTCGAAATCGTCGGAAGCAAACACGTGTTTTCGGCCAATGTACATAAATCAAACCAAAGTTCACAGCTAATTACCACAAGTCTGTCTTTTCATCGATTTTCTTATCTCGAATTTTAATAATGTTCCAACTTGATTAAACTTGAAAAGTCAAGATGCGAATGAGGACAATAGACAATCGATTTGCAACTGTCTTAAGGTGTCTCAAATTGCTCTATTTATAGTGAAACGTAGTGGTGGGGGCGCTAACCCCAAATTGCAGGTTTCTGTAATCGAAATTTTATATTCGGGGCGTTCCATCATCATTTTCAATTTTGTAAAAGGACAGGCCATCAATCTAAAACCGGCGACACTCTTCATCAACACTATTTTCTGATAAGCGATACGAATTTTGTCATTTCAAAGTTTCCAGGTCATAATTTGAAATTATGACGAGTCGTTTCTTTGTTTTTATTTTTGTTGAGACGCTTTTAATTAATGCGAGAGAATCTTCCTTAATCTCGATCACTTGTGACAGTTGGAATTAAGTTTATTAAATTTTAAAAAATTTAACAAAATGCGTTATGAAACACCTTTGAACTACCTCGAAAGATGATTTATTCACTCTAACAAACTTCTTTACACCAGTTATATATCAAAAGCAGAGAGTAGCCTCGAGGGACTTGCGTAACTCCATGATGGGATGTAAAGTTATTTAAAAACAACACTTGCGGTTGATTTTTTTTAGAAAAGCATTAGAGAGAGCATCGGTGTGTTAAATTGCTCCTACCTGGGATTATAAAACCCCATTGTTGGGAAAAAATCAACTGTCACACTGACCGATTTCTGAAAATCGATGTCGCCGAACTTGTGGATTTTTTATGCAGAATGAAAATTTTATACCGGTTTTCGGACTAAAAGTTGCCTTCAGCCATAATTTATATTACAAATAAAGAATTTATAAATTTTAAAAGACGCATAACTTTTTGTTAAAACTTGTAATTAATAAAACTAATAAACAAACACAAATATGTTGATTTTAATTAAATTTAGTTGTCCTAAAACGTACATGCATTTACATTTATGCGAAATAATATAAAGCATGTGTGGTAAAAATGTTGAATTTTGGATTCATTGTAATATAAATGTAATAAATGAATTAATAATTAACGCTGAACTGCACTTTTCACATTTGTTTTGGACGCTTGTTAACAACACCAAAATAGATCATCTATACAGGGTGATTCTTAAATAGACCGACAAAATTTTATCCTTGGTGAGAACATGCTGGAAAAAATATTTAAAAAATTTTCTCTTTAAACTTTCTCTAAATAAAATTTATTAAAGTTATTCTCGAGGTAAAGCGTACGCCACTGATGTGTTCGTAGATAGTATTGGCACAGGTAGTGAAAACCGTGGTATTAATTTGATGAAAATGTACTTGATCATTGCAACAATTCATAAACGCCGTAAGTAACACGGATCAAGGGAGTTTTGCCTCTACAAGATATAAACGTAAAAAGGGTACAGTTTGTCCCCATTTATCCTTGGGAAGCTGTGATAAAATTTTGTCGGTCTATTTAAGAATCACCCTGTATTTATGTAACACAGTATACAAGTTTCAAATTGCTGTGGACATTTTTATGCACATAATTCACGACAATTTGGAATTTTTTATAATGTGTTTGAAGTGTGTGATTTTTACTGCAATTAGAAGCAGTTTTTACGTATTTTTTATGATATTTTACATTAAAATGTGTGTAAATTTACTGGTTGTCGTCACATTTTACATTTTTCTTCAATGCAGTTAGTTGATTTCCCACATCAATTTGAAATTTGATTTTTTTTATACAACCAAATATAACAACATTACAATGATGTAAATTTATACAATATTGTCTTTACATTTACTATTTTTTAAACCACAAAAACTGTGAATAGACTTTATTTTTTATATAAAACATTACAATAATATAACACTATTATGTAGATGTAAATTTCTATAATGTTCTTTTACTGATATATTATATTCCAAAATGTCTTACACTAGTGGATGTAATTTTACACAATATTTACATTACATTCATATTTTTACCAAATTCTCTATTTTGTGTTTATTTTCCTTGAAATATTATAGCCTGATTGCGTAGAAGATGGTTTATAGGACACAGGGAAATAAAACATTAAATTCGTCGCAACGTTTCGATACTTTAATTGTATCTTCTTCAGGCAAAGAATTCTATAGTTGCTGTAAAATTATCTTTACACATAAATTTTAAAAACAGATTTTTTTTTAATGGTGGATGTTACACAATATTCACGTTACATTTTACATTTTTACCTTATTTGAGCAAATAGTATTTATTTCTAGTTGGTGTGAAAATTTGTAATATAATTTTTTATATAATACGTTACAATAATGGATGTAATTTTACACAATTTTGACGTTACACTCACATTTATATCTTATTTCAGCGACTAGTATTTGTTTCTAGTTGTTGTGAACATATTTTTTTAATAATACATTAAAATAACGGATGTAATTTTACACAATAATGACTTTACACATATTTTTACCAAATTTCGAATAGTATTCGTTTCTAGTTGTTGTAAAATTATCTTTGCACATAAGTTTGAAGTACAGATTTTTTTAAATTGTCAATAGTAGATGTAAATTTACACAATATCGACGTTACATTACATTTTATTCTTTTTTTTTCAGCGGCCAATTTCCGTGGAGGAGACGCGGCACCGAAAGTCTGGGCTCCTCCCCCGGTTTGCCCCGGAAGTTGATCACGCAAAGTAGCGAAACGTCGCATACCGCTCCCGTGACGGTAAGTTTCACTTACTTCCTTTTTTCATAAAATCCAGTTTTATAATAAAGCGTGAGTTTATTAAAATGCACCAGTTGCATGTCGTACAGTGTAAATATTTAAAAATTGAATTTGCGGCCCGATAAACTCGGGATAAAATTGAAATGGGATTTGTGTCGACGACGGGCTACTTTATAATCCTGGGAGTGCTTTAAGGGAAAAGTTCGAGACGAATTTTACAATGGGATTAAGGAAAATGAAAAATGCAAATATTGGGATTTGGGCGTTTTTTTATAAATTTATCTAGTGTGTATGTGTCAAATAAAGTAGGTGATAAATTCACTTCATGTCGTGCACCTCAATTTACGTACTTGCTCGAGAAAATTGCTTTTTCCTCACTATCAAAGTTTATTTGACAGTTTTGGTCATTCAATTAATTAAAAAATTTATTTATAAGGGTAAAGAAAGGGTCCGAAAGCGGCACCGTGTGGTGCATCCCCACCCTGTGCATTGTTTCAAAACGTCACAACCAGCCGACTCGATTTATTGTCGGTGGAAATGACAGTGGTCACTAGATTGGGGTCATAAATCTGTCCGTTACATTTCGTATGGAAATTGTAGAAACGAAAAGCTCAGATTCAATAAGGTTTTGTGGCGGGCGAAAGTTCTTAACAAAAAATTATGTAAAATTGCTATAATCGTGTGAATTAATCAAACAATTTTTGTCAAATGATACAGTAGGCTGTGAGAGTTGAAAGTGTGTAAACAAGACAAATAAATAATGAAATACAATTTTTTACTTTTATTTAAACCTTGACCTGCCCAACCCAGGACTCGAGAGTCTAACATAAAAATATTATTATTATTATTAAAGTGCACAAAAAAAATTATAATTTAAATTGTTTAAAGAATAGCAAAAGAAAAATCAATATTAGAAGAAAAAACTGGATTCTAGAGTATCAAAAAAATTAGTTAAACAGAGTGTCTGAATTTTGACAAAAATAATAAAAAATTCAATAATGTTTTGACTTTAATTACTTATCTATTTAAAGACTCTTAAACTCTAAAAAAACTTAGAAGAATTTTTTTAAGATTTTTTTACTTTTTGGGAAAAATTCTCGGAAAGATAAAAATTTAGACCCAAAACAACGACAGTGGCCTACATTTTTAAAGATTTTGATTGAAAATCATTAAATGAAAGAATTTTTATATTCAATCATTAAAAGAAATGTCAAGCTGTAAAAAACAGCCAGGGATATACAAAAATTTTCTACGAGAAAACTATTAAGGGACTATACAGTGTGTTAAAAAAAAGATTGTAAAATATATAAGTAGATAATAGTATGGACCACACTAAACAAAATTTTTTTAACAAACATGGGTTCACAAAGTAACGGTTTCGTAGATATCTCCGAAACCATTACTTTGATGACCCATGTTCAGTAAAATACTTTTTTGTTTGTATTGGTCCATACTATTATCTCCTGAAATATTTTACAATCTTTTTTAACACTCTGTAGAATTATATAATAACATTAAAGGACTATAATTTCGCTTTGCACAATCTTTTCTAATAATAAAAAAATACTTTAGACTTTAATTGTCAGCAATCGTAAAGTACAGTTAAAAATATGTGAACAACTGCTAATTAATGGACTCTAGATTTATAACAAAATGCTTGAAGAATTTTTTGATAGAAACTTCACAGGACCTCTACTCTTTTAATAAAAAAACTAAATAAAATTTAGATTTTTTGATGTAAAATGTTAAACTGTTAAGACAGTCAGGGGTTGCAAAAAAACTGGGAGGCAATGATTTTCTATAATAAAACTACTATCAGCCTACCTTAGTTTTAGTTAAGAAGAGTTTTTATAATGAGAAAAAGATATTTTTAAAATTCCAATCAATCAACGCAATATATCGAATCTTAAAACACTGTTAGGGTTGTACAAAAATCTAAAACAACAAAATAAATGGAAATGTTTAAAAAATGTTAAGTTATGAAAACCTTATAGAGACTTACTTTTATAATAAAATAGTATATTAAATAACAAAAGTCGAAATTTGATGAAGTCACCTTTTAACACATGATGACGTCGCGTTCTTGAATATGTCTATTAAAGAATCAAAATAGAGGCAAATTACAAAAAAAAATACGAGACAGTCAGGAGTATACAAAAGATTGTTCACAATACTAGGAGTATACAAAACAATTCCTGAACGGGTTTCTACCACGAATAAAAAGTTTAAAAACATTTTAGTCTCTAAAATGAAAGTTTAATCAAAAACCACTCTCGAAAGGTGTTTTCCCATGATAATCTTTTCCTGAAATCGAAGATAAGCCGTCCTCGATCGATAAGTGACTAATTTTTTCCGTGTTTTTATTGTTTAAAGATGCACGTACGTTGCTACTTACCTAAATACATAATTTGATCGTCGTGCTATCCGTTTTAGCGGTCCGCGAAAGGTTCACAGTGTTTTTCATTGGTGTTGTATTATGTTTCATACGACTCTTCTCCAAAATAACTGTCATCGCGAACAAGAATGATCATCTATTATTGCGTAAGTTTGAAAATTTTAAGTGCTAGGAGTGAGAGTGAAAAGGTGTGAGGATCGAAACATTGTAATTGTCAAAATTAAGTGCTGATTTTGCTACAACAAGAATTAGGTCTAAGTTAACTTTGCGAGGATAAATAGCAACAATCACGGAAAGTGGGAACGATTTGTTTTCGTGATATGGGTTAAGACGGGCCGGTAATGGAATTTCGTCGAAATGGCTAATGACTTCCGATTTTCAGCGAGTAAAATATAACGAGTGGTCGGAAAAGAAGTGATTTTTTCGCACGTGTTTGGTCGCGATGTCATTGACCGATTTATGTGCTTTGGTAATTTTTGTAATTGAGAATTTATAGTGTCGGTGATGAAAATGGTGCGTTGATGTCATTTCAGCCCACTTTCGCCTATTTAAGGTTGTGATAAAATAACTGTTGACTGGAGAATTGGATTTTTTTTTATTTTTTGTCCATAAAATTTTTATTAATTCTGACCTGAATTGATATATCAAGATTTATAGCTATCTTCTAAAAAGGAGTTTTTAAAAAGTCTTAAAATTTTAACATTATTATTCTTGTTATCTCAATTCAAAATTTTATTAATAACATTTTTATCTCCCAAGATCTTTAATTTTGTAAATACTCAGGATCCTAAATTGTTTTTCATGTTGAAATCCTTGAAAATTAGTTCAAAGTGCTATTTTTTTCTTAAAATTTGGAATTTTCGCAAGCTTTTAAGCATTTTCTTCATTTTTTCAAATATTGTTTTTTTAACTTAAATTTTCTAAACATCTTGAATAAAAAATCTTCAATTTAAGAAGTTTTTTAACTTTAATATTTTTTTTATCTTGATATCTACAATTCTTACATTTGTAGTTTTTTCAAAATTTTAATATCTTTTACTTGTACTAAATTTCTTATCTTAGTATTCTCCGTGGAGGGATAAACAACTGGAGAGGGAAGTTCTTTTTCGAATGAGCTGATACCATGGGCGTCTCATTGTGTCCGTCTTTTCCACTTTTTTTTTTCATTTTTCTATTTATTAACTTTGTTTTACAGAGTTTTTTTTAATAATCTGCCTAGTTTTTAAATATTAGTGTTAATTGTTAATAGTGTTAATCGGTGGTGTATATTATTTAGTTAAGTGAATGTAAAAAATCATTGACTACACCACTGCATCCAAATTGGTAGTGGGGGAAATAGCTTGAGCGCACACTTTTGAAAAGGATCATAAAAGGTGTTTGCTCATGGAACACGTTTTCAGTGCTTATGCTCCCTCCAATTGTCTCTCCCTCCACGGTATTCTCTTAACTTGAGTCTTCTCCATTTGGAATCAAATTTTTATAACAAGGTCTTTCATTTCTTTCATTCAATAAAGTATGGAAATTTTATCTCAAGATTTAGAATTCAGTTTTTATTTATTGGAGATTGTGATTTTTGTATAATGTTGTTGTTTTGTCAAGAACTTAAATAACTTTTAATAATTATCTTACATTCTGTGATTTTTTAATTTCTTGAATCTTAAAGTTACTCTTGAGTTTGTGTTTTAAAGATTTCGATTTTGTAAACTACATTATTTACTTTGAAATCAAATTTTTACTTCAAGATTCTTAATTTTGGAGACCTCAGTTGTTCAAATCTTAACTTTGTGTAATGGAGATCTTGATTTTTATATAACGTTTGCTCAAGTTTTAAGATTTTTTGAAGATCATCCCAAATTTTGGTATCGTTTCTTTAGATCTTGATTTTTTGATCATCGTTTACTTATTTATAAAAAAATTTCCACCTCAAGATCTTGAATTTGGAAGATCTTAATTGTTCAAATTTTAATCTTGTGAATCTGCAATTTTGATTTTTATATAACTTTTTCAGAATTTTAGTTTTCAGATTTTTTTAAAGATTGTTTATAAGATCATTCAGAGTTTGGGTATCTTTGTTTACATAGATTTTTAAATCATTATTTACTTTGTAATCAAATTTTTATCTATGTTAGTGACCTCAGTTGTTCAAATCTTAATCTTGTGTACCTAAAAGAGATCTTGATATTTATATAACGTTTTCCCAAGTTTTAAGATTATTCAAAATTTTGGTATCGTTTCTTGGGATCTTCATTTTTGATCATCATTTACTTATTTATAATCAAATTTCCACATCAAGAACTTAAATTTGGAAGATCTTAATCGTTCAAATCTTCGTCTTGTGTAACGGCGATCTTGATATAACTTTTTTGCAATTTTAGATTTAAGATTTTTTAGTAAGATTATTCATAGTTTGGATATCTTTGTTTACATAGAGTTTTAAATCATTATTTACTTTGTAATCAAATTTTCATGTCAATTTTTTTAATTTTGAAGACTGAGTATTTAAACCTCAACAATCGCTATAAAATATCTCAAGATTTAGAATTCTCCTCTCCTTAATAAAAATCTTGATCTTCATGTAACGTTTTATCAAAAACTTGAGCTTTTTACTTCAGGTCCTAAGTTATCGAATCATGTCATTTAAGATATTAAAGGAGTTTTTTACAAATCTTAAGATCTTAAATAATTTTTTTGAAGTCTGTTTCTATTAAAATTTTGGCTTTAAAATATTTTAACACTAAAATAATGCAATTAGGAGACAATTAAAACGCACTCAACGACTTATTTATTTATGTTCCTCAAATTGCAGTGAAATTCTAAATTGAAATGTAGTCTATTGCAAATCACTTTATTTTTTGCAATTCCTCACCGAAATTAGTTAAATTACAGACGCAATTAATTCAATTTCCGTCCGGAATGAAATTCCAAACTCCTTCCTAAAGCTCGGTTTCTCCCTAATAACAATAAATTTATCGATCGACCAAACTAAGTACATTAGTGGTTTCAACCATAAACTTACTAGACTCCAAAAAACCGCTATAATCATCTTCAAATTGCAAATAATAAAATTTTTAATAATTTTAGGTCGTGTCTGCACGACGTGGACAGCCCATTTTTCGAAAATATCGAAGGTGTGAACAATTGTAAAATACCCTATTTTGACCACAATCGCTTATCGCACCTCAATATCCCAGTTAAAATGTTTACATTGACCTAAACCCTGGATCAGTTTAATTAGAAGCTCTAGAAACCTGGAAAGCAATACAATGTGTGCCCACTCCTGTGTATAGATATTAGATAAACATCATTATATTTGCTTCCGGAAATCCGATTTGTTCCCAAAATAATAAATCAAATCCCTTAGGAAATAGTCCATGTCTATACTTTCCTCACCGATGAGATACACCCAGTCGGGTGATTTGAGTATAGTCATTTTAACTGGGACTTCCCCCGCTTTTGAAGCGTAAATATCAAGCTTTAACTAGGTCGAAACGGTGCAGCATGAATCCTCGCGTGATTTTAATGTGCAAGAATAATTTTTTTGTGTTTTTTATTTGATTTTATTTTCGTTTCGTTGGCAGCCTCTACACGAAGGAAGTCGTCGGAGATCCCCCTTGGGTGGCGTCGGGCGAAGGGCGAAAGCCTCGTCAACTCCACAACTGTTAGAAGCGCCAACTTCGGAAAACAGGTGAGGAGGAAATTTGACTAAATTGAGGTGTTGCTGACGTGTGGGAGGGTCTGTCTGTGTTTGTAGGAAATGGAGCGAAAATACAGAACAAACGAACGAAACCCGAGTCAATACGCAGACCAAGGAACAGACTCCACGCAGGAATTTACCCAGTGAGTCAAATGTTTATTCTTTAGGAGTGATTTTGGCCAATAGAAATGCTTGATTTTTGGAGGTGGTTGGATTTGCATGCTGATTGGATATTTTGGGCCAATTTTCATTGTTATCTTAAGTGTTTTTCGAAAATTTGGAATACTTATCATACATATCTTAAGATTTGTAATTTTAATCAATATTGCCTAATCTTCCTCAAGTTTGTTTTGTCTTAGTTTCATTTATTTTTCATTATCTTTTTTTATTTGAAAACCCCGATATCAATATTTCATAATTGTCTTTCATTGTTTTATTTTGTCCCTTATTTTAAAGATCTAGAGATTTCAAGATCGCTTTTTTTCATATTTATTGTTTCAAGACAGTTTTTTTACAAGCTTTATTTCTCAATTGCTTAAATGTTGAATTTTTTCAACTTGTTTAAAGCTTCAGAAATCGTGTTTTTAAAATGATTTTAATTTTTATCACAAGAACTTTGTTTTTCTATTTCGGTGTTAGAATAAGTCTATTCCAGCACCCAAATGACGTCATTTGAGTGATGGAATAAGTCGTTCGCGGTAATTTTATTTTAGTGACGGACTATCTTCACAATTCATTTTGAAATGTGAAAATATGAATTATTTTTATTTTGTACAGCCGCCTAAAAGTATTCCACATACCTAAATGTCGCCAACCGTCGCAAAATTCTCTAGAAAAAAAATTAAATTTTCGTTTTTTAATTTATAAAATGATATAAAGCGGCAAAATAGAAAAAATAGGATAAAGCACTTGTTGCAGAAGGTTCTTCAAGCACTCATTTGTTCCCCAACTCGCAGCTACGCGTCTCGTTTCGTAATTTCAAATTTGTTCTTGAATAAATACCTTCTGCAACTTGTACTTTAATATACTATTCTTTCATAAGACCATAGAGTGTTTTTGCAATATTTTTACATTCTTTTTCAAAGATTTGTCAGAATCTTGAGTTTCAAGATCTCTAAATCTTAATTCCAGTTGTTTGTTTTCCTCAAGATCTTAACATCTCTCAAGATTTATGACAATTGGTTTTGGGTGTTTTACGCGAAGTCTTAATTTGTATTTCAAGATAGTTTTTTTACAAAGAACAATAACTTTATTTCTCAGTTGCTTATATCTTGATTTTTTTAAGAGCTTGAATATTTATATGAATCTTTGCAACTTTTTAAAGCTTCGAAAGTTATATTTTAAATTAAATTAAATCTTGATTTTTATTAGGAGGTCTTGAAGTAAGAGCTTGAATATTTAAATGAATTTTTGCAACTTTTGTAACTTCAGAAATGATAGTTTAAATAGTAATCTTGATTTTTTATTGCTGGATCTATAAGGTCGTATCATATCATGCCAGATTTTAAGATTTTTACAAAGTTTTGACCTCGGTTTTGACATAATCTTGAGATGTTTCAACATCTCTAAATTTTAATTCCAGTTATTTGTTTTTCTTAAGACCTTAACAACCTCTCTCAAGATTTATGACGGTTGGATTTGGTTGTTTTACGCAAAATCTTAATGTGTGTTTCAAGACACTTTTTTTTACAAAGAACAATAGCTTTATTTCCCAGTTGCTTATATCTTGAATTTTTTAAGAACTTTTGTAAGCTTCAGAAATTATGTTTTAAATAATAATCTTGATTTTTATTACAGGGTCTTAAATTTTTACGACCTTGAATCTTTGAATCTTTGCAACTTTTTTTAGCTTCAGAAATCATATTTTAAATAATAATCTTTATTTTTTATTGCGAGATCTTTGTTTTTTTTCATAAGATCATAACATATTTTGCAATATTTTAAGATTTTTATAAAGTTTTAACCTCGGTTTTGACATAATCTTGAGATGTTTCAAGATTTCTAAATCTTAATTCCTTGAGACCTTAACAACCTCTCTCCTATGACGGTTGGTTTTGGGTGTTTTACGCAAAATCTTAATGTGTGTTTAAAGACAATTTATTTTAAAAACAAACAATAGCTTTATTTCTCAGTTGCTTATATCATGAATTTTTTAAGTGCTTGAATATTTATATGAATCTTTGCAACTTTTTTAAGCTTTATAAATCAGTTTTTAAATAATAATCTTTATTTTTTATTACGAGATTATCGTTTCTTTCATAAGATCGTAACGTGTTTTTGCAAGATTTAAGATTTTTACAGTCTTGACATAATCTTGAGATGTTTTCAAGATCACAAAATATTAATGTTTGTTTCAAGATAGTTGTTTTAGAAAAGCTTTATTTTTCATTTGCTCATAACTTGAGTTTTCAGGACCTTTTATATTCGTATGAATTTTTCCAATTTTTCAAAACTTTACAAATCATTTTTTAACAAGATCGTGTTTTTTATACAGGGTGTTCCGTCTAAATCCCACTTTAGAAGTATTGGGAGTTGCAATAATCGTATTTATTTGAAAATTGGTACATAGCCATAAACCATTAAGTCCTCCTAAATGAAAATATTTTCAAGATGGCTTATACCGGAAGTCGGTCTCTACATTCTTATTTTAAATAAAAAGGTATATTTTTTACTTCGTTTTTAGATTAATTGGGTTATTTTAAGGGAATTTTCATCAGCTTTCCCTATACCTAAATTTAGCCGTTTTTTGAAATATTTGGAGTTTTTCAAAAAATTTTGGATTTGCACCTTCCACTTTAAAAACCGGTAATTCTGCTATTTTTTAAATTTTGAATTCGTTTTTTTGGCGTTTGAAAGAGAAAGTTTAGATCTTTCTTTCGGTGTTTTAAAATTTTGAAAAAAAAATTAACAAACCATAAAATTTTAAGGTTAGTTTTGCAATAATTCAAATACCTATAACTCAATTTTTTCAAATGAAATACCCCAATTTTTATTTTACTAAATAGAAGAAAATTTAATTGTGCATTGATCTGTATTAACATTCCCTATACCTAAATTTAATAATTTTTAAGTTATGGTGACTTTTTGTTTAGACTGCCGAAAATCTGTTATTAGCCACATTCGTTTTCGTATAGTTTGCTATGGAAATAAAAAATGTCAAAATTGTTTCTCAATAAATGTCGACAGTGACTTATTATTTGACAAATAGTGCCAAAATATGGAGAGTCAAAGCTACTCAAACTTAGATTTAATTAATTTATTTTGTATTTAAGGAGAGTGTAAAAAAATTATGATATCGTTCATTAAACAAAAATAAACTTTTCTCACTTGTTAGCTTTAAAAAATGATTGCATGGTAGAACCTATCAATAATACCTATCCATATTTTGGCACTATTTGGCAAATAATAAGTCACTGTCGACGTTTACTGAGAAACAATTTTGACATTTTTTATTTCCATAGCAAACTATGTGAAAACGGGTATGGCTAGTAATAAATTTTCTGTAGTATTAAAAAAAAGTCCATAACTTGAAAATTATTAAATTTAGGTATAGGGAATGTTAATACAGATCAATGCACAATTAAATTCTCTTCTATTTAGTAAAATAAAAATTGGGGTATTTCATTTGAAAAAATTGAGTTATGAGTATTTGAATTATTACAAAAGTAACCTTAAAATTTTGGGATATGTTATTTTTTTTTTAATTTGAAAACACCAGGAAAAGGATTTATCTTTCTCTTTCAAACGCCAAAAAAAGGAATTTAAAATCTAAAAAAAATGGCAGAGTTACCGGTTTTTAAAGTGGAAGGTGCAAATCCAAATATTTCAAAAACGGCTAAATTTAGGTATAGGGAAAGCTGATGAAAACTCCCTTAAAATAACCCGATTAATCCAAAAACCCAGTAAAAATATACCTTTCCATTTAAAATAAGAAAGTTGAGACCGACTTCCGGTATAACCGGAAGTGCCGCCATCTTGAAAATATTTTTATTTAGGAGGACTTAATGGTTTATGGCTATGTACCAATTTTCAAATAAATACAATTATTCCAACTTCCAATACTTCTAAAGTGGGGTTTAGACGGAACAGCCTGTATAAGATTATAGCGTATTTTTGCTTAAGATCTAAGATTTTTTCAAAGATTTTGTGTTATCTAGTTGTTAGTTAGTTGTTTAAAGATCTAAAAATCGTAATTCCATTTTTTTGTTTTTCTCAAAATTTTGACATTTCTCACGATTATATACGTAACGGATGGTTTTAGTGTTTTACACAAATCTTAATTTTTGTTTCAAGATCTTTTTTTATTAAAATCTTAGCAGTTTTTAAGATTTTTATTAAGATGTTATGATTTTTTGGTAAATATTGGTAATGATTTCAAGTTTTTTTGACAAAACTTCTTCTTTCAGGTCACGATTTCGGATTTTTTTATGATCTTAAATTTTATTTTTTAAGTCTTCAAAATTTGAGGTGTTTTTGTGAAGAATTTTGATCTTGATTTACGGAAACATAAAAAACTTAATACTTGAGTCATTTTGTACGTCAAGATTGTTATTTTTACGTTTGCCAATTTCTTCAATCCTTTCTATTTTATGACGTGACGTCTTTCGCCGACCAAAATAAATAAAACTTCATTTCGTTTCGAATTTAATTTATTTTATGTTACGACAAAACTTACACTCAGTGAATAACCCCATTCTCGGCGTCTAAAACCCTCAGTAATTTCCAATACAAAACACATAAACATCCCCTAAACGAACAAAATGCAAGAAAAATCACCCGAAATCGCAAACCCACCTTTTAAAAAGATTTAAATTTAATTAAAAACGCCGCCATAAAAGTAAACTGCTGGTGCATTCCCAGTTCCAATGCAGGAAGCGCAATTTCGAACGCAAGCACGACCATAAAACATCACTAAATCCACCCTCTCTCTGATGCATTCATTATTCTGATTTTAGAAGTGCCACGAGGCACGTTTTAATATACAGGTTGAACTAAATTTATTGACCGAATCGCGTAAAATCAAGTATCCATGACAAAACACAGCGTTTATCTAATTTGATTGACCGTCTCGCTGCGCTCGTTCCACTCAAAAGGGCTATAACTGATTGTTTAAACGCAACAATGAAATCAAGTGGCCATTGCAAATCGTTTTACACGGCGTATGAATGGATATCATCGTTGTTTTAATCCTAAAAATGCGATAATTTCTTTTTTACAGCTACGACAAGTACCGAAAGTGTCCTCCAAAAGTTCCGAAAAACCTTTTCTCTCCGTTTCCACCCGAAAAAATCATCGAATCGAGACAGCTGTGACTTGGGCGAGGCTCTCTCCGAAATGCTTGCTTCCGAAGAGGAGTCACAAACAAAAGACGAACCGTCGGAATCCAAGAGCAGGTATTACAGAAATCTGTAACGTTGAGTGAAATATTACAGATTTGTGTCTAGGTTTGGTCCTTTAATTTGGCGTTCGAGTAAAGAAAGGAAAAAGTTGAATAAAGCGGCACGAAATGCGAAATGCAACAGCGGCGATAGCGGGATTCAAATCGAGGTAGGTTTCTGTGTTACCGACCGTGCGATTTTTTGGCGGTAGGTTTGAACACTGACACTTTTTAAGACAGTAACACTAATCTTGACAAATTTTTATTAGGCTGCGGCTAGAATAGCTTGGTAAGATATCTGTATAACGCATAATTTTTACAAGTTTTATTTCCATCGTGTGATTTTTCATCATCAGTGTTTTTATCGAACGAAAATTGGTCGATAAAAACGCTCCCTGTAATGATTTACCTATCATGTAGATTTTAGAACAACTGTGTACATATTTATGCTGGCGTTTCATTTTATTTGTTCAGTGAAGTTGTAGGATTTAAGCCAACGCCTGACCGTTTATGCAACCAAATATACGTCACTTGTATAAATAAATGAGTTGGCCGTGGGTCGAGAAATCAATTTCAATCAATTGAATTATTTATAAGCTTTCCTTAAAAATTATTTTTGCAATATATTTGACCCAAAAACAGAAGTGTGGAACAGAAGTGCATGTCGTAACATAGCACACTTGAGTTTGGCAAATTTCATGTAACTAAATTGCACAACATGCAACTTTACGATGCTTAAAGTTAATGACGTCTCTCGAATATACTGCAACGGAATTGCTAGTCGTTTGTTTTCGTAATGGAGGTCTGTGACCTATGTGAACCCTGACAGGTCACAAATTTGCAATTTTTTGAAAAAAATCCCGATTTTTTAGGTGAATTTTCAAGATTCGGGAATCTCAAGATTGTCAATTTTTAGCCAAAATCTTAAGATTTGTCTTTATTCTGCAAGTTATTTTTTTACTTTATATCAATAATTTCAAGATTTTGAAGTTTTGACTAAACTATTAAGATCAGTTCTTAAGATTTACATCTAGGTAAAGGTTTTGATATCAAAACTTGGAATCTCAAGATTCCCAACTTAATGAAGATTTAAATATTACGATTTCAAGACTACTTCTTCTTGTTCTTTATTATTTTGAGTTTGTATGAGATATTTTGGCAAATTTTCAAGATTCGGGAATCTCAAGATTGTCAATTTTTGGTCAAAATCTTAAGATTTTCGTTTACTTTGCAGATTATTTTTTTACTTTGTGGCAATTATTTCAAGATATAAAAATCTCAAGATTTTGAAATTTTGAGTAAAATATTAAGATCGGTTCTCAAGATTTTCGTTTGATTTGAAGGTTTTGATATCAAGACTGTATCATCGTCTCTTTTTGTTTTTCTATTTTAAGATCTGGGAATCTCAAGATTCCCAATTTAACATCGATTTTCAAGATTTGCGCTTATTCTGAAGATTTAAATACTACGATTTCAAAATTGCTTCTTCACGTTCTTATTATTTCGAGATTTATGAGATTTTTTAGCAAATTTTCACGAGTCGGGAATCTCAAGATTGTCAATTTTTGGTCAAAAAAAAAGTTTTGCGTTTTTTATGTAGAATGTTTATTTTTTGATTTGGTGTCAATTGTTTCGAGATATAAGAATCTCAAAATATTAAGATTGGTTTTCAAAAGTTAAAGACCTCGAAATTAAGACTGTCTCTTTTTCGTTCTTTTATTTTGAGTTCTTGGTATCTTAACATTCCTAATTTTTGACCAAAATTTTAAGATCGGTTTCCAAGATTTGCATTTATTCTGAAGATTTAAATAAATTACGATATTAACATTGCTTTTTAATCATATCTTAAGCTGATTTTCAACATAGGCATTTATTCTGAAAATTTAGTTTTTGTTTCAAAATTTTTTCTTAAAAACTTAAAAAAAACTTGTCTTAATGATCTTTTTTTTTTCAAGATTCAGTTTTAATTTATTTTAGATCTTAAGTTTTTTATCAACATTACGAGATTCTCGAGCAGTTATTTTTTGATCAATATTATAACGATTGCAAGATTTTTAGATCTCAAGAATTAATTTTTTTCTGAAAGCTTTAAACTTTAATCATGTTCTTGAATTCTTGAAATCTTTTTATTTGATTATTTGATTTTGTTTAATTATATTATCGTCTACCATTTGAGTTTTGAAACTGTTTTCGATAATGAAAATATAGAACTTTTAGTAAAAATAGTAGATTAAAAGTGACAATCACTTTTACTCCTAATAACATATACTATTTTATCTGCAAAGATTCATATGGAGAGAAAAGAGCAACACACCAATAATCAAGTAAATCACCTCAATAATCAGGACGCTTTGCCATAAAATCATAACAAACGTCACGCGTCAGTTTTGGAATTTGTGTTGAGATTTCGAAAGTGTTGATTGATTTAACTGGTGAATAACTGGTGTAGTTTATAGTGCAAAATGTCGAATGCTGATAATCTACCTTGTACCTCTCCAGAAAATGCTGAAAAAGCGAAAGAAACAACAGTGGTAAATGTCAAAGTAAGTGTCAAGTAAAAGTGAAAACGCCTAGGCCTAAAAACAGTGTTTTTACTCCTTGTCTGAAAAGTAAAACTTTTACCTGTGTCATTTAGTCATTAAAGTGGTCACTTTTGTGACGTTTGCGGATAAAATATTTTACTTTATTACAAGATCGATTTTTTATTTAAAATTGGTTATTCATAATTATGAAGAATGTTGTTTTTTATATAATGATTATTATTTTTATGTAGGGATATTGAAATAGTATATTATAATACTAGTTTATAAGCAAGCCTTTAAAACACGCACGACGGGTTTAGGAGCACGACGCGTCAGCGGAGTGCTTTTAACGTCGCAAGTGTTTTAAAGGCGCTTATAAACGAGTGTTATACGCTATTTTTTATTATACCTGCCCATTTACGATCTTTTATGAGCCTTGAAAATATGTGAATTTACACAATAAAATTATAACGTTGTTTGTGAATCGTTTTCGTAGAGACGGTTACTAGTTTACGTTGTTAAGCACATTTTTTCACGTTGTAATTGGTCCAGACATTTCACTATTTCTTGTTACCTAGACAACTTTAAAATTTCAGCGTGCTATATAGGCCAAATTACGCACGCTGCAGCGGGTTTTAATTTAGGATTATGATGCAGGTACGTATAATAAAAAAAATATTTCTTTCAAATAAGCGATTGAGATAATGTTCAAAAGATTAGAATATTTCGTAGGTAAAGACATTGAAGTTTTTTTCAAGATTATTTTTCCGAATCCTAAGTAAAGATTTTGAGACTTATGCATTATAGGAAAGTACTGTTTCATAATTTTTACAAAATATTTTGGTTTTACTTTTTCCTATAATTTCAAAATATTTAAGTTATTGAAGAACTGTTTTAGTTATATTGAGAATTATTATTAAGATTTTCTTGCTTTTTGACAATTTTTTGGCTCAAGATGGTTTGTTTTAAAGATCGTTCATCTAGATCAATGTCAGAATTTTGCATTTTTATTCCATTATCGTCATTATTTCTCCTTATCTTTAATCTTTAGTTTGTTTATTTAATAATTTTAAAAATATTCAATTTTGGATGGATTTTTACATTTTGAATGTTGTGTTTGCTGAATTGTTACTCAAAATCTTGAGAAATGTAGACGAAAAAGTTGTATTATTTGTGAAAAAATCGACACGTCGTTATCTTCGTCGTTGGCTAGCAAATAACGAACTAAACCACCCATTAAAAACTAAAAACCTCTCAAAGTTGCGTTTGTGATAATTTTCAATAAAACCAACTTTAATGTTCGCTCGTTTACCCTCTTTTACGTCTCAATTTTTCCACTTTTTAATAACACAACTCGTTGTATATATCTTTTACGATTCCACTCGAGTGATTATAAAATATTTTACGATTCCTCATCAAACCAACAACCCGACACACTCGCAAGTGCACTGAGCTTATAAAATGTTATCTCGCCAGCGCAAAGACACATTCTCATCACAACATATGAGTATTATAGTCTCTCTAGCATCAAAACACCACCCGCATTTTCGGACCATTTTAATCCCCGAAAACCGAGCATTTTTGTGACAATTCGGACGAGGAATTCGGCCCGAATTCGAACGGAAATTGTCATTTGTCGAATTACAGATGATGCCGGGATGTGGGGGCGCCGATAGTTCCGAATCGCACGACACCGATCCACCTGGTGATGATTTGGATAGTCCTCCGACTGTCAGAAGGAGGACTCTTGGAAAAACCGCTTCCAGACCTCATTCCGACCTACTCAATCAAATACTCATCGATAAGTTTAAGGTAAGCGGACCGCAGACTGAACACAAAAAAAAAACAGACGTGATGGTAGTTGGCACGACTGGAATGTTGTTCCAATAAAAATGAGATAAATCGAAGGGAAATAGTTGGCTGTGTTTGGCATTATTGCGTTTGCTTGTCTCAATTGAGTGAGAATGACAGTTTTCCCCGACAATAAAATACGTTACATAATATCATGGGGCATTTTAACCGATAAAAACATATATCTAAAAAAGTACTCGTCCTGAAGCACTTTAACCGATAAAAAACATATTTTGAACGTTTTTGCGAGGTTCAAATCTTCAAAAATTAAATAAATATTATTTTTTTATTTTTTTTGAACTCACAGGAATACAGAATCTCACATTGTCAGATTTTTTTATTTTTATAAAAATTAGCGAAAAAAAAAATGAGCTAATCTCCCATATCTGTTAGAGATTGAGCGAGACTAACGATTTTTCCGGCAATAAAATAGGTTCATTAATATCTAGAAAAGTACTCGTCGTGGAACAGTTTAACCGATAAAAATATAAGTAGAAAAGTACTCGTCCTGGAGCACTTTAAACGATAAAAAATATATTTTTGTGTGGTTCACATCTTTAAAAATTAAAAAATTCAATAAAATAGGTTAATATCTAGAAAAGTACTTGTCGCAGAACAGTATAACTTATAAAAAATATATTTTATCCACAATCACTCTATAAAGAGACTTTATTCCACTTTATCCACTAGTGGAATTAAGTAACTTTATTCCACTGTTAATAACCAGCGCACCGCATAACAGCTTACTACGTTTAACCAAAAGCACATTTGGCGTGACGTTTAAATGTCAGTTTAATTTTTAATTAAGTTTGGAATAATTTGGGCCTGTGATTGTGTATAAAACGTTACATTGCAGTCGTGTGTTAGTCGCGTTTTATCCACTTAAGAAAATTAACCGCTCGAACTGACGTTCTCGCAGTTAAACATTCTTGCGTGGATAAAACGCTATCTAACACACTCTTACAATAAATAACTATTAAACGTTTTTGCAACTTAATGTTTCCCGACCATTATTTACGATTTTGCGGGGTTTAGATCTCTAAAAAAAAATTAAAAATACGATTTTAAAGTTTTTGAACCCTCATGAGTGCAAAAAACTATTTTAATCTACTTTTTCTATAAAAATTAGCAAAAAAAGCTAATGATCACGCATATCTGTCCCAAATTTAGTGAGACCGAAGGTTTTCCCGGCAATAAAAAAGGTTAATACCTAGAAAAGTACTTCTCGTGGAGCATTTTAATCGATAAAAAAACATATGTCTAGAAGAGTACTCATCGTGGAGCATTTTAACCGATAAAAAACATATAAACGTTTTTGCGAGGTCCACATCTTTAAAAACACAAAAAAAAATCAATTTTTCAAATTTTGTGAATCTTTAGGAATGCAAATTCTCATTTGGTCTAACTTTTTTACTTTTATAAAAATTGGTGAAAAAAATGAGCTAATGATCTATATCTGTCAGAAATTTAATGAGACTGACGATTTTCCCGGCAATCAATCAAATAGGTTACTATCTAGAAAAGTACTTGTCGCAGAGCATTATAACCGATAAAAAACTATATTTTAAACTTAAGGTTTCTCTATCATTATTTACGATTTTTGCGGGCTTTACATGTATAAAAAAAAAATTAAATACAATTTTTTCAGTTTTTCTACCCTTAGGAATGCAAAAATCTAATTTTGTCTACTTTTTCTATAAAAATTAGCAAAAAAAGCTAATGATTTCCCATATCTGTCACAAATTTAGTGAGAGCGAGGGTTTTCCCGACAATAAAATAGGTTAATATCTAGAAAAGTACTTGTCGTGGAGCATTTTAACCGATAAATAAACATATATGTACAAGAGTACTCATCGTGGAGCATTTTAACTATTAAAAAATATATGTCGAAAAGTATTCTTCCAGGAGCATTTCAACCGATAAAAACATATTTTAAACGTTTTTGCGTGGTTCACATTTTTAAAAAAATTTAAAAATATTTTTTTCAAGTTTTTGGTCCTTCAGGAATGCAAATATTCTTATTGGGTTTAACTTTTCATTTTTATGAAAAAAAAAAAAAATGAGCTAATGATTTTCTATATACATATGTCAGAAATTTAGTGAGCCTGAGACTTCTTCCGTCAATAAAATAGGTTAATATCTAGAAAAGTACTCGTCGTGGTGCATTTCCCAATAAAAAAAACATATATCTAGAAAGTACTTGTCGTGGAGCATTTTACCCGTTAAAAAACATATATCTAAAAAAGTACTTGTCGCAGTGGCGTAACTAGAAAATTTGGGCCCCCCCCGCGAAAGACGACTGTGGGGCCCCTCTCTTCTCCGGATCGAGAGTTAAATAGAGTAAAAGAGCAGTTATGTCTCCAGTAGTCTCTAGTATTAAAAATTCTGCAAATACGAATACGAATATACAAATTTTTCACAAGTTATACTAAACGACGAACTTCTTCTTCTCTTATTCTTTTCGTATTCTTTAAGCACTACCATTAAGTGATTTTGCTTTTTTCATGTTTTTTTAGATTAATTTTGACGTCATAAAAATACATGTTTACTCTTGTCATGTTTATGTCATTTTGACTAATTTTCAAAAACAGTGATTTGTGGCATAATAACGGGTAGGCAGCCGATCAAAATGATGATTTTTTTTTCGGCAATCTGTTTCTGCGACATTCCTTTTTCAGTGAATGTTATCACCCTTACTTTATTGAAAAGAGTAACTCTATTTTTGGTTTTGCGAAAAATTCAAACTGACTGCGTCACCGACAAAAAAGTTTATAATTGTCAATGAACTTTTTAAAGTGACAGAAAAATACTGCCCGAAATTGAACTGTATAAAAGATAAGACTTACTGACTTACTTAAAATCTTAAACAAGTAGTTTTCACAGATTACATCACGATCAGAAGTTCTTGTTCGAACATAAAATTGACGCGGGAAATAGCATTATTAACAGCTGATAATATGGTGCGAACTGAAATAAATTATAACACAAAACAATTTCTTTCCAGGATTGTAGTTCCTCGAAATGTTTTGTCTTCCTCAGCGTTCGGCCTCGGCGTATCGCGCCTGGCTCGACACTGAATACGCTCGAAGAAGAGAAAATTCTGCAGTTTTTTATTTTTTATTGCATTGGCCTATAATAATTCATGTACTCGCTCTATTTTTTTTAAACTATTACTATTTTGGAAAGGGCCTTTTATCCCAAGGCCCCACCGCGGCCGCGCGCTTTGGCGGGTGGGTAGTTACGCCACTGACTTGTCGTAGAGCATTTTAACCGATAAAGAGCACAACTTAAAGTTTCTCGATCATTATTTACGATTTTTGCGGGGTTCACATCTTTAAAAATTCAATTTTTCGAGTCTTTTGTACTTTTTTGAGGACAAAAATGTCATTTGGTTTGGTTTTTCTTCATTTATATCAAAATTAGCGTAAAAAATGGGCCAATTATCTCCATATCGGTCACAAATTTGCATTTCTCATTATCATCGACCCTCAATCATAATTTTCCATCTGTCGGCCCCAGGTCGGTGACGCGATCACGTAGAAGATTAATTTTCCCTCCTACATTGTCACCCCTTTTCCTGTTTTGCATAGAAACACACATACACACACGCTGAAAATAAATACGTGACGTGGAAAAATATCAATTAGTTGTGTGCAACAAAAATAAAAATAAAACCGCATCTAAATCGCTCTCTAGAGTAAAATAAAATGGCAGACTTTCGATATAAATTTCAATTTTTTTTTTGTGAGTTCTTCACGACTTGTTTGTTCTGTTTGTATGTTTTATTTTAGTCAGGTGTTACTGCACAAGTACACGAAATATCGACCCAAACGTCGCATTCGGACTAATTTTAAACTCACAGCAACAAGAATGCTACGATCAGAGACGGCGGTGAATTAAGCCTAGGTTTGGCCTAAAATTGTCAAAACAACCAAATTTTAATGATTTTAGGGCTACTTTTAGGCAAACGACAACGACAGGAAAAACCTAGAAAATCTGTCAAAGCTAGTAAAGATTTAACTTGATAAAGATATTGAGAGCTTTTAGGTTTGGTGTGAACATAAAGAGTTTAACAAACCTAACCAAACATTAATGCAAATTTTATTTTTTTAATGTATTGAAGCTTAGGCAAAACTTGAGTTTGGTTGCAAACCTAGCAAAATTATTTCGAAATAGTTGATACAGCCTAGACACATTAGAACAAACCTAGCAAAACATTTGTTTAAACCTGGATCACACAAAAGTGTATAAACTTAGGTAGAAATAAAAAATCCTGAATGAATTTTATTTACAACCTTAAACCTTATTTACAATCTTAAATGTGCAAATAAACTTGGATATGGTTTTAGAAATAATTCCATCAAAATTGGTAATATTAGACAGAGATTTTTTTGTACTTTTGTTGTTCTAAAAAGCTTGGGCATACGATAATAATTATATTGGCGCTATTTAGGCCCAAACCTGGTTGCTCAATTTTTACCGTAATTGCGTTTTGCCTTAAAAAGAACGCATTAGAGGTTAATTATGTCCAGTTTTGCTTCTTAAATAATTAAATTTGACGAAACCTGACACTATTTAAGCCCAAACCTGGGCAAATGGCATCAATTTTTACCGTAACTGTTGTATTTTGCTTTAAAAAAAGCGAGTTATATATATTACCAATTTTGCTCCGTAAACAAACAAATCTGACTAGTGATATTTAAGCCCAAACCTAGGCAAATTACATCAATTTTCGCCGAAATTTGTATTTTGTTTGAAAAAAAAAACAGTTAGGGGTTGAAATACGTCCAATTTCGCCCTTTGAATAAGTGAAATCGTAAAAACCTTGACACATGATTAGGTTTTAAACCTAGACACTTTATGAACAAATTTTGTGGAAACTTCGATATAAGTGAAATTTGGCGTAGATAAGGAACGATAATAATTAGATCAGAAGAAATTTGGCGTTATTTAGAACCAAACCTGGACAAATTACCTCAATTTTCGCCGAAATTTGTGTATTTGTGTGTAGACGTTGAAAAACGTCCAATTTCGCCCCTTGAATAAGTAAAACCGTCGAATTTCGCTTAACCCTCCCTTCGTGTATCGCCGCCTCTGTTCAAATGCAAGTCGTGTTCGTGATATCGAACAAGGATTTCCACTCGTTTCGGCGTGAAACGACCGGGAAGTCGATTTCAGGATGTCGTGGTGTAAACTCGTACAACACCGATAGGGCATTTCGCATCGCAAGGGCAGGTGTTTTCGTCGAGAGGTCGTTAGTGCGAACATCTGCTTCTACCTGTGTATAAGAGTGCGATAGCGCGGACGTTGTAATAATAAAAGACAACTTTCTAGTGATTTGTGTGTGAGTAATTTTGTGATTTTGTTGAAGAAAACGCGCAGGAAATGACATCAACAGTGAAGTACCAAATTTTCGTAGATTCGCTTTTGTTTGATATTCAGTATTCACCCTTCGTTCAATAAATATCACCTTTTCGAGTCGACAACCTCGAATTTTGCATAGAGAAGCAGACAGTTGGTTCTATTCAGCACTATTCAGAATGTTATTGAATAGAGTTGAAAACCCTTTTGTATTATGATTTTTTTATATTTTTTTTTTGAAAAAGTTCAACTGTATTATTAAACTTGTTTTAATAATAGATTTGGATAATAGCCACGTGTCTGGATTTAAATTTAAAATAAACTCAGATCGAATTGATTGAAATTTTAATTTGTGATTTTTTTGTGGATATTTCACCCGCCTACTAAAATTTGTCACGTGTTGACTCATGTTTCATATTATGCTCTTGATTCATTTAATTGTGCCAATGATAAGACAGAAAAATAGATTATAACACCTAGAATTGATGAGGTCAACAATGGAAAAAATGTGTTGCGTTTTGAAACAAAACCAGTGATAAACGTTACAATAGTACTACAAACCGTTGGAATGTGTTGATAATTTTATCAATTTTTATTACGCGATTGTGTGATGAGTTCATTGTGTTATTAAAACGTAATAAACTTGAACTGTTTATAGGAAAAAATCATTTTTTCCTAAATATCAAAATCGTTTTTGAATACGCTTCCAAAAGTAGCTATTTTAAGCAACTAGTTCCTCGGCTCCGATTAGTCCTCAAAAATTGTATTTTAGGCACTTGTTAGAAAAAAAAACATTTTCAACTGAAAAATCCACAAAATTCGTAAAACTTTCAGGGAAAAAAGAAATTTCTAATTCAATGAAATGCCATTTTCAACTTAATGAATTGATTTTTTAATCAGCTTAAGTAAAATTTTTGCAAAATAAATGAGTTTTTATTAAGAAAAAGCCTTGCTCAAAAATATACTTTAACAAACCAAAAAATCTAAAAATAATATCATGTTTTACCTAAAAAGGTAATTTTTCAGCCTGTTTTTGTAAAAGCTCCCAAGAAAGAGTGAAAATTTTCGAACTGTTAGCGAAAATCTCATATGTTTCAGTGAAAATATAGTTAAATATAGACGGCGTAAATAGGCGTAAATAACGTCCTTTTTGACACAAATACTCGTACGAGTATGTTGTTGAAATTTAGCCTTATTCTTTTTGTTTATTACTCAATATCTCAAGAACTATGCATCGTAGAGTATTTTAACTTGTTGCATCGTGTTCAGCGGGTTAATTTACGTCCAGAAAACTATATTTTAAGCGTTTTTACAACTTAACGATTTTAGGAAATATTTAAGTAAAAATCAAAATCTTTAGAAGCTGGGAAAAGAAGACTTGTATGTATAGATCTTCCAAATGGGAAGCTTTTTGTAAAAAAAACACCACTTTTTGTAACATAATTTTATTAGAAAGTCAATAAACCAATTTCAGCATTTTTTGCCTTGTTTATTCACCCCTACCTTTTTTGCATTTTGTGTTGTTTTTTTCATCGGGGATTATTTATTTTTCAGTCTGATTTAAAACAACGCTCCCACCGTCACAACCAAGTCCGTCGCACCCGTTCCGACCTCGGAGGTCAACGCCTCCTCCAGTGGGACTCCCGTTCCTCATACAAACGTCTAATGTCAACGACAAGTCCACTCCGGGGTCGTCCTCAAAGTCCCCGGAAAAAACCACCGGACGCACCCGGAGGCGTCCAATTACGCATCAATCATCGCCGAGGCCAATTGCGACGCTCCTTAAGCCAACCCCTGGACATCGACAAACTTTCGCCACTCATGAGGACCAAAACAACCGGTAGGGAATTAGGGTACAATACTCCCTTCCCTCTCTCTCTTTCTAACACGTACATTTCACGATAAACTGTCTCTATCTAACATTGTTCAATTTTTTTAGGGTTAAAAATAGGCGGTTCGCATGTCGTAAGTGAGGATGAGAGAGTTGTAACTTCTGATGATGAGGCCATGTCCGATTCGGAATCCTCCATTGCGAGTCTTAACGAACGTAAAAAATCCCTCGAGTTGGCTATGGACGAAGAAATGGTGATCCTCGCCGAAGCCGTCTTCGATCATGTCGCTTTTGAATCAGAAGAATTGGCTTTTCGCGCCGGTGACTTGATTGAGGTTTTGGAGACGGCGAATAGGGAGTGGTGGTGGGGCACCTGCGGGGGTAAGTCGGGGTGGTTCCCGGCGCAGTTTGTGCGTTTGAGGGTGAGTCAGGAGGACACCGTTGAGGATTGCCTCGCTGCCATGGCCTCAGGACACGGAATTGCGACTCAGTTGCGACGCAGGACGAGCATCTCCCTCCTGAGCAACGACCAAGTGCGAACCAGCGTCGTGAAGGAGTTGCTCAGGACGGAGAGGGATTTCGTCAAGGTGTTGGAGGACGTCGCCGAAGGTTACATTGCTGAGTGTCGCAAACGCAAAGATATGTTCACTGATGAGCAAATCGGTACCATCTTCATCAACCTGGAGGACATCCTAGTGTTCCAAGCCAACTTTGTTAAAGACTTGGAGGGGCAAATTGACTTTGAGGCTCCGTATAAAAGCTGTGTTGGGGGGTGTTTCCTCAAGAACAGGGCCGGGTTTAAAATGTATTCTGAGTACTGTAATAGCCACCCTACGGCCACAGCCGCCTTACAAGAACTCTACCAGTACCAACATTACAGTAAATTTTTCGAAGCTTGTCGTTTGATGCGGGGGTTGATTGAAATACCCCTCGATGGGTACCTCCTCACCCCCGTGCAACGCATCTGCAAGTACCCCCTCCAACTCGCCGAACTCCTCAAGTACACCAGGCCTGATCATAAGGATTACGAGGATATCAAAGAGGCGTTGGATGCAATGCGCGGTGTTGCCGTGTTGATCAACGAACGGAAGAGGAGGATGGAGAGTTTGGAGAAGTTGGTGGCGTGGCAACAACGCGTGGAGGGATGGGAGGTATCAAATTTTTCATTTTGAGGAGTTTCAAATTTAAAATGTTGTGTCTAGGGTGAGGATTTGATTGATTCAAGTACACAGTTGATCCATCAAGGGGATGCGGTTAAGGTTACGACAGGGATGTGGACCAATAATATTACGTTGTTTCTCTTTGATCATCAAATCGTCTACTGTAAAAAAGTGAGTGGGGGAATGGGGTGAGGGGAGGTTTTGATTTGGTGGTTTTAGGATATTTTGAAGAGGAATACATATGTGTACAAGGGGAGGATTTGTCTTGATACGAGTGAAGTCATCGATGTGCCTGATGGAAAAGGTATGTAAAAAATAAATTAATTAAATTTTTTTTCACTTTCTTCAGTTTTAATTATTTCATTTTTTTATTTCCTTCCTCAAGCTAAAACTACATTTATCTTCATTTTTAAAATCAGACACTTTCTTCATTTCTACTTTTTTTCGCTTGACGTAATCTATTTTAACCACTTATTTATTTTTATTTATAAAAAAAGTCAAAAAGTCTTCATTCTCTTATTCCATATTTTCATTTTAAACTTTGTTCAGCTTTGGTTGCTTTTACTTCTTGCAGAAATACACTTTCTTCCTAATATGCAGTTTAGCTCACGTAAGAATTCTTCTTTCTTTCTTGCTTCACTGCGAAAATTGAAACGTTTCTCAATTTTTTTACATCTTCCTTTCTTCATTTTTAACATTTTAGGAACAATTTCTTCATATTAAAACTGTTTTTCCACTGAATCTTCACCATTTTTGTATCTTTTAATTTTATTTTGTTGTCTTTCTCTTGTCTCTATAATTATTCAATTATTTCAGTTCTATTTCTTCATTTGAAGCATTTTAATCTTTATTGTTGGACAGTTTTAGTAAAAATTTGGCTCCCAAATTTGTCATTGTTTCAAAAGTTTCTAGATTTCAAATATCGCTTTCTTCATTATTACATTTTTCTTCTTTTTTGACAATTTTGTCATATTTTCCCCATTAGATTACTCCTTTTTCACATCTTCTTTCAAGAAGTAATTTCTTCATGTTTTCACTTTCTCAATATTCTGATTTCATTTTTCTTTAATGTTTACACACTTTCTTGTTTTATTCTAATTTCGTCTTTAAATATAAAAATATTGCCTTGGGAAATTCTTTTCTTTTTCAATTGAATTTATTTCCAACATGTTCATCATTTCAATCACCGTTCTTCTCCTCTTATTTTTTCATAAATTTTATTATCCTCATCCTTTTCTTCTATTTCCTTTTTCTATTTACGTAAACTATATCTTCAATTTTTGCTTCTTCGACTCCGCATTTTTTTTCCTTCACGCATCTTCAACTTTTTACTCGACGTTTTAGTTCTTTTTTTTTATTTCAAGCGTTTCAATTCTCCTTTTTGACAATGTGACAAGGACAAGTATTTTATTGTTTATGTATTTATTTTTTCTTCAATTTTGAACTTTTACAAGGTCAAAATTTTCTTCAATTTTTTGCTATTTTCTGTGATTTAGCGACGTTTTAAGATTTGTAAAACGATTTTTCAGCTGTTTCTTCTATTTTTTGTTCCTCGATTCTAGAATTTCTTTTGTCTTGTCGTCTTATTGTGATCTTCGATGATTATGTTTCTTTCTCAGGCATCTTCAACATTTTAGTTCTATTTTATTGCATTTTAAGCGTTTTAATGCTCTTTTTTGTCAATGTTACGAAGACATGTATTCTATTTGTTTATCTAATAATCTTCTTCTTCTTGGATCTTCTTGGTATGGAAACAATGAACAAAAACACAATTAGCCCGTCACACCAAACTTTTATTTAAAACACAACGCGTTGTTTTATTCTCGCCTGAGGATAACCACTTTGTGGTTGAAACGCTTTCTGTTTTAAATAAAAGTTTGGTGTGACGGGCTAATCGTGTTTTTGTTCATTATCTAATAATCTAATAATTTTTTCAATTTTCAGCTTTAAAAGATCAAAAATTTCTTCATTTTTTCATGTTCTCTGCGATTTAGCGACGTTTTGGACTTTGTACATTTTATCTCCAATTTTCGCTTCCTCGATTCTAGAATTTCTATTTTTCTTCTTCTTCATCTTCACGCATCTTCAACTTTTTAGTTCTGTTTTATTGCACATTTTCTTCATTTCAAGCGTTTCAATCCTCTTTTTTGACAATGGGGCCAAGACATATATTTAGTTGTTTATTTATTTATTTCTTTAATTTTGACCTTTTACGAGATCAAAAATTTCTTCAATTTTTTATATTGTTTGCGATTTAGCGACGTTTTGAGCTTTGTAAAACTATTTTTCAGCTATTTGTTCCATTTTTTACGTAGCTACCTATCTTCATTTTCCCCTCCTCGATTCTAGATTTTTTATTTTCCGTCTTTTCAATGGTTGTTTCTTCTTCTTCTTTCGTATCTTCAACTTTTTAGTTTTGTTTTATTGTTTCAGTCCTCTTTGATGTGATTGTTTATTTCTTTAATTTTAAGCTTTAACAAGGTCAAAATTTTCGTGAATTTTTTGATATTCTCTGGTTTTGAGTCTTGTAAGACCATTTTCTTGTACAGACAACCATTTGGGGGTGAGCGTCCGCCACGCCATCAAACTCCACAGTTGCATCCGTGACAAATGGTTGCTCTTCTGCTGCCGTTCCTCAACCGACAAACAGCGATGGTTGCAAGCCTTCGCCGAAGAGCGCAAACTCGTCGCCCAGGACAAAGACGACGGTTTGGAATTCCCCCCATCTGCAAAGCAACTCGCCAAACTCGCCGCCAGATGTCAGCGTCGACCGCCGCGAAAACCTCGAGGTAAGCCCCCATTTTCACCCAAAACAACCACCAACACTAAAAAAATAAATAAACACAAATCGTAGCTGGAAAAAGCTACAAACATCCTCCACCAACATACATGGGATCCTCCCTCCAACTCAACTCGAATTCATTGGGGAGGAAAGTGGGCACTTGGTTTACTTTCGGAGGACATAAAAAATCCCGCCATCGTGACGTTTCCTGAGATAAAACAACGTTGCTGTAACCCCGAAAGGTGGAATTCCCGTTCTAGTGCCAAAAAGTGTGTTTTTTCTCCTCCAATCGGGATTTGGGGTTACAGTAACGCATTTTAGAGAATAAACCCCTAGTGATAAAGGCTACTGCCGATTGTGCTGTGCTAAAACGACGTGAACTCAAGGCCTAAATGTACATATTTGAAAGGTCTCGTTTTTCCTATTTTTTTTAAATCCGACTGTCGCACAAAATGCATTGCGATATCTCCTCGCACAGGGTATTAGAGCAGAAGAATCGACGATCGTAGAAAAAATACTCTATGGACCAATTTTTGTTTGCATGATGCCCTTTGGTCACTACTCGTTGTTGAAACTTTTCACTTTAATACCTTCGACCATGATGATGATGAAAAAAAACGATTTTTTGATAAATACTTACCTATCTGTAGATAATTTTAGACTGTGACATATAATAAAGTAGTTGAATGTATAGTGTTGATCAATTCTTTTGTTTTCCACATATTTTTATAACGCTTCACACTAAAATTAAAAGAAAAAATAAACGCAGTTGAGTTGATGTAAATGCACGAGTGTGCAATTGTTAAAATTTGTTAGTTAGAGACTCACGTTATTGTTAAATATGTTTGAATTTGATGTAACAATAAAATATTTTATATCAGAAGGTGTAGTCGTATTGCCAACCTTGATCCTGCAATTCCTAAATGTCATAGAAAAATTTGAAATGCTGATTAAGGTAAGTACATGTTTTTTTTTTCTATTTTTTTATTACCGTGAAAGTTTTTTTGTTTGATTTTTTGTACCCGCAGGCAATTTTTTGCAGAATTTTTAGTGACCACCAACGGTTTTTTGTTCTATTTTTTGTTACATAGGAAATTTTTAACCAAAACCAAAAACGGTTTTTTGTCCTATTTTTCCTACCCACAAGCAATTTTTTGCTGAATTTTTGGTGACCACCAGCGGTTTTTTGTTCTATTTTTTGTACTACAAAATTTTTTAAATATCCTTGAAAATCCAACCTAGATTTCTCATAGATAATCAAAAACGGTTTTTTGTCCTATTTTTTGTGACCACCAGCGGATTTTTGTTCTATTTTTTGTTATTACAAAATTTTTATAATAATTTTGAAAATCCAACCTAAATTTCTCATAAATAGGTAATTTTTAACAAAGACCACAAACGGTTTTTTGTCCTATTTTTTGTACCCACACGCAATTTTTTGCTGAATTTTTTGTGACCACCAGCAGTTTTTTGTCCGATTTTTTATACTCACCAGTGGTTTTTTTTTGTTACTACGAAATTTTAAAAATGTTTTTGAAAATCCAACCCATATTTCTCACACAGGATTTTTTTAACAAAGACCGAGAAAGGTTTTTTGTTCGATTTTTATAATCGCAGGCAACTGTTTGTGACCACAACCGATTTGTTCAATTTTTTGTTGCAATAAGAATTTGAAGACCAAAAACAGTCACTTCGTAGACAATTTTTTGAAGAGGGAACAATAAAACATGTTTTTAGAACCATAATAGTGTACTGTCAGTTCTTGATACAAACAATAAACAACTCTGTAAAAGCTACCCATGAAATTACCAAAAAAAAGAGTACTTAAAAACAATTCGTTTTTGTTTATAAATTAAATTCGAGTGTGACATAAACCTACCAGATTTGCACAAAATAAGCTTTTTATGTAAAAATGCAATAAATTTGTTACTTTTTACAATATGTAATAAGGAATATACACATCACATTAAAACACCCATTCTTTATAATAATAATAATAATAGTAATACTAGAGTTATTATTTAAATTTGTCTAGTCATATAATTATGTACAAATATATACACAACTATGTTAATTATATAAAAATTAGAACTAATTTCTGTACATTATAAATATAATTTAATTCCTTACTGATATAAAACCCCCACTGTGTGGTTGGTCCATATTACGACTCCAAATCATCCTCCCTTTGACTCGAAAAATACGACACTAACCCCCCAAACTCCCCCCCTGACTCCTCGTCAAACGCTTTACTATTACTATTCTCTCCGGGATTCACCCCTTCGAACGTCGTTTCCGGCGGATACGGCGAATTCTGGAACACCCCCATGGGGGCTGCATCCTCCTGGCCCCCAAACTGGCTATAATGGTACGTCGGTGGTACCCCTGGATGGTACGGCGATAGATTAGGCCTAGTCGGTTGCAGATGTGGTGCTACCATTTGCATGTGGCGAGGGAACCGCCCCACTGGGGCTCGAGAGTACGGCGGGGGTGGCGTTTCGGTCTTTCCACCGGGACTACCAGCCGCTGGGGATACAACACGGCCGGGGGAGTGATCCGCCATTGTGATGGTACCGCCCCCTGATGGTGACGGATCGAGGGGGCGGTGCGGGTGGTACATTTGGGGCGGTAGAGGGGCGCGAAGTGGTGGCGGGTTGCGAGGGGGGTAGTGGTTGAAACGGTACGGGGATGATAGTGGTGGCCGCACCCCTGGAGAATTCCAAAAAAATTGTATTTTAATTTGTCCATAAATTACTTAATAAAAATTAGAAAATTTTTTTTTTGTTTTATTTTAGGATTTCAGAAAAAAAATTATTAAGTTTTCTGCAAAAAAAATTGATTTGTTGTTGAAATCTTGCTGAAAAAAGTAAAATTTCAGTGGAAAATTGTTTTTAGCCCAAAAACGTGTTTAGACATTCGAAAAAGGCAAAAATTGTTTCTGAAATAAAACGAACTTTTTATTCAAAACCGAAAAGTGTCATTTTTTATCAAAATTTGTGATTTTTCAGCTTATTTTAGCAAAAGTTACGTAAATAAGTAAAATTTTCAGCGAAAAAATAAGTTTTCAGCTCAAAAACGCAGTTAAACCCTCAAAAAAAGCGTGAATAGTGTTTTTTTGAGAAAAAAAACATTTTCAACTTAATTTTGAGAAAAAAATTAATCTTTACTTCTAAAAGATATCGTTCGACAAGACAAAAAATGTGACAACCGAAATAAGTGGTTTTTCAGCCTGTTTTAACGAAATCTCGCAAAAAACTGAAGTTTTTCAATTATCAGCGATAAAAAAACTATTATTTTTTGTTCGAAAATTTGCTTAAACGGTAGAAAAATGAAGAAATAACTTGATTTACGACATTATTAAGTAATTTTTCGAGTCATTGTAGCAAAATCTCTGAAAAAAGTAAATGTTTAAGCAAAAAACTAATTTTAACAAACCAAAAATGAAAAAAAAAGTCGTTTTGCACCTACAAAATCACGAAAAAAGAGAAAAATTTTTAGAACTTTTGATGAAAAAACATGTTTAAACTATCAAAGATTACATAAATAATTTAGCACAATTTTGAGGAAGTAAGAAAAATTTTCACTGAAAATATGAATCACGTCATTACCGATTCAAATATGTGATTTTTCAGCTGAAAAATTCACAAAATTCGTAAAATTTTCAGCTAACGAAAAAATTATCAAAATGGATAACTTTTCCCAAAAAAAAAACGAACAGAACAAAAAATGTAGTGATCTTTCAGGCTTTTTCAACGAAAAAAGTGAAATGTTTACAATTTTTAGCTCAAAAAACATGCTTAAACGCTCAAAAACATAATTTTTGCTAGATTTTGTGGAAATAAGTAAATTTTTCAGCGAAAAAAAGAAGTTTTATCTCAAAAACGTACTTAAACGAATAAACCATGAAAATGTGATTTTCAGCTTAATTTTGAGAAATAATTAAGTACTTATTTAAAAAAGCGAATTTTTAGTACAAAAATAACCTTTGAGAAAACACATAACGTAAAAGTAAAGTAATTTTTACATAAACAAGTAATTTTAGTTTGTTCTAGCGAAATTTTAAATGAAAAAATGCAAAAATAAAGCGGTTTTGATCGAAACAAGTGATTTTTCAGTGTTTTATAAAATCATGAAAAAATGAGTGAAATATTTGATCAAAAACATGTTTAAACCGCATGACTTACGTGGTATTTTTTTGTTTGTTTTAGCAAAATTTTGCAAAAATAAATAAATTTGTAGCTCAAAAAAGTGATTTACTGAACTAAAACATTAAAAATAACCTCAATATCGATCAAAATACGTAATTTTTCAGCTGAAATATCCCCAAAATTTACAAATTTTTAGCGAAAAAAAATAAGTTTTTAGTTCAAAAACGTACTTGAACCAATTTAATAAAATATTTTCTTGCTCAGGTCAAGTAAAATTTTGCGAAATTAATAAGTTTTTATTTAAGAAAGGCATTGCTCAAAAATACGCTCCAACAAACCAAAAAATGTAAAAATAATGTCATTTTTGACCTAAAGAGCGATTCTTCAGCTTTATTTATCAAAATCTCATGAAAAAAGTAAATGTTTCACTGAAAATATAGTTTTTAGATCAAAAATGTGCTTAAACACTGAAAAGTCAATTCTAATTATCGAATTTTTCAGAAACACTGCGATAATGAGTAAATTTTCAGCGAAAAAATGTGGATTTTTTGTTCAAAAATGTGTTCGACCCAAGTATGTGATTTGTTAATTTGTTTTAGTGAAACTTTGCAAAAAAATGTAATTTTTCAACAAAAAAAGTTTACAGAACAAAAAGACGTAACAACTGTCATTTTAAAAGCGAAATTTTGCGAAATAAGTGTGTTTTTAATTGAAATAAATGTAAATAAGTGATTCTTCAACCTTTTTCAACAAAAAAAATTAAATTTTTAGAATTTCAACAAAAAAAACGAGTTTTTTGAAAACTGCATTATTAAACAACACGATTTTAGAAAATTTGTCGAAATAAAAAAAAGTTCTTGTCTCTTGTCAAAGTATGAATAACGTAAATTTTAACGTAATTAAATGATTTTTCAATTAGCTTAAAAAAACCTCACGGAATAAACAAGTTTTTAGATATTTTATTATAGAGTCCGAAAATGACTCACTTTTAAGACTTACAAAGGCCGTAAAATAGCTACTTATAAAACTTTTTGACCACTTTTTATAATAATAAAGACGTACCTTGCCCAAAATGGGGGTCATCTTCGGGCATGGCCGCAAACTGCTTCGGCCTTATAGCCCCAATGGGATATCCCGGTTGGCCAGGCTTACTCTGCAACATCCTCGTAATCACAGATGGCGTTGGTTGACTCTGAGAGAACGGTTGAGGTGGCGCTGCAATCTCTATATTACTCTCCTTCCCCAAATTCGCAACAGTTTCTTCCAAACTCTTCTTATTCTTCACTTGTCTTCGTTTCTTCGCATCTTCTTCGCCCCCTAACTCGGCAAACAGTGGCAACGAAACACCAGGCGGTTCCGATAATTCATCATTATTCTCCGAGTTGACAATAACATTACCGACCAAGGGCTCTTGCATGAATTGCATCTTCGAATCTTCAACTTTCTTCGCTTCCCGTTCTTTTCTTCGTTTCTCTTTCTCCAACTGTTGAGCGACCAATTGAAGCTGTTTATTGGCGTATTCTTCTTCTTCCATCATCTTCTCCATTTGGTTCTCATCCATCATTTCCACATTCCGATTAATCTGGTCAATGGGATTCAAATCACTTTCACCATCTTCCTGAAGAATATTCTTCGGTTCGGGAAGAATTTGTGTAAATCTAGCATCGGTATACGACTGAATTTGTACTTTTTCCGTGTTTGGTTTCTTCACTTCCGCTTCTTCTTCACTCGCTTTATCATCTTCATCAATTTCATCTTCATTCGCAACGTATTCTTCTTCACTTTCAATCCTCGGTGGTGGTCTCTTCACTCGATCTTCATCACTATCGGACCCTAAAGCATCAACATAGTTGATTTTCTTCCCACGAGTCCTCCTCCCGGGACCTTCTTCACCATCTAATCCGAACTTAATCTTCGGTTTCTTCTTTTTGTACACTTCAACGTCGGAATCTTCACTTTTCTTCTTCTTCTTAGATTTTTTCTTCGTTGTGGTTTTCTTTTGACGACTTGCTGGTTTTTTGCGTCGTCGTCCCCACGATCTATCGCTTTCTTCTTCCGATTCAGATTCGTCCCAAATCGAACGTTTCTTCTTTCTTCGCGGTGCTTCTTCTTCACTTTCACTATCACCGTCATCGATAAAATCAGCATCGTAACGTGACGTCCTCGCACGTGTTGATCTTCTTATTACTTCACCACGTCGACGATTTCTTCCACTATCCAAATCTTCACTATCTTCACTACCTAAATCTTCATCGAAATCATCATCGGACTCAGAACTTGTCCCTTTGAAATCTTCATCGGAATCTTCATCTTCACTACTGATATCCAATGAATTTAATTTGCGGTGTTTCTTCCGTCCGATGATTTTCTTCCGTGAAGATTGAATCGTTTCATCTTCGGAAAATACCGGTTTTGCTTCTTTATCTTTGTCGTTGACGGGGACAACTGGTGGTGGTGGTTCTTTTTCAATTTCTTCTTTCTTCATTTCTTCTTCTTTTTCAGCATTGACTATCGTTGCGATGTCTTTGCCACGTCCTTGATTCCCTGCACCTTTAACAGCTTCCATTTCATCTTGAATTGCAGAATTTATCAATTCATCATAATCATTAAATCTATAACTGTGTGCTTGTCTTCTTTGTCTTAATTGATAAATCGGTTCATCTTCACTTCCAGTTCGCGATTCTGAAGCAGAACCCGATTCGGATTCTTCACTCGATGAATCATCATCTTCTTCATCACCAACTTCCGCATCATCATCATTTTCAACTTCGTCATCATCTTCATCATCATCGTCATCTTCAATACTCAAGCGACGTTTCTTTATATTTTCGGTATCTTTAGTTGGTAATACACTATTCAAACTTATGCCAACATAAGCCAATCTTTGCTTTCTTCGATCTTCAATTTCTTTCTTATTCAATTTCTTATCGTATTCTTTGAGTTTTTCTTGTAGTTTTTCGATAAGTGAAGCATGCTGACATGGCGGACAGAACCAATCACCTTCCGGTATGACTAAAAGGGGCGGTCTTAAACAAGAACAGTGCCACCCATTGTCACAATTGTCGCATAATAAAATCCATTCGGGATGATCAGATTTACCACATTTTTGACACGGACAATCGTCAACTTCTTCAACATCAGATTCTGAAAGAAAATGAAGCAAGTGAAGACTAAATAAAAAAAATGAAGAGTAAACGAAAAAAATAAAGATTAAACAAAAAAGAAAGTGAGAATGAACCAAAAAACTAAAAAAGTAAAAATTAAGTAATGAAATTGAAGAAAGTGGAGATTAAACGAGGAAATTGCAGACAGTGGAGACTAAACGAGGAAATTGAAAAGAGTGAAGATTAAACAAAGAATTTGGAGAAAGCAAAGATTAAACAAAGAAAGTGAAGAAAGTGAAGATTAAACGATCAAATTGAAACAAATGAAGATTAAACAAAGAATTTGAAGAAATTAAAAACTAAACGAGGAAATTAAAGAAAGTGAAGAAAAAAGGTTGAAAATAAATATTAAACGAAAAAATTGAAAAGTGAAGAAAATTGAACGAAGAAATTGTCAAAAGTGGAGATTAAACAAAGAATTTGGAGAAAGAGAAGATTAAACAAAGAAATTAAAGAAAGTGAAGATTAAACAAAGAATTTGGAGAAAGAAAAGACTAAACAAAAATATTGAAGAAAGTGAAGATTAAACAAAGAATTTGAAGAAATTAAAAACTAAACGAGGAAATTAAAGAAAGTGAAGAATAAACGTTGAAAATAAATACTAAACGAAAAAATTGAAAAGTGAAGACAATTGAACGAAGAAATTGTCAAAAGTGGAGATTAAACAAAGAATTTGGAGAAAGAGAAGAATTAACAAAGAAATTAAAGAAAGTGAAGAGTAAACAAAGAGTTTGGAGAAAGAAAAGACTAAACAAAAATATTGAAGAAAGTGAAGATTAAACAAAGAATTTGAAGAAATTAAAAACTAAACGAGGAAATTAAAGAAAGTGAAGAATAAACGTTGAAAATAAATATTAAACAAAAAAATTGAAAAGTGAAGAAAATTGAACGAAGAAATTGTCAAAAGTGGAGATTAAACAAAGAATTTGGAGAAAGCGAAGATTAAACAAAGAAATTAAAGAAAGTGAAGATTAAACCAAGAATTTGGAAAGACTAAACAAAAATATTGAAGAAAGTGAAAATTAAACAAAGAATTTGGAGAAAGAGAATATTAAACAAAGAAATTGAAGAAAGTGAAGATTTAACGATCAAATTGAAACAAATGAAGATTAAACAAGGAATTTGAAGAATGTGACGACTGAGCAAGGAAATTAAAGAAAGTGAAGAATAAACGAAGAAAATAAATGAAACGAAATAATTGAAAAGTGAAGAAAGTGATGATTGCACAAAGAAATTGAAGAAAGTGAAGATTAAACGAAGAAATTGACAAAAGTGACGATTAAACAAAGAAATTGACGAAAATGAAAATTAAACAAAGAAATTTAAAAAATGAAGATTAACCGAAAAAATTGTGTCAGGGTGCTTCATTTTGGATGTCCGAATAGGGAATCTCCGAAACTAAGAGGTTTAGTCAAAAACGAGTAATACATTCTGGGGTTCATTTTTTCAGAAAATAATATTGCTTAAAACCGCATCCCGCTATCGTCTTTTGTTTTCGACTTATAGACAAAAATTGACATTTTAGCGAAATCTAAAAAAATTCATATCTTCGTTATTATAGAAGACACAGATTTGAAATAAAGACATTATACAGGCACTTTTTTACGTAGAATTTAATATTGTTGTTAGCAATTTTTTTTCAGTTGTTTGTTTAGCCGTAATAAAATAAACTTGTATTTTTTTAAATGGGAATCATAGATGGCTATGTCATGTTTAAAAAGCTTGTTTTTTTCTTATCTAAAAAATATATATTTGTAACAAATAATTATAATACATTTTTAGCAAAAAATTATCTTTGATTTTTGTTCGCAGTTGGCCATGAAAAAATGTTTCATCTTCAAGTAAAAGGATTTAAAATATATTTTATTGAAGAATTAAAGCAGCTTTTTTTACAACACTCTATGTATCACTAGAAGTTGCAATGGTAATGTTAGCTTGTTTAAAAACAAAGAAATGTAATTAGTCGCCAATAAGTTGATTTACAATTTATTTTGCATCTTTTTCATTACTTAGTACTCAGAAAACTCTTTCATTAGTGACACTGGTTGAATATAACATAGTTTATATGACACAAAAATGACGATATGGCTATTCAAATACCCAAATTCCGTCTATGTGAAACGTTATCCTGCCTCCATTAGATCATCAACAAAAAAATGTTTTTTCTTATTGTGTTGACTGTTGACACATTTGTTTTTTTTATTTTTAGATTTTTTAAAAATATGTAATAATTTTGTACTGAGGCGTTCGGATATTTGTTCAATGCTTCTACCGTATCGTATTTTTTAAATCTTTATAATTTTATCAATTTTTTCGTCTGTTTTACAATTCACAAAACTCTTATTGATTATTATTTACACATTTGGAGTGAAATAGTTTTTCCATGGCCAACTATTATCACACAAAATATGTATTTCACTTTTTAAGTATAGTTATAAAAAAATATTTTGTTACAAATATATATTTTTAGATCAGAAAAAAATAAGCTTTTCAAAATTGCCATAGCCGCCTATGATTTCCATTTAAAAAAATACAAGTTTATCTTGTTACGGCTAAACTAATATCTGAAAAAAATTGTTAACTACATTATTAAATTCCTCGTAAAAAAGTGCCTGTATAATGTCTTTATTTCAAATCCGTATCTTCTATAATAACAAAGATATAAATTTTTTTATATTTCGCCAAAATGTCAACTTTTGTCTGTAAGTCGAAAACAAAAGACGATAGCGGGATACGGTTTTAACCAGTATTATTTTCTCAAAAAATGAGCCCCAGAATGTATCACTCATTTTTGGCTAAACCTCTTAGTTTCGGAGATTCCCTATTCGGACATCCAAAATGCAGCACCCTGTACAGTAGAAATTAAACAAAAAAATTGAAGAAAAAGATTGAAACAAATAAAGATTAAACAAAGAGTTTGATAAAAGTGAAGGCTAACGAGGAAATCAAAGAAAGTGAAGAATAAACGAAAAAAAAACAAAGATTTGAAAAATTTGAAAAAGTGAAGAAAAATGAAGAAAGTAAAGATTAAACGAAAATATTGATGAAAGTGAAGATTAAACAAAAAAATGACAAAAATGAAGATTAAACAAAGAAATTAAAAAGTGAAGATTAAACGAGAAAATTGTATACAGTAGAAATTAAACAAAAAAAACTGAAGAAAGTGATTGAAACAAATGAAGATTTAACAAAGGATTTGATAGAACTGAAGGCTAACGAGGAAATGAAAGAAAGTGAAAAATAAACGAAAAAAAAATAAAAATTAAACGAAGAAATTGAAAAAGCGAGGTAACTGAAGTAAGTGAAGATTAAACGAAGAAATTGACAAAAGTGACGATTAAACGAAGAAACTGACGAAAGTGAAGATTAAACACAAAAATTGACAAAAATTAAAATTAAAAAAAAATTAAAAAGTGAAAATTAAACGAGGAAATTGAAGAAAGTGAAAATTAAATGAAGAATTTGAAGATTAGACGAAGACGTTGAAGAAAACCTTACCTTTACGCGCCGTTCTTGCTCTCTTCAACGGTTGTGCTTCACCATCACCTTCCAAATCGCTTTCGGGCGAAAACTCATGATCTGAAACATATTGCAATTCTTCTTCTTCCTCTTCAGCAATTTCTTCCTCTTCTTCTTCTTCCGACGAACTTGAATCGCTACTCGACCGCCACGGATTGAACTCATCAAATAATTTACGATGCTTCTTTTTCTTCTTCTTCTTCTTTTTCTTTGAATCAGCACTGTCTTCCTCTTGATCATCATCGTCGACTTCATTCTTCAATTTCTTCTTTTCGACTTTATAGTCCTTACAAATGATTTTAATAAAGTCGAGCTCGATATTTCGTACACTTACCTTATCTTCATGCTTTTTCGATTTCTTCTTTTTGTGAGTTTCTTGTACCATTTCTTCTTCTAATTTTCTTCGTTCGGCTTCTTCTTTGATCTTCAATTGGGCGATACGTCGCGATTGTCGTACACCAACCGTCCGATTTTCTTCGATTTCCAAGGCCCGCTCAGGATCAATACCCAAATTTGACAAAAGCCTCTCTAAAGAAGAAAGAAAAAAAACAAAATCGAATTATAAATGCTGTACACTTAAAACTCACTATTTTTATTCTTCGTTTTGTCTTTCTTCGACTGTTCGGTGGCTTCTTTTTCACCTTCGCCGCTTTCTTCATTTTTCTTCGCGGGTTTTTTCTTTTTCTCTTCGTTTTTATTGTCATCGTCACTGCTCACTAATTCAGCTTTCTTCTGTTCTTCTATACTTTTGCGTAACTTAACGTCAACGGTGCGTTTTGCTTTCATTTTCATTCGTTTTCCTGACGTTTCTTCAATTTCTTCCGCATTTTGGGGACTCTCCCGGCTTCGTTTTCTCAAACCGCTGCGAGTCACAGGAGGCGTTGGAGTTGGCGATTCGGTAAAATCTAATGAAAAATTCATTAACGACATCGGTTTTTCTTTAGTTTCTTCTTCTTTATTTTCTTTAGGTTCTTCTTCTGCTAAGGGATCTGCATCTTGAATTTCAACAATGTCACTACTACTACTACTCTCTACTATAACAGTTTCGGGCGCAGAAGGTGAAGAAGAAGCAGAAACTTCCTTCACATCTTCATTTTCTTCTGGAATTTCTTCCGACATCTTCATTTTTTTACCGTTTTCGTCCTTTTCGGTCTTTTGTGAAGCACGTGGACGTCCACGACGTGTTGGTGCCTGTAATTCTTCAACAGTTTCTGTCTGCTTTTCGCCGTTTTTTGAAGATCGCGTCGTTCGTCGAGTAACTCGGGGTTTCTTCTCATCTTCTGGCAATGCTTCAGAAGAATTGTTCTTGCGACCGCGTTTGTTGTTCGCCGTTCCTTTTTGTTCCTTTTCTTCAATTTCTTCCTTATTTTGTTCTTGAACTGATTCAAACTTGGATGTTTCTTCAACAACGGCATTTTCTTCTTTTAATTCCGGTTTTGAAGATTCTTCAATCACCGCAGCATTATCTTCTTTTAATTCTGGTTTTGAAAGATCTTCAACAATCGAGGCATTTTCTTCCTTTAATTCCTGTTTTGAAGGTTCTTCAATCACCGCAGCATTATCTTCTTTTAATTCTGGTTTTGAAAGATCTTCAACAGTCGAGGCATTTTCTTCCTTTAATTCCGGTTTTGAAGGTTCTTCAATCACCGTAGCATTATCTTCTTTTAATTCTGGTTTAAGTGATTTTTCAACAATTGGAGTTTCTTCTTTCAACTTCAGTTTTGGGATCTTTTCAACAAAAAGAGCTTTTTCTTCTTTCAATTCTGGTTGTAGAGTATCTTCAGTAGTAGGAGCTGTTGCTTCTTTCAAATTCTCAACAATAGGAAGTTTTTCTTCTTGTAAATCCACTTTTGGTGTTTCAATCAACAATACCTTCTCTTCATTTTTCGCATTTTCTGAACTAACCCCAATTTTATCTTCAGTTTCTTCACTATTCAAGGTTTTTGAAACATCTTCAAGTTTCGACTCAGAATTTTCTTCCATTTTCACTTCTTCATTTACTTTATTATGAGTTTCAATTTCAGGTTTTATCTCGGTTATTTCTTCTTCATTCTTCACATTTTTGTCATCAAATTTTTCAACCGCTTTAGTAACGTTTTCTACACCAACAGCATCGTCAGTTTTTGCCTCAATCAAGTTTTCTCTTTTATCCACATTTAAAGATTTTGCTTCATTTTCTTCACTTATTTCTTTCGGAAGATCAGTCAGTTTGTTCGTAATTTGAATTGTGCTTTCTTCATCTACTTTCAAAGGTTTTGATTCTTCATTTTGCAGCTTTACAGCACTTTTTTCACTTTTCTGCTCTGAAAAACTTTCGGTTATAGCACTTTCTTCATTTTCAGTTTTAGTGATTAGGAAAATTTCTTCGTTTTTGGACTCTCTTAAACTTTCATTTTCATTCACTTTGGGTTCTTCAATCAGTTTAACACTATCTACACTTTTGATTTCTTCAGCAGTTTTGACAGTATCTTCATTTTTAGGTTCGTGAACTTTTAGTTCTTCAACCTCTTTGACAATATCTTCACTTTTGGATTCAGTCAAATTTTTGTCATTACTATCTATCGACTCAACTAACTTGATATCTTCATTTTTAGATTCACTCAAACTTTCTTCATTGGTGATTTCCGGTTCTTCAATCACCTTGAAGTCTTTATTGTTAGATTCAGTTAAATTTTCTTCAACTGAACTTTCTTCAGTGACCATTACCGATTGTTGATCTTCATTTGTTGTCTTGCTTTCTTCAGTTTGCACTGCTTCAATATCTTCACTTTTAGAGTCGACAGTTTCTTCGTTTTGTTTAACTTCATTTGTAGTCCTATTTTCTTCAATTTGCACTGCTTCAATATCTTCTTTTTTAAGGTCGACAGTTTCTTCGTTTTCTTTATCTTCATTTGTTGTCCTATTTTCTTCAATTTGCACTGTTTCAACATCATCTTTTTTAGGCTCGACGATAATTTCTTCCTTTTTCGCCTCTTCTGCAATAGTTTCAACGTTGTTGACGTCACAAATAGAGTCACTTTTCGTGTGAAGAACACTTTCTTCTTTACCTTCAACCGTATTATTGTCAACAACAGTAGTTTCTTCTTTTGTTTCAACTTTGGTTTCTTCATTTTTTTCACTTTTGCGATTGTCATTTTCTTCACCGTCACCGCACACATACGCGTATTTTTTAACGCACGTTTCTTCAACTACAGGCACTGGTTCAACAGTATCTTGGTGATGTTTTGGTGTTTCTTCATTTTCTTCTATCCTATAACCAATATCGCCTTTCGCATTCGTTGGCAACACGTCCAAATCTTCGTTCTTCTTCTCCTGAGGCACTTTTTGTCCAAATCCAACTGTCGCCGCCGGCTTAAATTGAAGACACCCCGGACCGAAGAAAAACATTGGTTTCTTCGGTATTTCTTCAATCGGTGGTGCTTCTTTCGCAATAATCGTCTCAACATCCCAACGCGATTTCTTCGTCGGACTCCTAACCGTATTAAAAAATTTATTGTCAGTCTTCGTGTCGATTATCGTACCTAATTTGTATTGAGGATTTTTTACAGAAGAAACGTCTGAAGAATTCACACAATTCTTCGAATCGTTAATACTGACAAAATCACTATCACTTTTAGCGTCTTTTGATTCACTAGTCGACGGTTTTTCTTCATTTCCAGTCTCACAATCGCGACCCGAACCTTCACCGGTGAAGATCATCACTTCTTCTTCAATTTCTTCACCGACGATCGGACTCACTTCTTTGTTTTCTTCACCAGCACCTTCGCCCTTGACCAACATGAGCGGCTCTTCGATCGCTTCGCTCAATTTCGGTCTCTTTGTTTCTTCATTTTCTTCATCGCTCTCACGTCGACGTTTCGATGATGTTTCTTCTTCTTCCTCCAGCTGTGATATGTTTTCTTCGTTGGAATTATCCGAATCGCCAGACAGTTTCTTCGATTCGGAAGAAGAAGAATCGACTTGACCAGTATCTATGATTGGTTTCTCGGCTAAACTATTACTATCTTCTTCATTTATCGCTGATTCGGAACTGATCTTCGAATCGCCGTCACTCAATTCGTTCATTAGTGCCACAAGACCGTCCCTATCCCTAAACCAACCAATCAGAATCGACTATTTGTCACAATTCAACTTACTTAGCAACCAAAGTCCACGTTTCTTCGTCGGGATCTTCTTTATACACACGAATTTGACAGTTGATGTCGTCCTGGTACCAGTAGGCGTGGCCTTGTTTGTCTTTACCCAATGGCTGCGAGCGGAGTTCTTCAGCCGACATTTTGTTTATTTCGGCCTTGAAACGCGTGTTGTAATCGAACTGCATTTCGAGGAGTTCCTGGGAAGAAAAATGAAGAATGATTGAGGAAAGTTTTGCATTTTTAAAATTACTTTGAGTACGCGGATTTTTGAAGATAGACGAGCCTTTTTGTAGCCGAAACGTTCGATTTCCCACGCATCTTGTGAACAAAACGTGTGGCAAAATTTTATTATGGCTCTCTCCCAACGCTCGTTGGAGACGCTTTTCCGGGATTTCCGGAGGAGCTTGATGTGTAGGTCGATCAGGTCTTGAGGTACTGAAAAAATTAAAAAAAACACAAAATTTGTATTAAATTAAACAAATAAAGCAAAAAAGAAGAATCAAAAATTGACAAGACAACAAAAAATTGAATCAAGTGTAAAATAATTAGATGCAAGAAAAAAAATCATGAAGAAGAAATAAAATTACACAACAAATCGCAAATTATGAGAGCAGTTAAAATTATTGTAGAAAAAAATGTAAAATTAAAAAATTAAGATGAAAGTAAAATTTTATAGAAGAAAAAAGAAGAACACAAATCGATAATTTAAAGCAACGAAAATGAGTGAAAAAAAAAGCAAAAGTAAAAAATTGTCAAGGCAACTAAACAAGTTTTTTTTTGTATTGCCATATTTTTGTCCGCCATTTATATTCATAGTTGTGTATATTTCAATTTTTCTTCTTCTCTCCACATTCTTATTTTTCATTTATGTATTTATTATTTTTTAGTTTCATCTATCAAAAGTTTTTTAGTTTTCACATTTTTTTTCAATTTTCAATATACGCGCTATTAGTGTGACGTCAGTGAGGTACATGACTGTACCTTTGAAGCTACACTAATAAACATACTTTGTTACCAATGCTTTTCGTATGGACGTAAAAAAAGTTTATTTCTGGAATCCTGGACGTATAGGGAGATTATGTTTCCAAGGAAATAGTTGCTATGAAAATTGTGTGTCGTTTCGTAATAGTTTTAACAATTGTAGTCAACATTTCTGTAAGTTAATCTGTTCTAACCTCACTTTTTGTGTAATGTGTACTTTAAAGTATGTTTACAGAGTTGCCAGTATGTTGCAAATGACAGAGTGGCTAGGTCGTACCAAATCAAAATAAAAAGTATCAACATTCACATAATGTGTATTTGGCTGAGAATATAAATTATTATTTGTTTACAAGTAAATATAAACATCTAGTAAACAAAACTAGTATCAATTTGGTACTATAGTATCACAACTGGCAACACTGTATGTATAGCTTCGGTACAGTCGCGTCTGTGACGTCACGTCTAATAGCGCGTATTTTCACTATTATTATATTCCAATTTCTTTTGCAATTTTTTTGTATATATTTTTACACTCATTTTTATCCTTTAGAATGTATTTTTCAGTTTTTATTTCGTGACATTTGTCAGTTCGTTTTTATAAAAAAAAATATGAAAGCAGTAAATAGAAAATTTATTAAACAAATGCACTGCAAGCTAAAAAAATGAAGAAAAAGATATAAAATAAAAAAATCCAACGATAAAAATAAAGATAAAAGCAAAACTTTGAAGAGAAAAAGTTTACTTAAAACAATAAAAAACAGTAAAAAAAAAGAAAGAAAACAAAAATAAAAAATTGCCAAAACTAGAAATGTTGAGAAATAAACACGAAATAAAAAACGAAAAAAATGAGTGAAAACCAGAAAAAAAATTATTATACCTAATTGCAAAAAACGTCTTAGTCTTACTAAAAGAAAAACCAAAAAAAAGGTAGGAGGAAAAAAACAACGAACAATCGAAGAATAAACTAAAAACACTGAAAACAAAAAATGTATCAAGTCTGAAAAACTTAACATAGAGAGAAGGTTAAAACATTATAACAAAAAAGTTTAACTTTGATTTAATAAAAATATTAAAAAAAATTAAAAAGAAAACAACAGACAAAAGAAACCAAAAAAACACAAAAAATGGCTACACGTGAAGAACTTGACATAAGAAAAGGAAAAAACCTACTAAAGAGAAGGTTTAAAAATTGTAACAATAAAACTTTCATAAAAGTTTTAATAAATAAAAGTATAAAAGAAAAAAAAAACATGTGAAAAAAAGATAATTATAAGAAAAATATAAAATAAAAAATTGGCAAGAAACAAAAAAAACAAAAAAGCACCAAAAAAATTTAATACAAAATTAATTAAAACATTAAACATATTGAATAAAATCTTCCCACTGTTCCTGAAAATTTGCATGCAATTTTTGTATAAAAGAAACTATTTTGAGCCATACAAAGTCACCTGTGCTTTTGAAATTAAGTTGGCAACATTGTAAATAAATTTTGACGAGTATCACATCATCCATGTACAATATCAAATACTGCCAAGTTAATTAAAGTCACAGGTCGCAATAATATAAAACAGAAAACTGTAAAATAGTTATTCATAGAAGACTGACGACGTAATTCTATAAAAACTCATGCATGCTACAACTCCGGAAATATCTTTATTTTCATATAATTCCCACAAAAAAGACCGCTTTGTTGACAAACAATTACATTGACATAAAAGAAAACAAATGAAAAAAGAAGCGTAATCAATACCAACTTAAGACTGTTATTAACATATAAACGAACTAAAAATAGTCACCGGTCATTTATTATGTTTACATTGGTATAATTTTCCATACCAAACAAATTTTATTGACTTTCTTGTCCATAATCCCATGTTATAAAAACCAAAACAAAAAATCGAAGCGTGCTGTGTCCATTTGACACATGACAGTTCCAATCCCGGCCCACTTTGTTTCTCTCGCAAATTGTAAATAAAACCGGTCAAAATGCGAGTTGGAGCCCCCCACGGGTCATTTGTTTACAAACATCCTCCCCACAGCCCCCAGAGAGCGCAAAATCCAAAATCAAAACAAAAAATCGAAGCGTGCGTGCCTATTTGACACATGACAGTTCCAAACCCGGCCCACTTTGTTTCTCACAATTGTTAATAAAACCGGTCAAATGCGAGTTGGGGGCCCCCACCGATGCTTTGTTTACAAACAGCCGCCCCTGAGCCCCCAGAGGGCGCATTCTTTACCTTCCTGGGTGTTTTCGAGCATCTCCTGCAGCAGCAAGAAGTCGATGTTTTGCAAGCCGCATGTCGTTCCGAATTTCTCCATAAAAGCGCAAATAACGGCGAAATTCGGATCACTTTCACAAGTAGCTTCATTATCTGACGCCATTTGCAGCCGCTACGTTTGACAGGAGGCGTTGAATGGAACGCTGAATTCGGCACAAAACAACACAAAAGCAAGAAATTGCATGTTTTTGGAGGCGTCGGACGAGTTGAAACACTCACGAGATAACACAGAGGCCGATTTTGGGGCTCAACGACCACATTTGGAAGGTTTTTCGCACCGACGATACACAACAATCAAGCAGGCGCTGTGCGTCGATACACTGACTTTTGGGGGATTTTCAAGCCGCAAGTTGGCAGCACACAAAGCGGGCGATTTGAATTCAAACGATTTTAGTAACATTTAGAACGAATATTTTGTGATTTTAGACCAAAACAATTAATCTTTTACAACAATTATTTTATTATTTCAATTATCTTCTTTGTTAGTTCTTCAGTTTCTGACTTCTCTTTTAGGTTTTATTTTAAGTTTTTTCGTTTTCTTTATTCGATTAATTCATTTTCCCGCTTTTTTAAACTGTATAATTTTCTGTTTTGTCATTCATACGTATTCTTCATTATCTTCTGTTATATTTTTTATTTAAAAAGTTTTTTTCTTTCTTTAAAATCTTTTGTCTTTTTTCCCTTTTGTTTCTTCCTTCTTTTTTCTTTCTCATTTTTTCTATTTTGTCTACCACTTTGTTATTTTGTATTTCTTCAGTCAATTTTTTTTTCTATTTTCACTATCATTTTTAATTATTTTTATTAGTTTTTTTTTCTTTTACTTTTTCGTCATTATTTTATGTTTTTCTTCGCGTCAAAGTTACAAGACATTGCCAATTTTTTCAGCTTGAGAATTATGTAAAACCAAAATTTTGAAAAAAAACGAAATATTAAAAAGTCTTAAATTAAAATAAAAATAATGAGTAGAAAAAATTAAAAATTAAAACCACCGAAATAACAAAACAAAAGAAAAGAGAACAAAAGAGAAAAAAAATAGCGGTCAGAAAAAATAAAAAATAGTGTAAGTAAATAAAGTACAGCAAATAGAAAAAATAAATGACTAAGAAAAGAAAAGATACAAAAACAGAAAACCGAATACAAAGAACCAAAAAAAATAAGAGAAAATGAAAATAGATAAGAACACAAAAAAAAAATAAAAAAACAACAAAGAAATAACAAAACAAATACACAACATAAAAAAATAATACGAAAGGCACAAAATAGAGAATAGTAAGAATAGGAAACAGAAAAAAAAAGAATAGAAGAAAAACAGAAATACTCGTATTAACCAGAGTGGAAAAAAATAAAACAGAGAATATAAAATCGAGCACAAAAAACAGTAATAGAGTAGTAATAAACAAAGGGAAAGAAGAAATAGAGAGTAGTGAATAAAGATCAGAAAAAATAGAAGACAGAGAATAAAAAATAATATAAATACAGAACAGAAAACAGAAACAACAAATGACAGAAAGAAGAAAGGATAAAAACAGAAAATTGAGAAAAAAACATAGATGGTTCAAATAAATGCTGAAATTGAAATGTTGAAAATTGATGTTTTACGAAAAAATGTCTAGTACTTGTATTTTTTATTTCAATCCTCTCTATTTTCTATTCTTTATTCTTTGCTTTTTCTGTTCGCTACTTTCACTGTTTTTTATTCTCGATTCCACTTACTCTTTTTTCTGTTATTTATTTTCTTTGTGTTATATCCTTAATTTTTTTGTTCTATTTTTACTTTCTATTGTTTGCCCTCTTCATTCTGTTCTGCTCAGTTTTTTTTTTCACAATTCTGTGTTTTTTTTTTCGTTAAAAAATTTACTGAGTTATTGGCAATAGAGCGCTCCGGGTGTCAAAAATCGACCAAAATGTTTACTTTTTTTTCTCAATGATATAATATTTTGACCTAAACCTATGTATAATGTTCCGGGAAATCGACTGGAGTCAAGAAAACTGCAAAATTCGTAATGGTTTTGAAGTTATAGTCGGATTTATACTTTTGAAATTTTAATAGCCTTTTTTATTCACTACAGGAAATCCCATTAACAGACAGAAAATTTGTCAAAAACTATAATTACAACTTAAAACAACACTACAGTGGACTAGGCACTAAACAACGATATTAATTAAAAGTAGCAGAAATAAATAGTTAAAATTTTATTAGAAAAATCACAGTTCAAATCACAGTCGTTACATACATATTTTATTAAATAAACCGACATTAAATTTATAGCAATGATGGTTCCATTTGATGTTGAATAGAATGTAATAACTCAACGAGAATTTAATCGAGGAACCGAAAAACACAATCTATCCAACAACGAGGCACAATCATTGCGGCCATGTACAAAAATTTAATATTTAGACAGACCCGTCTAGTTTGTAAAGATGGGAGATTGAATCTTTTATTGGCGTTTTTACAATATGTGATTATCAGAGTCGAGTCAGATTTCGACCATTTCGTTAGTGTTACTCTTTTAATTCGTACCTACTAGTTTTGTCGATTTTATTATTTTAACTTTCTTGTGTTAATTCGTTACATGGATCGAAGCAGAATATTTCGATTTGGTAAAACACGTCCAAGGTTTCACAAAAGCTCCCGAAAACGTAATCAAATACCACTGCAAAAAACTACGTTTGCCTCGATTCTACAAACCAAGAGATCGTCTTATTAATCGTCTCATTCGAGATGTTTTAAACAATCCGGTTTTAGACAGTGAAAATGAAAAAAAAATCCAAAGTCGCAGGATCGGTAAGTTGGGTTTTGTACCGAATTAGAATTTGATTGGTTTTAATGAACCGGAAAATGTCTACATCCAATTGGTTCATCACTTATGTATCCCGATGCTTGTCCTCATTATATCCGAAATTTGTGTCAAAACAAAGATGAAGTTGTAGACCAATTAATCGCAGTCATTTTAAGCAGTGAGTAGTAGAAGTAGTGAGAAACAATGAGCATCCAAAGCGATCTGACCCAGAATTTATCCCGGAAAACCAGCTTCAAATCCTCCAGGAAGTGCTTCCGGACGCCGAACCTGATTATCTTCACATGATGTGTGACAAATTTGAGGGAAAACCAAAAAGTGTGCAAACTTTTATTAACGAAGCCATGGAAACACACAATTATCCCAAATTAAAGAATCACCAACATACACAACAATTATCTGCACAACAACAGCAATACACGAGTGACTTTAATGTTAAAAATTTTGTGAGTTATCCCAAATCCCGAGGAGTTTTTCAGTGATAAATCACGAACACTGAAAGGGATACTCAATATGCTTAAGTTTTCCTGAGAAACACTTTCAATAAAATGCCGATTCGGACGGTCCAAGAGATTTTTCACTCAAATTCGACTGAAAACAACTGCAATCTGGCGAAAACATTCAATCAATTGGAAAAAATGCAAAATTCTGACACTGAAATAATGAAAAATGTTCGTAAACCCACCCGAATGTCTACCAACATATACCAATATACCACTCCTTCAAGAGGTGAATTTTTTACCAAATTTTACCAAAAAATATTCTTGTTTTTTATATCGCATATTTGAGTCATAAACGCGAAATCACCGATTATCTCAACGAAATGAAAGAACGCGAAAATTTGGTACGCGAAAAAGCGAAAAATCTCGGTTTAATGCAAACTTGTCATTGTTGCTACGACGAGGAAGTTCTTCTTTTTCAACACTGACTAGCGTTGCGATGTCTTTGCCACGTCCCTGATTTCCTGCACCTTAACAGCTTCCATTTCATCTTGAATTGCAGAATTTATTTCTTCGCCAGTTTCTTCGATCCAGAAGAAGAATCGATTTGACCAGTATTGATATCTTCTTCATTTATCGCTGATTCGGAACTGATCTTCGAATCGCCGTCACTCAATTCGTTCATCAGTGTCACAAGACCGTCCCCATCCCTAAACCAACCAATCAGAATCGACTATTTGTCACAATTCAACTTACTTAGAGAACCAAAGTCCACGTTTCTTCATCAGGATCTTCTTTATACACACGAATTTGACAATTGATGTCGTCCTGGTACCAGTAGGCGTGGCCTTGTTTGTCTCTACCCAATGACTGCGAGCGAAGTTCTTCAGCCGACATTTTGTTTATTTCGGCCTTGAAACGCGTGTTGTGATCGAATTGCATTTCGAGGAGTTCCTGTGAAGAAAAATGAAGAATGATTGAAGAAAGTTTTGAATTTTTCAATTACCTTGAGTACGCGGATTTTTGAAGATAGACGAGCCTTTTTGTAGCCGAAACGTTAGATTTCCCACGCATCTTGTGAACAAAACGTGTGGCAAAATTTTATTACGGTTCGCTCACAACGCTCGTTGATGAGCTTGATGTTGAAGTCGATCAGGTCTTGAGGTACTGAAAAAATAAAAAAAAACACTTAAAAAACACAAAATTTGTATTAAATTAAACAAATAAAGCAAAAAAAAGAATCAAAAATTGACAAGCCAACGAAAAAATTGAATTAATTGTAGAATAATTAAGTGCCGCTAATTTCACCGCTAATTTCGGAGAGACTTTCCAGGCTCGAGGAGGCAATACTTGGTATTAATGGTTGCCTCCAAATGTAAGAAAAGCTTATCCAAGCTAAAGAACTGATCCGCACGAAATTCGCTTTTTTGTTTCTTTTCACAATCATTAAATTGTAGTTTAATTGTTGAAGTTTAAATCGTAATTTTAGTTTAACTAAACGTTAATTAATTAATTTTTGATTCATTCATTTTCTTAAGCATCATTTCAATAAAAAATTACTTTTCTAATGGGATGCGATAATTTTGCCGGTGAGTGTAGTTACTTTTACATGTGTATAAACTTTCAAGATCATATCATCAAACTACAGACTTTTTACAGCAAAAAACAAAAAAAAACTTCTGAAGTCAAGGTCATTACAGCGAATTATTTCGAAAACGGAGCATTTGCACAAACTTTCAAGATCATATTATCAATCAAGAAGATTCTTAAAGCAAAATGCAAAAAAAAATCAAAATTCCAAAAGTAGATAAAGTAAAAATTTACCCAGACTTTTTACAGCAAAAAACAAAAAAAAACTTCTGAAGTCAAGGTCATTACAGGTAATTATTTTGAAAACGGAGCATTTGCACAAACTTTCAAGATCATATCATCAATCTAGAAGCTTCTTAAAGCCAAATGCAAAAAGAAAAAAAAAAATTCCAGAAGTAGCTAAAGTAAAAATGTGGGGGCGCATTCCTTACCTTCCTGCGTGTTTTCGAGCATCTCCTGTAGGATCAAGAAGTCGATGTTTTGCAAGCCACTTGTCGTTCCGAATTTCTGCATAAAAGCGAAAATAACGGCGAAATTCATTTTCAAAAAGAAACTTCGTTATCTCACGCCATTTGCAGTAGCTACGTTTGACACGAGGCGTTGAAGGGAACGCTGAATACGGCACAAAAGCAAGACATTACATGTTTTTAGAGGCGTCGGACGCGTTGAGACATTCACGAGATAACACAGAGGCCCATTTTGGGGCTAAACGAGCACATTTGGAAGGTTTTTCGGACCGACCCACCGACGATACACACACACACAGAGAGAGAGAGACAGACGACACAAGAATGAAGCAGGCGCTGGCGCTATGCTTCACCTGTGCTTCGTACAGTGACTTTTAGGGGATTTTCAAGCTGCAGGTTGGCAGCACACAAAGCGCACAATTTGAATTCAAACGATTTTAGTAACATTTAAAACGAATATTTTGTGATTTTAGACCAAAACAATTAAATTTTTGCAAGAATAAAGATTTTTTAAATTATTTTATTATTTCAATTATCTTCTTTGTTAGTTCTTCAGTTTCTGACTTCTCTTTTAGGTTTTATTTTAAGTTTTTTCGTTTTCTTTATTCGATTAATTCATTTTCAAGCTTTTTAAATTGCATAATTTTCTGTTTTGTCATTCATACGTACTCTTCATTTTCTTCTGTTATATATATTTTTTTAAGTTTTTTCTTTCTTTTGAATCTTTCGTCTTTTTCCCTTTTGTTTCTTCCTTCTTTTTTCTTTCTCATTATTCTTTTTTGTCTACCACTTTGTTATTTTGTATGTCTTCAATCAACTAAAGATTTTTTTAATTAATTTTTTTTATTTGTTTTTCCTTTTTCTTTCGTCATTATTTTATGTTGTTTTTTTAGTATTTTATTGTCTAGTTCAAACTACCATTTACTCATTTTTTGCATTTTCTAAAGTAACCCCAATTTTATCTTCAGTTTCTTCACTGTTCAAGTCTTTTGAAACATCTTCAAGTTTTGGCTCAGGTATTTCTTCCATTTTCACTTCTTCATTGATTTCGGCGGATCTATTTCTTCACAACGTTGTCATCAAATTTTTCAAATACACTAACAACATCGTTAATTTTTGCTTCAAACAAGCTTTCTTCCTTATCTACATTTGAAGGTTTTGCTTAATTTTCTTCACTTTTTTTATTCGGAAGTTCAGTCAGTTCTTTGGGTTTGTTTCTTCATTTACCTCTTTATTTTGCAGATTTACAGTACTGAAAACCTAATGATTATGGCACTTTCTTTAATTTCAGTTTTAATGCTTTGGAAAATACTTTCGTTTTTAGACTCTTTTAAACTTTTATCGCCACTCACTTCGGGTTCTTCAATCAATTTAACACTGTCTACACTTTTAGTTTCTTCTACAATTTTGACAGTATCTTCATTTTTAAGTTCCTCGTGAACTTTTGGTTCACTTCTTCATTTACTTCGTTATACCTTTCAATTTCAGGTTGTATTTCGGTTTTTTCTTCTTTACTCTTCACATTTTTCAGTAACGTTTTCCACACTAACAACATCGTCAATTTTTGCTTCAATCAAGCTTTCTTCTTTAGCTATATTTCAAGGTTTTGCTTCATTTATGTATATTTTTCCAAACACTAGACAACGTTGCCAGATTCGTTATTTTCGTTGAGTTGATTTACTCGCATAACTTTTTCAGCGCCCTGTGTTTTCATATAAAAAAAAGTTCGCGAAAAAAAAACATAAATTTTGAAAAAAAATCAAATACAAGTGAAACCAAAAAAACGAAAAATAAATGTAAATAAAAATTATGTTTTAGACTCAGAAATTATTATTGTGCCAAAATTCCAATTTTTCATAAGGTAATTAAAAAATCAACAAAAAATGCAAAAAAGATATATTTTTTAGTATTTAAAAAAAAACAATTAATTTATAATATTAATAAATACTCCTAGCAAATATTAAGTCTGTAAAATAGACATATTCCGTCCTCGTAGAACCATCACACTCGTCCTTTCCACATGTGCGGAATATGACATACTCTAAACTTGTTACAAAATATACTATTTTTGAGAATAGAAAAAATTCAAAGACAACTACTATCTCTATCTTCATAATTTTTTCAAAAAAATGGACCTACACTTGTTTTTTAATATTTGTAAAGCAAAAAAATAACCGGGTGTCCCAGGCAAGCTTGGATATAGGAAATTAACATGAGAAATTAGTTTTAATTTTTTTCCGGCTGCAGGAGTAACAGAAATCAACATCTGATGAATGAAGCTTGTAGTGCTCGAAAAGGGTTATCTTATCGGCATTTTTATCAATTCTTCAATTAACTCCATTTGGACGAAAACCTCCCTCAAAAAATCAAAATTTGAATTTGCCGCGTTAGCGTTACTAAGAAACATTGTTGCCAACAGAAAATTTGTCAATTAAAAGACCATGTTTTCCGAATGTTTTTTAAAAAAATAATTGTTAAATTTCCAACAAAACACATCAATAATTGAATGGAAATGCTTTTCAAGCCAAAGTAAAATTAGAGTGATAAATCATGTTTTAGCTGACAAATTCTCTGTTGGCAACGATGACTTCATAGTTCGTTTCTTAGTAACGCTAACGCGGCAAATTCAAATTTCGATTTTCAAAGGCCGTTTTCTCCCAAATGAAGTTTATTAAAAAATCGGACACCCGGTATATATTTTATCTGACTGGAGTGATAGAATTTTTATTGAAAACATTATTGTGTTATTGGTCTGATTTTACGCTAATTTCCGACGAATGTGACCCCAAATGCGACCTTAGGGCCTGTGCTTGTATAAACCCTTTATTACAAATAGGACAAACATGTGACCTCTCATCAGTGTGCACTTTAGAATGAACTTTCAAACTACTCATCCTGTTAAAACTTTTCGAACAAACGTCACACGAGTATGGCTTTAGACTAGTATGGATAATAGCATGGCGTTTTAATCTAGTCGACGACGGAAACGCCTTTTCACACACACTGAAAATAAAAGCGTAAAAACCCTAACCAACAAGTGACAAAATCCATACTCGCATTTATACGGCCTTTCCCCTGTATGAATCCTCAAATGTTGCACTAAATGCGACTGCATTGACATCGTTTTACCACAAACGTTGCACATGTACGGCTTTTCCTTCGTGTGGGACCTCATATGGTACCCCAAATCGGCCGCTTGTCTACCAAAAAAATTTAATTAAACCTAAATCACAAATACGGAGAACTACAGAGTGGTTATAAATGATTTTCATCCGAATTTTTTTGCATGTAACTTTATTTGTGCCGCTCTACTTTTTCGAAAGCTCTAGTTCTGTAATTAGTGTCACTTATTAATTATTAATAAATTGTTGTTAATTAAACTTTTATTGTTTCAACTAATTTCCAATAATAATCGATAATAATAAGAAAACAAGTTTATAATTGAAGTCTGTTTGGTAGTGGACGCTTAGAATAGTAAACGGCGATTTTTTAATTTTGAGTTAAAACAAGTAGGTACCCCTATTTTCGTAAAGCGGCATTTTTTATTTTACATGGAAAATTCACAGCTGGCTAAATAAAAATCATTTATAACCATTTGTATATATACTAGGAGACGAAACGAGATACAAAATTCCTCGATTTTTGGTACGGCGGAGTAAAAATGAGGGCACTTAGAGCGTTTCAAATCGTTTTAAATTAATTTAAATTCAACCAGTCTACTAATTGCTTGGGAAAAAATGCAAAAATGTTGAGCTTTACATTCTTAATAAGCTGTGAAAAAGGAACAATTAAATTTTTCACGAGAAATATGAGAAAAAAATATTTAAAATTTAAAATCTGTGCTCCGTTTCATATTTTTAAAATGCTGCGAATACGGTTGAAAATACAAGAAAAATGTAAGAAAGAAAGTTGTAGAGAACAAAATTTTCTAGTAAAAAGTCCTGGAGACCATACTTCTATTTTTAATGGTTTAGGCCTCAAAGACGTTCAAAGCCGCCCAAACGACGGATTCGTTTCATTTTTACTGGTGATTCAAGGCCTCAGGAACACTTTAAAGCAATTTAAACCTAAACCGTTGAAGACAGAAATATGGTCTCGCGGACTTTTTTGTAGCAAATTTTATTCTCTACAATTTTGTTTCTTACACTTTTTTTGTATCTTTAACCGTATTCGCAGCGTTCTCAAAAATATTGGGCCGAACGCAAACTGAAATTTATTTTTTATACTGTTTTCGATATTTTTGAGAACGCTGCTAATACGGTTGAAGATACAAAAAAAACTGTAGGTAACAAAGTTGGAGAGAATTAAATTTCCTACAAAAAAAGTCCGCGAGACTATATCTCTATCTTCAACGGTTTAGGTTTAAATTAATTTTCTGTCTCTTGACCACCGGTAAAAATGTATTCGCAGCATTTTCAAAATTTTAGCAAATTGCTAAATGTTTGAAATTTTTTTTAATATAATTTTCAATAAAAATTTCGCATTATCTTTATCTCTTATTATTGAGAATTTAATGCTCTATTTGTCTACAGGGTGTTCCGTCTAAACCCCACATTTTAAGTATTGGAAGTTTGAATAATCGTATTTATTTGAAAATTGGTACATAGCCATAAACCATTAAGTCCTCCTAAATGAAAATATTTTTAAGATAGCGGCACTTCCGGTTATACCGGAAGTCGGTCTCAACTTTCTTATTTTAAATGGAAACGTATATTTTTTACTACGTTTTTGGATAAATCGGGTTATTTTAAGGGCGTTTTCATCAGCTTTCCCTATACCTAAATTTAGCCGTTTTTGAAATATTTGGAGTTTTTCAAAAATTTTTGGATTTGCACCTTCCACTTTAAAAACCGGTAACTCTGCTATTTTTTAAGATTTTGAATTCGTTTTTTGGCGTTTGAAAGATAAAGCTTAGATCCTTTTCCTGGTGTTTACAAATTTTGAAAAAAAAAATAACATATCCCAAAATTTTAAGGTTACTTTTGTAATAATTCAAATACTCATAACTCAATTTTTTCAAATGAAATACCCCAATTTTTATTTTAATAAATAGAAGAGAATTTAATTGTGCATTGATCTGTATTAACATTCCCTATACCTAAATTTAATAATTTTCAAGTTATGAACTTTTTGTTAAGACTATAGAAAATTTATTACTAGCCGTTTTCACATAGTTTGCTATGGAAATCAAAAATGTCAAAATTTTCTCTAAACAAACGTCAACAGTAAATTACTAAATATGACGAATCAAAGTTATGCAAACTTAATTATTATTGATAGGTTCTACTAGGCGATCATTATTTAAGTGAGAAAAATTTATTTTTGTTTAATGAACGACATCATAATTTTATTACACTCTCCATAAATACAAAATAAATTAATAAAATCTAAGTTTGAGTAGCTTTGACTCTCCATATTTTGGCACTATTTGTTAAATAATAAGTCACTGTCGACGTTTATTGAGAAACAATTTTGACATTTTTGATTTCCATAACAAACTATACGAAAACGTAATAGATTTTCCGCAGTCTTAACAAAAAGTTACCATAACTTAAAAATGATGTTAATACAGATCGATGCAGAATTAAATTCTCTTCCATTTAGTAAAATAAAAATTGGGGTATTTCATTTGGAAAAATTGAATTATTACAAAAGTAACCTTAAAATTTTAGGGTTTGTTAATTTTTTTCCAAAATTTGAAAACACCGGAAGAAAGATCTAAACTTTCTCTTTCAAACGCCAAAAAAAAGAATTCAAAATTTTAAAAAATAGCAGAGTTACCGATTTTTAAAGTGGAAAGTGCAGATCCAAAAATTTTTGAAAAAAAAACTCCAAATATTTCAAAAACGGCTAAATTTAGGTATAGGGAAAGCTGATGAAAACTCCCTTAAAATAACACCATTAATCCAAAAACGCAGTAAAAAATATACCTTTCCATTTAAAATAAGAAAGTTGAGACCGACTTCCGGTATAACCGGAAGTGCCGCCATCTTGAAAATATTTTCATTTAGGAGGACTTAATGCATTATGGCTATGTAACAATTTTTAAACAAATATGATTATTCGAACTTCCAATACTTTTAATGTGGGGTTTATACGGGACACCCTGTATATTTTTTTTTTCATTGCTCTTAAAGCTTAAATGGGAAAAGAACAACTGCGCTATCTGGCCTCCCTGACGGAACTATCAAAAACAGGGACGTTTTGTTTTACATCGTGTCGTATCCTAGTCTTTAGGTATCCGTAATCAAAAAAAAAAAAAAAATCACTGTACCTAAAGCCCCGGCCACAAATCGAGCATAAGAACGGCCTTTGACCCGTATGGACCCTCATATGTGCCGTCAATGTCCCCGACTGCTTGTATTTTTTACCACAGATTTTGCAAACGTAAGGTTGGACACTTGTATGACTCCTTTGATGGTAAACAAAGGAGCCGTATTGTTTGAAAGTTTTACCACAAGTTTTACACTTGTAGGATTTCTCTTCCGAATGGTTTCTCATATGGACTCGTAAACTGTTCGCATACTTGTATGTTTTTTTGCAAACTGTGCACGTAAAATTCTGCAATTACAAGGTGGAAGTTTAACACGAACGTATTGAGTGGTGTAATTTCAATAAATTTAATAAAATATAATACAATTACAAGATGTCCCAGCGAGTTGGCAAAGTCCATTAGTGACTTTTAAATATACCGGGTGCGGTATCGGTTACGCACATTGATAAATTGTGACTTCTAATTAATTAAAACTGGCGATATTTCGTATACCTAACTAATTATTGATAGGGTATAATTTGAGAATTTTTCAATTTTTTTTTGATAATAAATAAGTCCGTAACAGTTTTGTGTATTTTATAAATACTTTCTGTTAATTTACCTAAAAAGTTTTTACACTAAATGAATCTGTACCTGCTAGCGCATCAAACTTTGATATCACAATTTGAAATTTTGACTTGGTTAGCCAAATACCTATTTGCTTTTTTTATTTAAACACAAACCAGACCCATGATTTAGGACAAAATGGTATAATTTGCCAACAAAAGAATCATTTACTGGTAGGCGACAGCTTTAAAAGGTCTTTTTGTTGTAAACCTTGGAATCTTACCCCAATTGCAGTTCCTCATTGTCACCTAAATTTACGATGGCACAAGTAGCAGCTCATAAATAAAAATAATTTTCAAAGTTAAGATGGAAAATTGCGTTTAATTCAAAATCTAATTGGTATTTTTTTTCTGATTTTGTAAACAATTGTAGAAAGTAGGTCAGTATAAAAATTAGAATCAAGCATTTTGGGAGAAAATTACTTTTTGTTCTTTTTTTGGCTTTGTTTGTAAATGCAAAATTACCAACAAATTAGAGAATGTACCTTACTGATGCCCAAATAAGTGGGAATTTTGTCTTACTAGATAGAATTCAAAATTTAGAAAAAAAAGTTACAGAGGAAGCAAATGTAAGATTTCAAAAGTCGAATAAGCTGTATGAAAATAAACTTGAAAAACTAAAGAAAATGCAGGAAAAAATTGACAAAAATTGACAGTAAAGGTCAACATTGTGTTGGGCTGTGTTTTTACTTCATCAAATTTATAATTATTCACTAAAAAACCCAAGATGGTCTGAAGTTACAGTACGTCATTGTATTGCCTGGAGGTACATTTCTTCAAAAAGTTATGAATTTGCGAAAAGTCATTTTTTAAAAGCTCCATCCCTCCATCCAGAAGAACTTTAGACAAATATGTGGGAAATTCTCAAGAGGATCCAGGCTTGATTAATTTAATTAAAAACAGAATAACTGTTAAAGGCAATAATTTAAAAGACGTTGAGAAAATATGTTCCCTTATTATAGATGACATGGCCATTAAAGAAAAATGGAGTATAGTCGAAGAGAAAATACATTTTACGGCATTGCAAATACTGAGAACGAAATAATAGGAAAAAAGCCCATTTTAGCCAATAAACTGTTGTGCGTCGTTATTCATGGATTGTCTACCAAATACACTATTTCCGTTGGATACTTTTTTCATAAAACACTTTCGACTGAACAGTTTTTTAATATGAGCATAAATGTAATAAAACAGGTACATGAATGTGGCTTCAAAATCTTGAGATGGGTAAGTGACAATCATAAATCAAATGTTGCACTTTTTAAAATGTTAGGACAAACAGAGCTGAAAAAACCAACGTCCAAATAAAAAATATAATTAATCCTAGTGTTTTTTATTCGAAGTATTGAAGAAATAATAAAGAGTTATTGTAATATGTTAATGCTCTTGTAAATTTGTAAAAATTAAAAATTTCTATCTAACCCAAATGTAAATCTTAATTTTTTTAAATAAATAAAATTATTTGCGTATAAAATGTTTTAATTTCTGATGTTTTTCGTCTAGTTCTTAGAAAAAATAAAATCAAAAGTAAACAATTATGCATTTATTATTATACAACTCATAGAACACAAAAGTAAATTTTTGTATACAAAAATTTATCAAGGTTTCAAACCAAAATATACAGATTCCATTGGAGCGCGGACTCGTCGCTTCCCCATAGCCATTTTTTGGCATTGCCCAGACTTTAATTACTGTCAATCAACGCAGACGACAGTGCATAGATATCTGGTATTTCAAATTTCTTATCTCTGGGGATAGGCGTAGAGGTTTCAGTTTTTCTACTTCTTTGCAAAGTTCGTGCAAGAGTAGGTTTCTTTGGCAGGCACACCTTAACTCCATCTGAAAGTTTCTCGTTCACTTCAGCCATAGCTTGCTTTGGTGTCACACCAGGATAGGCCATCAATTTTTTCATTTCTGTAATGGCTTTGCTGGCCAAAGGTTGAAAAGTCGTAATATTATGCGTGTGATCGTTAGGATGCTGTACAATTCTAGTCCCCCTTGTATGCATAACTGACTTGCATTTTTCAGCTTGATGTTTTCTGCAGCGCCAGTGTGTAATATTTTCAGATGTCACCCGGTGTTTGATGTATTCATGGGAATGGTATATCAGTGTCTGACCTCCTCGAGAAGTTGATCCAAACGAAAATGTTTCATTTTCCATCTTGATGTTTCACAAAAACACAAATTTTCAACGCAACAGTAAATAACTATAGAAAGATAAGAATAATAATGAAGAAATTTTAGATTTCGGCCTAAATATACAGGATGCGCCAGAACTCGCGCCCCAAAGAAAAATGCCATATAAGGTAAGATACCAGGAACATGGAAAAAATGTTAAAAAAAAATTATTTATAAAAATTTCGAAGTTATGAGGGTTTAAAGTTTTTAAAGTTTGCACTTTGACTCTATTTATTTCTGTTGGAAAAATAATTTTCCAAGTTTTTTTGCTATAGGCTATTAAAAGAGACAACAAGGAAGCTGTATTCTAAATTGTAACTCTGTTCAATGTTATTTGTGGCTTTTATTGGCAAAATTTTTGTCCCTTTATTATATAATTGTAAAAAAAAACATATACAAGATCATCAGTATCATTAAATAGATATAAAAAAATGTCAAATGTCAAAAAATATGTCAAAATTTTTTGACAGATAGAATTTTTTAAACATTTTTTTCATGTTCCTGGTATCTTACCTTACTTGAAAATTTTCTCTGGTGCGCGAGTTCTGGCACACCCTGTATATGTAAATTAATTTTTCTGAAGACTCAGGATGTTAATCTCTTAATTGAGCTATGGGTATTTGAATTATTACAAAAGTAACCTTAAAATTTTTGTTAATTTTTTTTTCAAAATTTGAAAACAGGAAGAAAGATCTAAACTTTCTCTTTCAAACGCTAAAAAAAACGAATTCAAAATTATGGCTATGTACCAATTTTCAAACAAATATGATTATTCGAACTCCCAATACTTTTAATGTGGGATTTAGACGGAACAGCCTGTATATTAACAGCAGTGAAATATTATAAAAATTTTCTGAAAACGTTAATGTGAACCAGAATTTTATAGCAAAATTTTGCAAATGGATGTGATGAAATTGTATGTGATGAATTGGGATGTGATGAAGTGTCGCATTAATGAATTGTCGCCGGAATGAAGTGTCCGTGATGAGATGTCGCGTGATGAAATGTCGTGTGATGGGTTGTCGGGACACCACCTTACTTACTAATGCCCAGGTAAGTGTGCAAAAATTCAACAATTTTATTTAATTAGAAGTGGGGATTTTTTTCTTTGCGTAACGCATGCCGCACCCGGTATATACCAGGTGAATAAAAAGTATGGAACCAAGCGTTTTTTTGCTTAAACTATGTATTTTTTGGAAAAAACAATTGATAAATGATAAAGTACTATAAAAATTTAATGTTTTATCAAGAATAAATATTTTTGAAATTTTCTTGTTTTTGAATTCCACAAAAAAATTATTTTTTTAAATGGCAACCCAATATAAAACTATTTTTCTCATGAAGGTTATGATCTAAGGATTACAACTATCTACTTTATATTTCCCTTTTTTTTTAATTTTTTTACATAAACTGCAATTTTGACAAAAAAAACATCGCATAACTTAAAAACAAAACAAAATTTCGTTCTCAAAATATGATCACATTTTTTATATTACTTTAATTTATATTAATTTTAATTTTCTACAGCCAAATGCTTAAAAAAATCGCTTGGTTCCATACTTTATATTCTCCCTGTTTACATTTATTACACAAAAACTAAGACAGCTATAACAATTTTTTTCATAGTTCTGCAAAGAAGAAAGTACAGAATTTAAAGCTGTAGCAATTTTTTAGTGTCTTGCATTTGTAAAGATTAATAAATTAAGAAGTTTGTTAAAAGTTAAATAACTTAAAAAATTTAAATAGAACACCCTATTTTTTATTTTTGCATCTATAAATTGTCCAAAAATAATAATTTTTAATGTCTAGAATTAATAAATGAAAAGATATTTAACATTCAACATTAATTGTAGAGATTGTAAAAGTCATTATAAATACTGAAATTCGAATTATTTTATTGTAAACATGAAGAATAATGGAATCAGTTTTAACACAAATGTGATTATTAAGTGATATTTTTCCATCTCTTGTGCAACTGCACTTTTTGACTACTGAAACAATAGTATTTTTTTTTTATATTTAACGTTAAATATCTTTTTAGTTATTGATTATAAACCCTAAAAGAAATAATTTTAGAAAGACAATTTAATATTCTTTTAAATGCAAAAACAATAAATAGAGTGTTCCATTTAAATTTTTTAAGTTATTGAACTTTTAACAAACGCCTTCATTTTTTTATCTCTGCAAATGTAACACACTAAAAAAATATTACAACCTTATAGCCTGTGCCTTCTTCTTTGCGGTAGTAAAAAAATATTTCTAGATGCCTTTCTAGTTTTTGTGTAATAAATTTTTAAAAAGTGCATGTTTTCGTCAAAAAAACCGTCTTATTTTTAAAACTAAGCTAAATCGACAAATAAAAGTTTGGTTTAAAAACATTGTCATAAAAATCTACATCTAAAAACACTAAGAAACATATGGTGTTTCATTTAAAAAAACACAAGTTTGTATTGTAACTTATTTTTGAGACACGCTGTATAGTTGATAATAATTTTAGGCGAAGGACGAGATTAGTATCTATCAATGTCCTATATAAATTTTTGTTAATTTTATCATTTAAAGGTCACTAATGTACTTTTTTAACTCGCTGAGACACCCTGTATAGTAAAAAAACCTACTTTTTCTCCTCCACTTGTTTGATCTTCTGACAATTCTGTTGTTTCCGTATCTGCACATTCAAACTCATCTGACAAATTGTCGTGTACAATTTTTTTAACCACAAAAAACTCATTTTTTACGTTTTTGTCAGGTTCTTCAAGCGTAACAGTTGTCTCTTGTCGCTGTTTAACTAACGTTTCCAGAATATTTTGCGACCGGTTGCATTGTTTTTGAAATTTGAAAGAAGCATGAGCCAAATCGATACATTTTGAGCATATTAAAGACGGAAAACCGTCATTAGGCACGGCCTAAAAGTGTTAATCAACTAATTAGAACAACATGATCAATTTATACCTTTATTGATGAAATATTTGATAAAATCTCGTCGATACACGGAATGTTGCTCTCCTCTGAATGCACTTCGTACAATTCGCTAAAAATCGAAAACATGACCTTATTTTCCGTCAGACACGTTCTACAAATTTTATCCAAATTAAGACTTCCCATATTTTCCATTATTTCAAGCCAGGAATGAACAATTTCAAGTTGAAGTTGTTAAAAATTTGTTGGTTATTTGATTTGACAGCTGTTCACAACCAATCACAGGTGAGATTTATAAATGACACATGACGTGGTTTCATCGCCAACTGTTGAATCAAAAACCCCTGACATTTTATAAAATTTTATTAAATTGCAAAATTTAATCAATCTTGACACTTTTTACAAAATTCTCACTGTCACCATGTCTCCTATTGATATGTTCCTTGAGATAATACCTCCTGATAAACCCTTTTCCGCACATTTCACAAACATGTGGCCTCTCTTTGGTATGGACCATCATATGATAATTCAAATGCATTTTCCTCAGAAATGCTTTATTGCAAACGCTACAAACGTGGGGTTTAAGACCTGCATGGATCGCTTCGTGTCTTTGCAAATCATTTTTCTTAATAAAGGCTTTGTCACACTGCTTACAAGGAAACGGCCTCTCCCCTAAGAAAAACAATTCATTTGAAGTCGATTTTTAGTAGTTTTATACCTGAATGAGTCTTGAGGTGTCTGTCCATGTGACAAAGAATCGCAAACGATTTTCCACACACTTCACAAGTGTATGGTTTTTCTTTGGTATGAGTCCTGGTGTGGTAAGTCAATCCGGTTGGGTGACTGAAAGACTTGCCACAAACTGTACACAAATAAGGCTTGATTCCAGTATGGGTGCGAGAATGAAGATTCAAATTGTTAGAAGAAGAGAATTTTTTGTGGCATTTGGGACACTCGTAGTTTTTTTCACCAGTGTGGACCCTCGTATGCCTCGTGAGGCACGACTGGGAGTTGAAACCTTTGCCACAGACATTGCACACAAAATGGCCCTCGTACAGGTGTCTTTTCAAGTGGGCACTTAGGATAGATTTATTTTTAAACAATTTGTTGCATTGTTGGCAGTATAAAAGACTATCTAGATCGTCAAACTTGTTTCCTTTGGTTTTTTTGACTTTGGTTTTTTTTTCGAGAACTTTGGTTTCGTGGGGTTCTTGTGGAGCTTTGGTGGTTAATAGGCTTCTGAAGATTTCATTTGATTGGTCACATTGGATTTTAAATTTGTAAAGAGTGTCGGCTTTCTTGATACAATTTGGGCATATACTGTCAGGGAAGTTTTCGGTTAGCTACGAAGAGATTGTAAATAATTGAGAAACTTGAAACTGGTGATAGGTAATAATACTTTGATTTCTGCAAATAAATTTAGGACGTGTAAAATTGGAATCTGATTGTCGTTGCAATTGATGAACGTGTTTTCAATTTTAACCACATCTTCTACTATGTTTACACAGGTTCGACACGTATTTTTAGGAAAAGATAAATCCATTTTGTTTAATTATTTTTTGTGATTTAAAGGTTAACTTTAAAAAACACCATTTGCTGCGTTCGGCTTCCAAACTTTGGAGTTAGAGTGGGAACCAGAGTAAAGTCACATGACCAAAGAGTAAATGTCAATTCGTTAAACTTGTACACTTGGTTACAAAAAATCGGAAAATGTCACAGATGATTCTTATATTTATCCATTTGGGAACAACCTTTTTCACACTATATAAATCTCTGAAAAATTTGACAATTTTGTTTTTGACAATTTGCGTTTTTTTTTACACTCAAGTGTACAACTTGTCAACTATGATTGACAAAAAATAAGGTTAACAGTCCTAAAGCATGCTTTACATTTTAATATCACTCAAGTGACATTGACGACCAAAGTATTTTGTCACCAACTGTACCTTCGCGGGAAAGTACCGTGCGATCAAAAAAAAAAAAAAATAAATTAGAGTAGGCGGTGATTAAAGTCCTTCAGATAGCAATCCTGATTTTTGACATCAAATGTCAGCGGAAACTTTTTGAGTGAAATAATGTTCACTTTAGAGCAGAAAATTTTTATTGTTCTAGGTACAAGAGGAAAACGGTGGATGGTCATTTTCACTTTCAGTTGTCAGAAATGTGTTGCCAACTGTAGAATTTAATCGACGCCTACTCTAATTTATTTTTTATTTTATCGCACGGTACATTTTAGTAGGAATGTCTTGAAAAAAAAATCAGTTTTATTATTGCACACAATAATACAGGGAGCGCCAGAACTCGCTCCCCAGAGGAAAATGCCATATAAGGTAAGATACCAGGAACATGGAAAAAATGTTAAAAAAATTCTATCTATAAAAATTTCGAAGTTATGACAGTTTAAATTTTGCACTTTGATTCTATTTATTTCTGTTGGAAAAATAATTTTCCAAGTTTTTTTGCTACAGGCTATTAGAAGAGGAAACAAAGGAAGTTGTATCCTAAATTGTAACTCTGTTCAATCTTATTTGTGGCTTTTATTGGCAAAATTTTTGTACCTTTACTAAATAATTGTAAAAAACATATACAAAATTATCAGTATTATTAAATAGAAATAGAAAAAATAAATGTCAAAAGTTTTTGACAGATAGAATTTTTTAAACATTTTTTCCATGTTCCTGGTATCTTATCTTACTTAACATTTTTCTCTGGGGCGCGAGTTCTGGCGCACCCTGTATAACTGCGTTTCGAGGCCTAAAAAATTAATAATTTGAATGTTAGTCGATGTATCCCAACCTCCAAAAACTGTAATAAAATTATTTGGAATAATTGCACATCTTACCGCGTCATTGTGGAATGTGTTGGTAACACATTGCTTTCCGCACAATAAAAGTGTAAAGTGTCAAAATTGTGTCAAAATTCTGTCAAAACACTGTCCGCGTAGGAATATCCGGACGTATTGCGATACCAACCCAACATGTTTCAAATTAGTGCAATTTAGAAATTTTAGCAGAGCGATTCTAGTATTTTTCTTGTTATAGAGTTTTTCACCAAGATGTCAAAAAAGTAAAATGTACAGTTTACAAAGTATACTCATTTAAATACGGCATTGCAGAAAAAATTATTTGAATGCAATGATGACAAAATGACAACTAAATTGACAAGGCCAAAACCTGTTTCGTTCTAAAGAAAATTCAATTTTCCGTTTTCATTGCAACCAACTGTACCTGGTGACTAATGTAATGTCAACTGTGAATCATTTAGGTTAACTAAATCGTGGTCAAGGCTGGTTAAGTTATAGGTTGCCTGCTAACTTCTAGCCAATCAGCGGTAAGGTATAAAACGCGGGAAGTGACGTCAGCCAGCGTGCCGGTTTAAAAATGCAACGTACTGTGAAATCACACTTATGTAAAAATAAAACCACACAGCGTAATTTTTTGGTAAAATGTAATAAAAAATACATAAGAAACAAAAATTTTGTGGAATTTCATAAATTAAACGCAATTTTATCTTCTTATAAAATCACAAGTAATGTCTCGAGGTCCTAAATAAATAAAAATTGTGATGTCTGAGTATTATAACTAATTGACAATTTTTTTCATTTTTTTAGTTATGTTTCTGGAGGTACTAGGAGCGGCTTTTCTTTTACGAAGTTTGGTTTCTTCTCTCTTTACATTAAGATATTTAATTCTCACAAAAATTCGTTGGCGGGCGAACGCTTTAACAAGATCTTGGGGTATATCGGTGTTTACTTTAGATTGTATGTATAAAGATGTTCTGTTTATAATTTTTTGACGTGAGTTAAAAGTATCTTGATGAAGCTTTTTAAAATATTTTTCCATCAACTTTACTTGCTGCATCCAAGATTCTGACGGTTGAATTAAACCACCAAAGGATAAACTTTGTATCCAAGAAGGTACAGCATAAGAATGTATGTTTTTGGCTTCATCCGTTCCGTGGGTATACTGTCCTAAATGTGGGTATTTTTGAAGATATTTTTTGGCGAGGTAACCTGCAATGTACATAAGTCCATCCTTTTCGGCTTGTACGGCACTGCCAGAAGCAGATGAACCACTTGTTGAGCTAGTAGTAGAACTACTCTCGTCTGGAATGTCTTCGAAATTGAGTTGCGGTTCTGGAACTCTGATATTTTGAATTTTGGCTTGTTTTAATGCCTTTGCGAGTAAATATTCTTCGTCTTCCAGTCCAGGTGGTGATTCAACATTTGTGTTGGTCTGCGTAATCCCCGGATTTTTGCCTAAAAGAATCATACGCAGTCTATAAATGGCATTTAGAGGTGACGGGTGGTCGTGGAGGCCGCCTCTAGTACGTAACTAAAACACCTGCCTTAAGCAAAATGTATCACTTTAAGTCCAAGCACCTACCTGAGAAAATAAGTTCTCTAAACAATCTTGATTCAAGCGATGAGTTAAAATGAAGGAAACATTTAAAGAATTGTTTAGATATTTAAACAAATCCTGCAGCGAAGTTATAGAAATTATTATTCCCTTTTGAAAAATTTGCAACGTGTTCTTTCCTCTGCATCGCATACCAGCTACAGTCGTTTTCATCTCATTCAAAATGACGTTTTGTTGCTGCATATCTGTACCATATGGTTTTTTAGATGGTACTTTAGCTGACGGTGTGTATGAGTTTAAGATATCAAACCAATTGTTCACTAGTTCGACAAACGCTCCCACGTTTTTTGCCAGCATTACATCATTCCCTGGTAAATAACGTTTTAACGCGGTGGCGACGGTATTAGAAAACACTTCTGCTGCCAATCTAACATTTTGCCGTTGCGTTCTTTTACACTGTATATGCATTGAAGTTAATTTGTGGCACGAAGAAATTTCTGCGTTAGAAGTTTCTATCAGTGCTTTGATGGGATCTGCATTAATAATCACTCCATTTTCTAGTATGAACCCAGTGTCAATCAGCCAATTTCGCAGTAATTTTAAAAGGTGTGGAACGTCAGCAAAGAAGTACACAGGCTCTTGTGTGTCAGGGTGAACTGTATATGTTTTCTTTATATTTATATCCAATTCTTTCCATAATCCTTGATTTCCAGAACCACAATCTGATGTGCAAGCGACTACATTATAATTAATTTTATGCAATCTTGAAATTATATTTTCCAGCACAGTTTTTGTCATCTTTTTATCAAAAGCAATATAAACTGGCTCCTTCCAATTATCAAACAATCCTCTAGCCATAACTACTTGCATGTATGCATGCGGCCCCAGCACTTCATCCTCTTTTTGATCATACTCATATGTTGACATCACCTTCACTTCATCAAAACTCAACACCGTTGTCCTCTGCACTGCATTTTTTACTTTGCCTGTGGTTTCCATAACCTGAAGAATGGAATTTAAAATACCATTCTTTAAATTTATATTTGCTGCCCACTGTTGTAATGTTGATATTCCTGGTAAGGGATAGTGTAACGTTTCTCTTAAATATATATAGCTCCTTTTACTAAAATATCTCAATGTAAAGGCTCTCGATAATTCTTCTTGCGTCCATCGAGCTCTGCTTTTCTTTTTTAATACAATATCTACTTGGTTAGATGTCAAAAAATCCTTAAAAGCGACTTTAACTTTGTCTTCAAAATTTATATTTGATTTTTCTAACTGCTTCACCAATTCGGTAATGTGGTGTTTCATTTTTTCAACATTACTTTCTTCTGACAACAGTTTTCGTTTCAAAATTTCACTTTCTTTTTGCAACATTTCTAATTTTACACGTAGGTCGCTGTCCAACCCTCTACTTGATGTTTCTACATCCAAGATGTTCATTACGGCCGCACTTTGGGAACATTCACCTAATAAAACTGGAGCATTGTTTTCAGAAAGTTTTGGTGTCCTGGTTAGGCTTTCTACAAGAATCTTTCTTTCTTTTTCCTGACAACGTTTAACTCTATCTGAGGTTTCTTTTAAAACCATGCCAGCTGGTAATAAATGAAGTGATGGAATAGCTGTACCAAAAAAAAAACTATAACAACACTAAATCACAATTTACTACCGTAGTTACCATTTTTTTTCAATTTTCTAGGGAAAGTATTCATTAATTTCGCTTGCATTTGGTCTTCATAATCGTCTTCTTTAAAATGTTTACTGCAAATCCTTTTGTTCTCTGGATTTAATTTATCCTTACGATGGCACCGTTTAATCCACTCTTTTCGCAGCTGAGGATTTTTGGGAAACGTAAAAAACATTATGTGTTCTCCCATTTCCTTTGCTTTTTTGGAATTGCTTTTACAGATGGCAACGCTACAGATACTTCCACCGGGCATCTAAACAATAATTATAATAATTAAAATAATTAAAATGTATTAGATAATACGAAAACTACCAAGTAAAATGTTTATCGATTCTATGTTCAATACATGTGTTATCACTATAAACACCACAATACAGTTTTTAGTAACAGTATTATAAACTATTCGTCAATCGCTATCACTCAAACAACTTGACACATTGACCAAGAAAAAGCGCTGGTTTCGCGGCACGCTTGATGACGCGGCAATATGGCGACTGCCCAATTTATCAGGCAACCTACTAATCAACCAGCCTTGATCGTGGTGATGTGTTTCTTTTATGTAAGTATTTAAGTATTATTCTGACGTGAATGAAGTTAGCTCTTATTACTCCGTTTTCAATAAATTAACTCCAATTATTCCAAGTGGCAAATCCGAACGCAGAAAGTTCATTTTATTGTCAAAAGGCTGAGAATAGCCGAACGCAGGAACTATAGAGTGTTGCCAGTCCAAAAAAAAATAAAATTCACCAGATCCGAGACCATTTTTTGACAATTGACAGATAATTTAATGGTTATGTTACGGTTCTGTTGTTTTTACAAGAAAAGATTGCTTTTTCTAAATGAAACCATAAATAACTCATTAGTGACTAGTAGTTTAAATGCTTCAAACTCATATTTGGTGATTGAAAATAATGGGGCCCCATAGGAAGCACCAGAAACGTGCAGAGTCCACTTCTGATAGCAGTTCTACCGATTCAAGCCCCACTATACGTAAAAGGAGCCGGTCTGATTCTTCTAAGAAAAAGAAGCGAAAGTTGAAGCACAAACACGTTTCGTCATCCTCCGATTCTTCCTCAAGTGACTCAACTCCAACATCCTCAAGTTCAGATTCAGAAGAAGAGAAATTAAAGAAAAAAATTAAGAAGAAAGCCAAACATAAGAAATGTAAAAAACAGAAGTGTGAGGCACAGACAAGTGATATTCCTCTGGAATTGATGGCAAAATCCAAAGCCATGGCCCCCATGACTAAAGAACAGTGGGAGAAACAACAGAACGTCGTACGCCGTGTTTACGACGAGGCTACTGGCCGGCACAGGTCCGTGTTTATATTTTTTTAAAGCCCCCTTGAAACCCCGTTTCAGGCTTATCAGAGGCGATGGCGAAGTCATTGAAGAAATAGTGAGTCGTGAACGGCACAAAGCAATCAACCAGCAGGCCACCCGTGGCGATGGCGAATTCTTCCAAGCTCAAATGTTCAATCGTTTGAAAAAATAATAATACAGTTTAAAATATATGTATTTGATTCAATATAATTGTATAAAATATGAGGTTGAGCCATCTCGCCATGAGGGATCGTCTACGATTTTGGCTCGGCACAAGGGACAAGTTTGTTCGCGATCAAACCACGTGGTTACGCAATTTTCGCAAAAGATGTGTCTGCATTGGAGGAGGACTGGGGAGTCGTAGTTGTCGTGGCAGATGGGGCAATGGTCGCCCGCCGCCTGGATTTGCTCCTTGTTGGGTGATGAGCCCACAGTCTGAAAAATTAAATAAAAAAAAATAATTATAATATACAGGGTGTATGGAAAAGATGGGGACAAAGAGTAACCTGAGATGATTTAATTAAACTTACTTTTATACCAAGTTGTACCGTTTAAAAGTTACAGGACGCCAATGCAATTATGATTTTTTTGTTTAAATTAGTAATTAATTACTTTACTGTTAACTAACAGATATTAAAACCTAATAGTATATTATATCACAATGTGGAGAACAGATTTTTTATAGCCGAGCTATCTGATGCTACGCATGCGCGGCTATAAAAATCTCTACCGTGTTTTATATAACATTTTTTTCACTACTAGCAACCAAAGAGACAAGAAAGAGACACTGGTAAAATAATATGCTTAAGCGCAGAAATAAAATTTTTACTCCATGCCTCAAAGATAAAACTTTTGCTTATAACATTTAATCATAAAAGTGGTCACTTTTGTGACGTTTATGGATAAAAATTTATTATACATACAGGCTGTGCCAGAACTCGCGCCCCAGCGAAAATTTTCAAGTAAGGTAAGATACCAGGAACATGAAAAAAATGTTTAAAAAATTCTATCTGTCAAAAAAATTTGATATTTATTTTTTGACATTTGACATTTTTTTATGTCTATTTAATGATACTGATGATGTTTTTTACAATCATTTAGTAAAGGGACAAAAAATTTGCCAATAAAAGCCACAAATAACATTGAACAGAGTTACAATTTAGGATACAGCTTTCTTGTTTCCTCTTTTAATAGCCTATAGCAAAAAAACTTGGAAAATTATTTTTCCAACAGAAATAAATAGAGTCAAAGTGCAAACTTTAAACCCTCATAACTTCGAAATTTTTATAGATAAAATTTTTTTAACATTTTTTCCATGTTCCTGGTATCCTACCTTATATGGCATTTTTCTCTGGAGCGCATCCTGTATAAATCGTTTTAAAAAGCACTTTATGTAATTTGTGTTCTTGTTTGCATAAAGCTCAACATAACAAAAAATTTCGTCTAAAATAATAGTATATTATATCACAAGGTAGAGAAGAGATTTATTATAGCCGAGCCGTTTGATGCTACGCATGCAAGACTATAGAAGTCTTCTCTATCGTGTTTTATATACTATTTTTTTCACTACTAGCACATTTATTACCCAGAAATATGGTGAAAAATATACCCCTACTTAATGGACATGTTGCCTCAGACGTAACATGTGGTAACTCACAACTACAACTTTTGTTAATTCGCTATTACCGACAGTAATTAATTATTTACCTGAGTTATTAACTTAAGTTGGAAGTATTATTTTCTTCTAATCATAAATGAGGTTGACATTTTTGTACTTCTGCAACTATTAAAGGAATTTTCTAACTTTATAATATGACATATTTGTTAAAATAACAAAGAAACTGCAAAGGGAAAAAGTGTGGAAAAGTGGAAAAAGCCTCACTAACGATAGTATTTTAACAAGAAATAAACCTAATTGTTGTTTTGACATAGACAGAAGAATTAGAGTTGGGGTTACTCTGATGTTTTTAATGAGGAAATTTAAGTCTTTTTTGTTTAAGTTTGTATTAATTTCATCTCGAAATACTTGCGATGGTAATAGTTTTCAATAATAATATTCTAGTTTTCTAATTATTTGGCCTTTTTTCAAACTGGTATATTTGATTCAGGAACAACGAAAAGAAATTGATTATGTTTTCAAACATACCTTAGCGTGTTCCCTAAATCTGGGGTTCTAAAGTGAACTACTTTTAATTTTAATTTGAAAAAAATACTAGAAATAACGAACAATGAACGAAAACATTGAAAAAATGAATACAAATGTCAGTACAACAAACGATGTAGGTAAGTAATTAAAGAAAAACAAAAACCCCATTTGCTGTTATACCAAGGACATGCGCAGGGCTAGAAACTTAAATATGAAATTCCATAGCCAACCATTATACCAATTTCAATGAAATATACTATACTTGAATTATTTTTTTACTCTAAAACCAAGATCGGTAAAAAATGTGTAAGATAGAAAAATTGTTTAGAAATAATGTACCTTCCGAATAAAAAAAAATACGCCACTCGGATTACATATAACAAAAATATGGCTTAAAATGTGTCAAGTTTTTAACAAGTAAGTATTTTACAATAATAATAAAATAAAAGAAATAGCACCAAAACATGTGGTTTTGATATTAAATTGTTTGTACCAAATTTCATAAAAATCGATTAATCCCTTAATAAAGTACCCTGCGATCGAAAAAAAAAAATAAATTTGAGTAGGCGGTGATTAAAATCCTTCAGGTGGCAATCCTGATTTTTGACTTCAAATGTCAGCGAGAACTTTGACAGGTTTGCGTTTTATTCATTTTGAGTGAAATATTGTTCGCGTTAGAGCAGAAAATTTTTATTGTTGCAAGTTATTTCAAAAATGCTGTACAAGAGGAAAATGATGAATGGTCATTTTTACTTCCAGTTTGCGTGGAAAATTTCCAGCAAAAACTGTTGCCAACTGTAAAATATTAATCGTCGCTTACTCTAATTTATTTTATTATTACAGAAAAACGAATTAATTTGGTGTCTGCTAACTTTTAAACGGTACAACTTGTTATAGAGGTAAGTTGGGTTAAATCGCCTTATTTTGAGTAGGGAATCTCAGGTTACTCTTTGTCACCCTGTATAAAAAATCACTTACGACGTTCTGAAGGAGTTTAAAAAATGATGTTTTGAGTAGTTTCATCCGGGACATTAAATCAGTCCCCTTTGAAATCATATAAAACGCTGAAAGAAAAACAGCAACGACTTTTTCAGGGCCTTGATAGGACTCTAGGAGGTAGTGCAGCCAAGGCTGAATTGTTGCGATACTTCTATACATTTGTGAAATTGCCTCAATAAATAAATAAACTTTGCCCTTTAAAAAAATGGATTAGATGCATTTTAAAAAAATCTTGCCTTACTCTTTTTTGAAACGGGACGATTTTTTCTGGAAGCATAGTCAACAGTATTTTAAATGCAACTGTGGCTAATTTGAGGGCAAAGTCAGTGATGGTGACAATCCACAGCAGCTTCCCCACAGTGAGTGGCTCAGTGAAGGTCCTAATCAAAAACAAATGGAAGACAACATCAAAGTTATCGAGTTCGTCTTCAAAAATATACAAAACGAAGACAGAGCACACGAAAATGTACAACAATTCGATGGCTAAAGTCGTCAAACTCCTCCTATCCCTCTTGGTGGTCTCCTTCTTCACCGCCGAGTTGGCGTGAGCAAAAGTCGTGAACAAAATCACCAAAATGAAGATTGAATCGTGGTAGTCGTACACCGCTTTCGCCAACAAAATCAGCACAAAGGGCACGTATTTGAGCACCACTTGGAAAAACTGCTGCATTTCCACCACAGTCTGCGCCCTCTCGACACTATTCAACTCGTCGGTGCTCCGCCCCATGTCCGGGTTCTGCTCATTGGGGGCTTCCTGCTGCACGTCGAGGTCGATCACAAAACTGTTATCTTGAGTCGTGTTGGGCTGTTCTGGCGGCCTGTGCAGAAAGTTCGTCATTGAGATGGCATTTTGGACACCTGCGTTCACAGTTCGAGCTGTTTCGACCAACGGCTGAATTTCGCGGATTACGTTATTAAAATTGTCGCGTAATTGGCGGGCACTGTCCGCTGTTCGACGCTGAAAACTCGGAATTGAGCTCGTGTGGGTCATTAAGAGACGGGGATGAGTATTTTGGGAATTGTGGGCCATGGCGGGGTAACACTAATGGAATGTAAATAAAAACATGTTACTTTGGTCGGTGGTGAACTTTGACACGATTAAATATTGTCAGGAGAGGTTTTACGTCGCATTTGGGGGAGTTTACATAATTATTATTTTTGACACTTGGGATAAACTGTCACGACTCACGCTGTCATTAGTAGGTATTTTAGTCGGTATGGATAATCAAAACTTAAGTATTTGTTTATGTTTATTTAACATTTAATGTGGTTTAGTGACTGAGAATTTTTGTCTTAAGACACGAATATACCGCCAATTTGCAGTTTTATTTTGTAGATTTAAATAAACATTGTAGGTTTTATACGCAATCGTCCTTATAAGTTTTCGACCTTTTAAGAATATTTGGTTTTAACTACAGATATGAAAACAATACAAAACTATTTAACTAAACAAAACAGTTTATCTTTTCGAACAATTACATTGTATAATACCGTGCGATCAAAAAAAAATTACAGTAGGCGGTGATTAATGTCCTTCAGATGGCAATCCTGATTTTTGACATCAAATGTCAGCGGAAACTTTGACAAGTTTGCGTTTTATTCCTCTTGAATGAAATAATGTTCACTTTAGAGCAGAAAATTTTTAGACGAATGGTGAATGGTCATTTTCACTATCAGTTTGTGTTTAAAATTTCCATCCCAGATTTCCAGCCAATGTGTTGCTAACTGTAGAATTTAATCGACGACTACTTTAATTAATTTATTTTTTGACTCTTTTTCATATTAATGTGCATCAAGTAGGTTGTAAAACTCTAAACGCATATTTAATTTAAAGGCCGATTTGCACAAAAAGTGCCATTAATGTCATTGAAAACAAATTTAATCACATCAATAATAACAAAAATCTTTATATTTGCTACCCTATGTTAAATATGTTGTTAATTTTAATTATTTTTTGATACCTGGAGTATACATTTATTTGACAAAATTATTTTTAGAGAAGATTAAGATTAGGATTATTTGATTTTTTCATGATTGCCACCTTAAAATGATTTCTTTGGATGCACATCAATATAAAAACGAGTATATGTCTATTTCGTATGTACAATGGCGAGTATAAAATTTTGGAGGTAATGTCATTTAGAAATAAAATCTTTTTGTCAAAAAAGTAGTTTCCCTGTGTAATTTTGACAAAAGGGTATATTAGGGAATGACATTGAATACTAAAATTTGATGGTCGCCATTGTACGTACAATTGTGGACACATAATTTTGGACATCAAATTTATGTCAGTTCAAAAAATGTTAATATAAGCCACGCTTTAACGTTTGAAACTATAATTTGAAAGTTTTAGTTGAAATTTATTTTTGGCGTCGATTTTCTGAAATAATAATGCCAGCAATACGTGTTTTTATATACTTAAGTTCAATAAATTATTTTGATTTTTCATTTTTTCGCTGTCAGGATAAAAATTACAAATACCGAAAGTGAGGTTAGTTACATAAGACCCGTTTTATATTTTTAAGTCAGTCGAGCGACAAATCGTCCAAAATTGTGTGTCCGCAATTGAACAAGATCTTGCCTCCTGACAGTTGTGTAAAAAATGCACAAGCATCACTGATAAAAAAATATCGGCTTAGATGACTTTTTCTTGCAAAGGTATAGTTGCGGAATTCACTGTAAACTATCTTTTACTGTCATCGTGACTGACATTTGACAATTAAACTTATTTTTTTTGTTAAAATTGTTAATTAAACAGTTTGTTTTAGGAAATTTGTTAATTGAATTAAGTCTAATTAAACCATCGCTTTGATCTGCTGTCTACCCGTTATTATGCCACAAATCACAATTTTTTAAGTCAAAATGACATAATCATGACAAGAGGTTATTAATGTAAAGGTTGTTTTAGAGATTGCATTTAAAAATGTCAATACTGACCGAAATTTTAATATCGCATTTGTACAAACAAAGCGATTTATAATAATTAGGTACCGAACTAATAAAAAACAAAATGATGAATCAGAAAATAGTAAATAATTAGTACACTAATAAATAATAAATTCGTACCAAAATTTTAAATACGTAATAATTTAGAGCTTGTGAGCAAGTGACCGCGCCTGAAGTATGTATTTTGCGTTTGTTGACAAACAAGTCAAACTTGTTTGTTTGAATCAAAGATTGTGGCGTTTCTCCTGTTGTTTCACCAAAAACCGTTTCAAATAACCTTTCCTGTGATGCCTTTCCTTGGTTAGAGCCCTTCGTCGTGTGGTTCCTCGTCCTACACTTAGGTTATGTTTGACCTTTTGCGAGCCCCCATTGTAAGTAATGAGCGACACAGATGACACCGATGAGCTTCTCTTAATACCACCCGATTTTTTCACTTCAAATCCCGCCCTTAACCCTGATAGCCTCGGTCCTTATTACAGAGTTGTGGACGGTTTGATAACCCAAGTGAATCACTTGGAAAATCGGCTGAGTTTCATCGAAAGTTCGTCCGAGTTTAGTCTTAGTCTAATTAGTGATTCACCGGAAATGTATTCGCCTTCCCGGTTTCGCAAATTTATGGGTGAGGATGGGGGCAAAACGACTTCGACCCAGAGTACCCCCCAGAAGCCGCGGACGAAATTCACACTAAATTCGTTGCCAAATAGCCCCGATATCGAACATTTGAAAAAGACAGCCTTGAACAAGGCAAAAAAATCGGAATGCAATCCAATGTTGGGTGAAATTGATAATTTCTTGTCAAATGTCAAGTTTATTAAGCGTTTAAATACAGTGAGGAACCTTGAAAGTGACTTTAATTCCGTGGATGGGGTTGCAAAAAATCTAGATATGGGGCAAGTCAATGAAATGCTGAGAGAAATTGAATTACAAGAGAAAAATGAGAAGCCCTGTGTTAAAGAGAAGGTGTGGCAAACTGGGGACAACGTGGGGGCTGTCCCTGACTACGGGTTAGGGATGAGGAACAATATGTACACAGAGGGGAGAAAAACCTTCCCTGGTGGAGACTCAATCACGGAAAGGAACGAATCTGAGAGCTCAGATTCGACACAAGCAACGGCTTTTGAAAAATTCAAATATGATTGCAATTTAGGGTTAGTGAGTTTGTCCAAATTGTGGAATTCGAACGATGTGAGGGACCTTCCGAGCAAATTCCAGCAGAAATTGCAAGAAGAAAGGCTACGAAGACAGGTAGGCTAGATTTAACCTAAAAGTGTCACAGAAGACATTTTTAAGGAGTGGTGCCACCCAAAAACAAAATTCACCAGATCCGTGTTGAAAAAACGCAGTTTTCAGCTTAAAAATCTGCTTAAACTCTTAAAAAAAGCACAAGTGACATGCTTTTCGGCCTAATTCTGCGATTTTTTGGCTTGTTTTCAACACAATTTTGCGAAATAATTGCGTTTGTATAGTCATAGTGGCCATTTAATTTATTGTAAAGTTGGCAGCCCTTAACCCGCCACTTCTAGTGTATGGGTTGTGTCCATGTTGGCAGCAGAATTAACTAAATTTTGTTAACAATTGTGACAGGCGCATAGATTTTATAAGTGAAGAATTGTGATTTTTGATAGATATGGCCCTAAAAACAATGTTTAAAGTCGGATTTACACAACTCAATTTTTACAAATTTACACAGGAAAGTGGTCACTGTGAATTGACCGCGACTTTAGCTGAAAAACGTGCAAAAGCGCTCAAAAATATGCAAAAATAATATAATTTTCGATTTAATTTCTTGATTTTTTAGTTTGTTTTAGCGAAATCTAGCGAAAAAACCTGAGCTTTTGTGGTTTCTCAGTCAATTTTTGTTTTAATTTTGTTCAAAAACCAGTTAAATCGAGTGAAACAAAGAAAATGCAAGATAAATGAATCTCTGGTTTAGAAATGAAGTAAGTCGGGTGACACAAGTTAAAAAATGATATCAATTTCGGTTTAATTTTGTAATTTTTTGCTTGTTTTAACGCAATGTTTTAAACTTTTTGTGTTTTTATCTCTCAAAAACATGTTAAAACACTCGAAAAAGGCCAAAAATGCCGTTTTTGGGCTATTTTGTTAATTTGTGGTTTGTTTTAACAAAATTTAACAAAATAATTGTGTTTCCACCTGAAAAAGCATTCCAAAAAGACACAAATAAATTTCGACTGTGTTTAGTAATATCTTGTAAAAAACAAATAAAACTATTTTTAACCAATTTGGTGGTTTTCAATTTTTTTTTTCGAGAAAATTTGACGAAATAATCAAGCTACAGCCTAAAAGTTAGGTAAAAATATCATAATATAATGTTTTTCAATATACAGATAACAGTGATTTTTGACACGAAAAAACAGAGTTTTCAGCTTAAAAATCCTCTGGAAATTTTGCGAAATAATTGTTTCTAGCTGGAAAAAAAAATGTCATTTTTGATTCCTGTCGAGTAAAATCTTGCAAAAAAAAAAAACAAACAGAACTATTTTTAACTAATTTGGTGTTTTTTTGAGTTTTCTTTTTTGAAAAAATTTGATGAAGTAATCAAGTTTCCGGTTGAAAACAAACACAATGCTCAAAAAACATTTTTTTATTTCTAAAAAATCACCAGAATTTTAACAAAATTTCACCACACTTGGCAACACTGGTGCCATCTTAATTACAAAATTGTATTCTTTTTCGATAAATTTTTCCCAAAAATTAAAAAGAACTTGTCCAAAAATTAGATTATGCGTTTTACCACCGGCAGCACTAGTTGGCGGGAAATTTGAATGCAATATTCCAAGTCGTAGTTTTAAAATTGGTTAAATGAGGTCAGAATGAGACAAATAAATATTTTTCAAAATTTTTCTTTTCAAGAACTGCAGATTGAAACGCAGACGCCGTTGCTGTTCATACATGAAAGCAAGTCTTTTGATTAAAAATCGACGATTTTAATACGTTTTCCGCATTTTAGCATTGCGAACAAGCAATCCAAGAATTGCAAAATCGCGTATTAGAATTGCAAGAACGCGTAGCTGTCGCGATCCAAGTCGACGAAGCTAAAGATAAAGCGATTTTACGTTTTCATGAATCTTGGGAAAAAGCCGGGGTTAAATTACAAGACATAGAAAAACAGAAAGAAAAATTAGAAGAGGAGGTTGATAAATTGAGGAGGAAATTAAATGAGGACAGTGATGAAACGAATCAGAAAATCACCCATTATGAAAAAGAGGCTTCTCTGGCACTTAATATAGCCCACAGTACTCAAGATAAATTAGTAGTTTTAGAAAAACGCTGTCAGCAATTGGAAAATGAGCTAAAAACGGCTGAAATAAATTCGGAAGAATTTCAGCAGAAGTATTTACAAGAAATGGAAAAGAACAAACATTATCCTGAAATTTTAGCGTCGAAAGATCTTGAACTTAATGACGTAATAATCGAATTTTTTGTCACTTTAAGGGTTTCATAATTTTTTTCAGTGTAAGTCGGTTTTAGCAGAGGCAAGAAAAGAAATCACTCAAAGCAAAAAAGCTATCGAAACGTGTCAATCTGAACTTTCATCAATGAAAAACGAAAATGAGTCTTTACATTCTAAACTAAACACCGAAAAGGAAAATAATAAACGACTCACAGAACAAAAAAATAAATTATTAGAGGAAATCACTGCTCACAAAAGTATCACGGTTTGTTTTTTATACTTGTATATATTTTTTCCCAAAAAAGTGGTATTTAGCGCGGTCTTCAGGACGAATTAAGCAAAAGTCGGGAACAACTCGAGACTAACAAACTCGAGCTGAAAAATTTCTACCAAGGCCAAGTGGAACTCGTGGTTCAGAGCAAACTCAAAGAGTTCCAAAAGCAGCTCGACGACGCCGAAAAAGCCCTAAAAGAGGAGCTTTCACGCAAGGAACTATCAATCGCCAAAACAGCAGCGTCTCACATCCAACAAATTTCCGATAAGTAGGTTACCACATTTTGATTTTCTCAATTTTGATTTGGAAATTAGACACAGTTTGGAGGTTAAACTCATCGAGGAGAAACACCAAGAAGAATGCCGGTTGTACCAACTCCAAATCACGCAATTGCGACATGAATTGGACGAATCTAACCTCAAAATTAAGCGACAACACGAGAAACACGTCCATATTGAACGACAACTTCATAAATTCATGGAGAGTTTACGACAAGACCACGTGACAACGCTTGATGAAATGAATTCGTTTCGGTCGAAATCTTTGGAGGAGATTTTGTCGTTCAATATGGCGGAGGAGGAGGAGAAAATGGGGGAAACACCGGTTTCGAGTCGGCCGGAAAAGGGCACGAGACGCAAAGACGGGATACAGGAAACGATTCAGATGGTAATTGTGCAAATTTCATTGGTTTGTAATGTCACGTGGTTTGCAGTTGTTGGATAGAAAAGGACAAGGCGATGAGGGGTATAATGTAACCAAGGAGAAAATGCGGGATATGAAAGGCAAACCACCCTGGAAGTGACTGAAATGACTCTATTTACGTGACTTTATATTCTATTTATTTATTTTGTAATAAATTATTGTTTTTTTATTTTTAATAAATGAGTTTTATCACCGAATTTGTGTCTTACTGTGACGAAATTTGTGGGAGAGAGATGGAAGACCGTCAAGTGTCACTTTTGACGTACGACTGACTTATTCAAGTCGTCTTATCACAAAAATGTTTTAAACTAGATTCGAACCGATTGATAAAATTCTTTTCTTGCAATATAAGTCGTTTCAGATCAGATTAGACGTTCCCACATCTGAATAAATCCCTCCATTATTGAATTTTTTTTTCCTTTCTCATGGAAACGAACAAATCTGCGATTCGATCAATTGACTTTTCGTTAGGAAGCATTTTATGAGCTAGTTGAAATGCTGTAAAACTGGGAAATGAGTTTGTAATGTGAACAATGTCGGCATGAAGACGACTTATAAACGGCACTAGTGAGTAACGACCAGTGCAGTTGCACACACAAATTGCCTTTAATCATTTCAAAGTAAGAGACGACGACGTATTCGTGTAACGTCGTTATGCCATATACCAACCGCAACACTTTCGATGGGAATTAAAACGATCAAACCAAAATTTATTACATTGCAGAAATGCAGTGTCATAATGAACGACCCTTGAACCCCATTGAATATGTCAATATTTAAAGCATTTTTTTAATATGAAACTGGGGAAACTCACTTATTGCACAACACGCATTACAAACTTGTAATTGTCGGCCTTTGTGATAACAAAAACAACCAAAGTCATTTTTCTATTGGTTAGTAGTACTTGAAACCATGTTCATTCTCCTGTTTTTCTACGTTATTGTGTGTTTTTTACTAATTTTATTGTGGCAAAAAAGACGACTTTTGTCCTACAGCTGGAGTATTGACGGGCCACTCTCTATCCCGGTTTTCGGAAACCCTTTTATAATTTTTGGAGGAAAGTATAATCAGGATTAAGTATAATTTATTCTTTTCAACCCCTTCAGATGTTTTAAATAAAATGTTATTTCACTCTCGCAAGTATCAACCCATTTGTAAATTTTGGGTTGCTGGAAAGTTAATTTTCTGGGTTTCACGCCCCAAATACGTCGAAATTATTTTAAATAAATGTCTAGAAAAGGAGGAGAGTTATAAATTTTTGGAAATCGTGCTGGGCCCTGGCTTATTCACCAATCCAGGTAAAAAAATGCAACGAGAATTCGAAAAAACTAAAAAAATTAGCTAACATCGTTCTGATGCGTACCTGTTGGCAATTTTTGTTTAACAGTTCTAAGGGTGCTAATTATTTTATTCACAATTTTATAACGCAATAAAATAATCAAATTACCTTCCATGTGAAAAGTTAAAAAGCTTGACATTTCAACTACATTTAACAATTGATGTGAAATATCAAGTTCAGATTGGGAAGTGGTCACTTCCTTCCTTCAAATTTGATAAATTTTTAAATTGGAGGATGATTGTGAATAAAATAGTATATACAAACTTTGATGAAGCACCTTCCATCTCGGTATGTAATCTACTATTGGTCATATACAGGGTATTTTTATCAGTGATAATGAGCCTGACGGAATTGAAAATACAACCACATTACATTTCCAAAGTTAACGTGGATATTTTAGATATGGCATTGTTTCAAAAACCGATTATGAATCCACGATAGCTTTGCTTCCAATAATTTTATTTGTCACAACTGACATAAAATTTAGCAAAAAGTGAAAATGGATTCGAACGATGAGAAAACAGATCTGATTTTTATTTATGGCGAATTTGGAAAAATGCTTCTGCCGTTGAACCTTTGTTAAGACAATGTTTCCTAAATAGAAAAGTTCCAAAATCTGTTGAATCACTAAAGTGTCAATGGTAGATAGACAAATAACCTTAAAAATTGTGTTTCCTGTCTTGTCAATTTCTTTGTGTCAATCATGCGATAACTATGTTTTATTAATTTTCAAATTCATAATCAAAATCCATGAAGCCTATGCAAATGTATTGTTGGCTGCAGTTCAAATTTGGTCAGGCTCGTGAAATACCCTGTATATATTTTTTAAATTAATAAGCAACAGAAACTAAGAGAAACCCATATCACCATTCTAAGAGTGCAACTGTTGCGTATTCAACTACAGAGTGTTCTTTTTTCGAGCTCCACTATGGGGATCTCAGTTATTATAAGAGATACGAGGTCGGTTAAATTAGGGCAAAGTTGCACATTTTTATGCTGAACAAAACAATAATCTGAAAAAAAATTAATGTGTCATTTTTAGTTTTTGAATTATTGGAAAAAACGGAAATTGACGTTTTTAACTAGGACGTTCTTAAGGCACTTTCTTACAAGGAATCTAAATCTGTTAGCGTATTTTCCAAGGGGCTCTTGATATCAGAGTTACAGCACTCAACTTTGGATTTTATGGGGGCCATATTTGAATTCAGTATTTTTGAAAAGTTTTTTTGTTCCTGACTACAACGATGTATCCATGATATGATCAAATTTTAATTTGCTGATCAAAATTAAGAAAAAGCGTTTTTGCGAAGAGTGCTTTGGAAAAAAAACACCAACAATTTTAATTAACAAAGTAGATTTTGACAGTTCAGTTGATCTTGGATCTGGAAGTCACATTTCCGTCAAGCTTACCTACTTAAAAACTAAGGTTTTGAAATAAGAGATCCCCATGGAGGAGCTCGAACACCCTGTATAACTTTGTGTCCAATTCCTTTTCTAATTTAGTCAATAAATGGAAGAAACATCGTCAAGTGATTGAATCAATCCTCGATGAAGGTCTAATTGGGAATTTTACTCAAGTCCTGAATGACTATTCTGATATTTTACTAAAAAAATTGGAAGGCAAGTTTGAGGACCAATACGTCGACATATTGCCGATTGTGACTCAATTTAGTTTAGATATTCTGTTCAGTAAGTCCTAAATATGTTAAAAACTATTTTTTAAGGAAGGAATGTTAGGTACTATTCTGGGAACGAAAGTGAACGCTCTTAATGAAGAAACCAAAATTGTTGTAGGAGTCAGGGAGTAAGGGCACTAAAAGTCAGTTTCTTTCTTAAAAATTGAAAAATTGTAGTCTTATTGATTCGATAATTGCACGTTGTTTTAACGTAATGTTACGACCAAACTGTTTTTGGAAATGTTTGTACCTATCTCACAAATCGGAAGAACTGGATAGAAGAATAAATCAATATTTTAAAACTGTACTTTCAGAATAAAAGTAGCACAAAAATGATTAATTTGACTTGTGATAGGTTCTCAAAAATAAAAGATGTAAAGGATTTGGAAGTAGTAAAAGTAGAAAGGTTTTTATGGACTTTTTGTTGGATATAACAGACGAAAATTGGACTGATGATGAGCTATTGGCCGAAATACGTACCCTTATTATCACCGGAGCTGATGCTTTAGCTACATCAACGTCTTTTTGCCTAGTCATGCTAGCAATGCATCCTGAGATTCAAGTAAAGTTAATAATTGCGTTTTTTTTTGTAAAAAAAAATTACAGGGCCAAGTCTACAAGGAAATTGGTACTTGTCAAAATGTGTACCTAGAATGTGTTATTAACGAAACTCTAAGGCTTTTTCCTGTTTATAGTTTTATAGGGAGAGAACTGGACATGGATGTGGTTTTAGGTGAGTTTCGAGGGTTGGTAGTACTGTTTTGAGTGATTTTCAGGGAAGCGCACTTTGCCAAAAGGCAGTTCTGTGGTAATACCACTATTTGACTTACAAAGGAATCCAAAATTTTGGCCTCAACCACTCAAATTCAAGCCTGATCGATTTCTATCTACAAAAAGGGTTTTTTACCCTTTTAGTGTTGGTCCCCGGCAGTGTCTTGGTACGAAAATTTTAGAAAGTACTCACCTGAATTACTTTTCCCAGGTCGGGAATTCGCTATAGCGGCAATGAAAATACTGCTTTCGAGACTTCTTCACACTTTTCAAATAACCGAAACACCCTATAAATCCATTCCTGATATAAAGATACCAACAAATGTCGTTACAAGAAGTGTTCAAGGCTGCCCAATCAAATTACAACATCGCTAATTTACTTGCAACATTGTAAAGTGCATTAAAATTCCAGAAATATTTTTAGCACCATTATTTTAATTTTATTGTTACTCATTATGTTTCAAACTGCTAATAAAATAAAATTTCTGAGTCCAAATGTTCACTTCGTTTTACTACAAATTCAGCGGTTGCTTTGTTTTTGTCACATTTCGAATTAGAACTCTTAACAATGTATTTCGTTACTCCCGGTCTCATTTTTACGGTAATAGCACTTTGGTTGTTGTGGTCATTCTTATGGAAAAACTTCTTTGCTACGAAAATTAAAGGACCATGGGCTTTCCCAATCATCGGAAGTGCCTACGTTTTCTTCGGCGGAACACACAGTAAGTCCTAAAAGCACTTTCGAGTTTTAATTTTTAAAGTGAAACTTTTTCCATCGCCTCAAATTTTTTCGTCCATCTATCGCATGTCGCATTACAGCCGGCCGGGAGGGGGGTGGGGGTGGTAAAGTGCAAAGCGCTCGGCGGCGCCCATGACTCGCATCAGCTGACCGTGTAATATTTATATTTTTACCCATTCGTGCAAGTGCTCCGCGGTATTTGTGTGTTTTGATCTCCACTTGCGTCGTGGTTTCTTTAAACCATAGCATTTTTTTTAATTAGATATTTTGGAAAATACGATACTAGTGGTTAAAAAATATCGCCCGTTGTGTAAGCTGTGGTTGGGCAACAAGTTGACGATTTTCCCGTCGAATCCTGACGATATTCAGACGATACTAAACAAATCTTTGGAGAAAGAGGAAGGTTATAGGTATATCAAGACTGTTTTTGGACACGGCTTGTTTACTAGTCCTGGTAAGCCGGTCAAAAATTTTGACCGAAGTATCACTTTATGGTTTTAGTGAGTGAATGGAAGGGACATCGGAAAGTCATTGTTTCGACTCTTAACCAACAAGTCTTGAACAGCTTCATGGACACTTACAACATCTACACTCGGGAACTAGTCGAAAAACTTAAAATTGACACCAAGGATGGAAAATACATCGATATGTTCCCCGTAATGACACAGTGTACCTTGGATATTATATGCAGTTCCATCATGGGTACTCAGATGAATGCCATGAAGGAGGAAAGTCAGTTTATCATGTGGATGACAAGGTACTTGTAGTACCAGTTTCAAGTGTCGGTACCAAAGACAATGCGTGTTTCAGAGTTGCTGAACTTGCAATTATTCGCATGTTTAACGTCTATTTGTGGCCCGAACTTCTTTGGAAACTTAGCCCAATTTCCAAAGAGTCCCACGAGCTTGACCAAAGAATCTACAACTATGTCAAAACTGTGATACATAATAAGAGGCACAAAGGGCTTAAATCACATACTGGGAAAAAGATTTTCTTGGATTATTTGGTTGAGTTGACAGACCGGGAGGGCCGGTGGAGTGACGAGGAGTTGACCAATGAGACAAGGAGTGTGATTATGGCCGGAAGTGATGCCACGGCTTTGACACTCTCGTATTGTCTTGTGATGCTGGCGATGTTTCAAGATATACAAGTAAAATCTTTTCCGTGGGATAACAAACTATTAATGATGTTTTACAGGAGAAGGTGTACGAGGAGTTGTGTTCAGTTTTTGGTGACAGTGACCGGTTTGTGACCGTTGACGATTTGCCTCATTTGCAGTACTTGGATCGGTTTATTAAAGAGACTTTGAGAGTTTTCCCAGTTACGTCGATGATTGGACGAGAGTTGACCTCAGATATGACTTTAGGCAAGTCTTTCGTTTTTTTTTCTCCGCTAATTGTTTTTCCAGGCGAGCATTTATTACCCAAAGGCACCTCAATTGGATTACCCATTTTGTACATTCATAGAAACCCTGAATATTACCCTGATCCGCTCAAATTTGACCCTGATCGCTTTCTACCAGAAGAAGTTGCGAAAAGACACCCTTGTACTTTTATTCCGTTCAGTTTTGGGCCGAGGAATTGCATTGGTTGGTACTCATTTTGTCCAAAACGTTAACACTAAAATTTTGGTTCCAGGTTATAGGTACGCGATGATGACCATGAAAGTGGTTCTTGCGACTCTTCTTAGAAGTTTCAAAATGGTAGACACTCCATATAAAGAAATTTCCAAATTAAAAATTAAGTTTGATATTGCTACCAAAGTCGACGAGGGATATCCAGTGCGGATGGAGCTTCGCAAAAATATAGTAGCACCCGGGACTAAATAATTTGTGGCTTGTATAAACTTGAAATGATGACAAATAAACTATTTTGAGACTGCAATTGTGTTTGTGTCTATATCAAGGCAATTTTTTTGAGTTCCTCAAGACTCTATTTTGGAGCTCATTCTACTCACAAAACAAAAAAAGAAAAAAACGTTTTACTAGTTGTTTATTTCTTTACGAATCTTTTCTCTAGTTTTGATATTTGTAGTAAAACTTAAATTTGTCTAGAACTGTATTTTTTGCAAATATTTTTCAAGATTGTCGGATTTTGACGTTTGTTGTTTGGCATAAAGAAAAAAACTTTGTAGCTCATTGTAATTAAATTCAATAACATTTCTAGTTTTGTCTTCTAAATGTGATACTCAAAAGACGAATGCACTGTTTTTTTACTTATTTTTATATTGAGCTTTAGTTTTAATTACCAATAAATTTTCTCGACTTTCGTAGGACGATAAGTTATATGAAAAAGAATTTGAAGCACTTCATCAAGACTTAAATAATATTTACTTGTATTACAAGGAATGAAAGTGTATTTTTTCTTCCTACAGGTGGAAGTTACTGCCCGAGACTTGTCAAATGAATCAAATACGACTTGTCGAGGGCAGTAACCACTCAGGGAGGAAAAGACACTTTTCTCCAATACAGGGTGTTTCACGTAATTTTATGAGGCCTGTGCCTGTAAGATGCAATCAATAATACATAATACAAATAATACAAATTTTGAAAAATTGAATAATGTTCTCTAGTTTGTCCACCCTTTCAAAAATTACGTTTTTAGTTAGTTAGTAATTAAGATAGATAAACTAGAATCATATTCATACCGTCTCTTGATAGAACAAATTATAATTGTTTCTGAAAAATTGCAGTTTATGACTATTAATGACAGTGATTAGTTTGATAACTACTGTCATGGGTTTCCAAAAATTAAATAATTAGATGTGTATTTTTTGTAGACAGTGTTTTGTGACTTTTGTATATTTGGGTGCGTATTTTAGGCGCAAGCCTCGTAAAGTTGTGTGCAAACCGCACAAAAAATATTTTTTGGACATTTTCAAGTCGTGGTGAGGAATCATGGTCTAAAACTGTGGTATGACAACTCAACTCGTCAAGTATATGGCCTGTGTAGATACACGTATATTTCAATTTTTTTACATAAAAAAAGATTTGCCTTTTTTTAATAAAAAACTATGAGCCGCCACTGACCAGAAGATAAAATTTTGAAACAAATTGGTCTTCATTCGGAAAACAACGGGCAATAATCTGAAATAAGTAAAAATTTAATTTTGTCTCTGTTATACACTACAGCACAGTTTAAAAAAAAGTAAAAAACCAGTGCTCTCGTCTTTTAAGTATAACATTTACAAGACAAAACTAGAAATGCTATTAAATTCAATTACAATAAAGTTCGTACTTTATTCATGTCGAAATCCGACAAAGATTAACATAAATATTGCAATGTGAAAAATCGCAAAATTTTAGTTGTCCGGTTAATTTTGTGGCCAGTGTATTTTAATGTTTTGTTTTTGGAATTCTAATTATTCTAGAAATTTGTTTGATTCAAAATAAATATTTTTTCTATCATTTTCTTTCTTCACACATGGAGGGAAAATAATAATTTTCATGAGTCTCTCAAAGTTCTCTATTGGGCCTCCTTTTATCCCAATATTTTGATCGATATATAAGCAAAGACTTGAATTTACAATTTCGGTGCATGCAACTTCTCGTGCGAAATGAATTTCCTGTGTTGCTTTTAATCGCGTTCAATCAGCAGGAATGAAAATAGTTCCCTGCATTCCCTCCACGTGTGTCGTAAATCTCACTCAACGTCTGCGAATCCTCCGAACAAATCTCACTTTATTAATAATAAGAAATAATCTGATCTGTTTTATTTCTTCCCCATAAATAGATGATTAACAGTATAAATCTCCATGAGTGCCGTTAGTTCATTCAAAAATCGCGGTGGTTAATTGGCATAAATAACGGCCGGTGTGGACAAAGCGTGGATTTATAGGGCCTTGGATGGGTATGCAAGGTAATAAACATTTTTTGTTAATTATCATTGTTATTATATGAGTGCAGCGTTTCTTCGGTCATAATCATAAATTCAATTAGCCAATTATATATTCAGTTGCCTCTGGTCAGTAGAGCGGATAACCCGAGTTCAGTCGAAAGAACCAAGCCAACCCTATTTATTATACCGATGATCAGATTCGAAGCAAAATCGGTCTAATTCATTAGTACGGAGAACTAAAATCTGTTTTCTCTTTAAATGGAAATTACCAAGACAAAATTTTGGTGAAAAAATTGGTAGCAGCTTGTCTCCATAGCCACAAATTTTGTTTGCTCTTTGTTTTTGTCCCTAAAAATTTTGTTTAAAAAATTATGGTTATGTTTTTAAATTGAGATGTTGGCAAAATTTTACCTTTTATGAATCTTGTATGCCTCTTTGCTCTTTGAAAACGCTATAATTGAATATCTGAGGACAGACATCATTACCTAAGGTCTAAAAACAGAATTCAGTGCTAATAATTTTGATAGAAACACACCGCAAGTAAGTACAATGTTGTGGACAAAAATGAGGTTCTTGCTACAAAAACTTTAAAGAAAAAGGATGTATATTTAGAAAAAAGTTATTTAGCAAAATATACAAGTAGGTATTATGATGATTGGCAATAAATTTTGTGTAATTTATTGAAATGAGCACAAAGTATGCATCTTATAAATTCTTCTTCAGCTGTAGTTTCAAATTTGTTACTTTTTCAACTCGTTCCTCAAAAACGATGCACAAGACACTAATTTAATTGTCTTCTTTTCGAGTTCCTTCCTCATGTATGTTTATTTTGTATTCTTGTCAATTTCTTGCTAAAAATTGCGAATGTTTAGCAAACTTGCATTACAAATTGTGTCTATATTTTAAGGAGCCCTTTTTTTAACTTCCTGCTTGCTAACTATTCGTTTCCAAATTTCTAAAAACTGTTAGCGGTACCGAACTTGTTAGTTTTTAGGTGTTTCGTCTCTAATTTTTCTTAGATTTTTTGTGTTGACGTTTAATGACATTGTTTTCAAATTAATTCAAAAAACCGGAACTGCCAACTTCCTTTATTAAAACTACCATGAATGAATTTGCTAGTGGTGCCAACATTAAGACTGTTTGGCATTTCCATTAAAAAAAAAACAGACTTTACACAGGCTGCGCCAGATCTCGCGCCCCAGAGAAAATTTTCAAGTAAGGTAAGATACCAGGAACATGAAAAAAAAGTTTACAAAATTCTCTGTCAAAAAATTTTGATATATATTTTTTGACATTTGACATTTTTTTATATCTATTTAATAATTCTGATGATCTTGTATATGTTTTTTTACAATTATTTAGTAAAGTGACAAAAATTTTGCCAATAAAAGCCACAAATAACATTGAACAGAGTTATAATTTAGGATATAGCTTCCTTGTTTCCTCTTTTAATAGCTTATAGCAAAAAAACTTGGAAAATTATTTTTCCAACAGAAATAAATAGAGTCAAAGTGCAAACTTTAAACCCTTCATAACTTCCAAATTTTTATAGATAATTTTTTTTTTAACATTTTTTCCATGTTCCTGGTATCTTATCTTATATGGCATTTTTCTTTAGGGCGTGAGTTCAGGCGCAGCCTGTATAACGTTTCAATGCTTATGCTCCGTTTGGAGCAATTTTAATGTTTTTAATTTTTTCGATTGTTGGAAAAATTTTGATGGATTTAATGAGAAATTACCAGTTTCACGTATTAATTTCAATGTGAAAACTTTTTTTTTGTTCGAAAACTAGTAAATAATTCTAATAAGATTACTTGCTGATTGAAACTGTTTAAAATAGAGACCAGTGGCGTATTATACCAGAAACCTAAGAAGCCCGGGCGCGAGTTCTGGCGCACCCTGTATAATTGCTTGATTTTTTTGTACCCAAAAAAAGTAGTACGGCGGAGTAAAAATGAGGGCGCTTAAAACGTTTTACCGTCTCAGTTTCAAACGTTTTAAATTAATTTAAATTCAACCAGTGTACTAATTGCTTGGAAAAAAATTCAGAAATGTTGAGCTTTACATTCTTAATAAGCTGTGAAAAACTAAGGACTAAATTTTTCACGAGAAATATGAGAAAAAAAATATTTAAAATTTAAAATCTGTGCTCCGTTTCATGTTTTTCAAAATTCTGCGAATATGGTTGAAGATACAAGAAAAATGTAAGAAAGAAAGTTGTGGAGAATAAATTTTTCTAGTAAAAAGTCCGCGAGATCATGCCTCATCTTCAATGGTTTAGGCCTCAAAGACGTTCAAAGCCGCTCAAGCGACGGATTTGTTTAATTTTTACTGTTGATTCAGTGCCAGAGGAACACTTTAAAGCAATTTAAACTTAAACCGTAGAAGATAGAAATATGGTGCGCGGACTTTTTTGTAGCAAATTTTATTCTCTACGATTCTGTTTGTTACACTTTTTTGCATCTTTAACCGTATTCGCAGCGTTCTCAAAAATATTTGTCGGAACGCAAACTGATAATTGTTAATTTATTTTTAATACTGTTTTCGATACTTTTGTGAACGCTGCGAATACGGTTGAAGATACAAAAAAGTGTCGGAAACAAAGTTGTAGAGAATTAAATTTCCTACAATAAAGTCCCCGAGACCATATCTCTATCTTCAATCGTTTAGGCTTAAATTAAGTTTTTGTCTCTTAACCACCGGTAAAAATGAGACGTTTTCGCCATTTGAGTATCTTTGAACGTCTTTAGGACCTAAACCATTGACTTTTTTCTTGAAAATTTTATTCTCTACAACTTTCTTTTTTATATTTTTCATGTATCTTTAACAGTATTCGCAGCATTTTCAAAAATTGAGACGGGGCGCAAATTACTACTTTTTTTATTTGCGTTTTGCTCACCGTTATGCAAATACAGCTATTGTTTATTTCATTGCTCTTAAAACTTAAACGGGAAAGGAACAACTGCGCTATCTGGCCTCACTAATGGAACTATCAAAAACGGGGACGTTTTGTTTTACATGGTGTCGTAGTCTTTAGGTATCTGTATTCATTAGTTATTCCACAATTCGGCTGTTTCCAAGCAAAACGGTTGTTTTCTACGTGCTTGGGTTGAGCAAAAACGCAACTGAGACGAAAAATAGGCCAATCTTTGACGTTGGTCTCGTCCCAAATCTCATTTCGATCAGTCTTGAGGCAAGACTAGACAATCTGCTTGTTCTAGTTGATTGCGAAATTAAAATTGGGATGATTTATGCGGTGTTTTGCATAAGAATGCGTCGGCTCGACTCGACTTTTTCACATTTTCTCATACTTAGCACCATTATTATAATTTTTTTAATTTGTTCGCAGCTGCTTGTGGGCTTGTGGCTTCACCTCAACAAACCACTTATTACCGCCAGTGGGAGCCTTTTAATTATAATTCAATGGGTGTGCCACAGGAAACTACTCGTGTCCCTTTCTTTGGTGGAAAATCAGACAATAGAGTCCGACTTGTCTTCACTGAAGTAAGGAAATATGCGCGCGAGGCAAGTTCGCATCGGACCCTAAAAGGAGTCGTCCGAGTTCGTTCTCGGAAAACAACAGACGGCAACTTTTTACTGAACATCTTGAAAAGGGGAAGTGTTAGGAAAGTGTCTTGCCATCTCCACGTATCATACCAACAAGTATCGAGAAGTCGTAGAACGGACGATACCTAGAGACGGCGAACACATGGTCGGAGAGGAGGGCCAAATCAACAACTTACGAAATGTGCCGTAAAGTGTGTTGTTAATAACGAGATGAGTGAAAATAAAATGGATTTTGGCGGACACCAGTCCGGTTTATTAAATTTGAAAAATAGCACTAATGCAGAATATTTTTGTGGAAAGTTATTAAAATACACTTTTTGCTAGTTTTTCTTTGTTTTTTTTTTGTTTTGAATTACCTATCCCAAAAATACTAAGATATCTCAAATTCTGAAACATTGTTGTTTTTGTTTTTATTATTTTTGGAACTTTTATTTTCAATTAATTTTTAATACTTTTTATTCTCAAGATATCAAAGTGTGCAAAAATTATGACTTTAAAATAATTATTATCGCAGAAAATTAATAAATATTGTTTTTCCTTTACCGCTTATAAATGTTTGCGGAACACTGGATGTAATATTTATTTCCTGCTCTTGATTGTGAGGGACTTATAGTAACAATTTGTTTCCTATTAGTAAGATACGAATTAAAAAAAAAATGTTGAAATGTTGTCAAAACCATAAAAAAAAATATTTTGCACATAAAAGTGAGTGGTCTAAAGTGTTAAGTGTTTTAGAAAAATCCAACAATGTCACAGTGGTGGCATCACCTTTATCCAAAGCTCTAAAGCAATTATCAAGAATTTTTCCGAGGGCTGTGGTGGTACTATAATTTTTTCGATATCCTGATTGTTTATTCGTAATAATACCTTCAGAAACAACATAATAATAATAATAATAATAATAATAATAATAATAATAATAATAAGAAGCTTTATTAACGGTACTAGACCTTTTACATATTTACAATAAAAATTTAACAACTTAATACATTTTTCAAAGAACGTTTGAACGAAGAACGGGAGCAATTTGTAAAAAAATCTATACTCTTACAATAAAGATTACATGAACAGAGAACATTATTGAGAGGAGAACGCAAGGAAAAATTAGATGTAGAGGCATCAATATAAAAGAAGGGGATTTTGCGTACAGAATAATGAGGAACACAGAATTTAAATAAACAAAGAATATCAGGAGCATCGATGAAATAATTAAGAACATTATAAACAAAACAGATTGATAGATAAATTCTTCTAGTTTCCAACAATGCCAGTCCCAAATAGCTTAAGCAGTGAGCGTAATTGTTTACAACATAATTGTAAACCTGTTTATAAATGAATTTTTCTAAAATTTTTTATAAGACCCGTAATATGCTAATGGATCTTAAGTCAGCATGTAGTGCGATTTTTAATTTTAGGTAAAAATATCATACACTAAAACGTAAAAAAAACTGTTAGTGAAACATGGGCCGAAATTTCCTTACGGCTTTGGGCGCCAATTTAGGTTAATACACCACTGAACAACAGAAATAAAACTGATGCTATTCCAAATTTATAACATTTCTTTCCTGACAATCATTAAATTCAAGATGACGCAAACTTGACTTGTACACTTTCTTTTATCTGTCAAAGGACCAAAACCCTTTTTTTGGGCAATTGTTTGTGTGCTTTTGGCTTGTGTTTGGAGTTTTCGAAAGGGTTTGGTCCTGATTTTGGGTGCGAAAGCGTTTTTCCGTGCTTTGGGGCTTGCGTCACGACGTGTCTTCAAGTCACCCTTCTTTGTTAAATCTCTTAGTTTTTTGTATCTTTTATTACGGTAGTTTTTATGTTATCCACTTCTTTGAGGCTACAGTTTTATTTGTTCCATTTATATTCTTTTTCGTTAATGAATCATTGTCTATATCCTATTTTGGTCCTGTTTCTCTTTCTCTCTTCCTTATCATATCTTGGTTTTCCTTTTTTTTTTGTTTTGTCAAGTCTTGGTTTATGTAGACCATTTGGCCTTTTGACTGTTTTAGTTTTTTGGGAATCTTAATTTTGTCATCTACGTTTTCCATTTCTATAACGCACGTTTTATCTGAGATCTTTTTTGCGTTTCTTATCTTTGTTTGGATTTCTAATTCTTTTTCTACAAATGAAGCAATTTGTTTTTTAAGTTCATCGTAATTTTTTTCGTCTGTTTTTATTCCACTAATTATAATATTGTTTTTTTATCTTCTCTTTCCAAGTAATCAACCTTTTCATTTAGTTTTTTTTAACTCAGAGTTTTCTTTTATGAGCCTTTCCATTCTTTTGCTTTGTTTTTCTTGGTTTTCTTTTACTTTTTCGAGCATTTTTGCAAACATTACTTTTACCTCTTCCATCTTGGGCTCTATGGTTTGACGGTCTGGCGTTCTTCTAGTTTTTTTACTTTTTCTAAATGCGTCTGGACTTCCTTTGCTCTTTTCCTCTTGAAATCTTCACTTTTTTCTTGATTTGACTTGTACACTTTCTTTTTTCTATCAAGGGACCACAATCCCTTTTTTGGGCAATAGTCTTTGGGTTTGGTCCTGATTTTCCGTGCTTTGGGGCTTGCGCCGCGACGTGTTTAAGTCACCTCTCTTTGTTAAATCTCTTTGTTCTTTGTTCCTTTTATTTTTTTATGTTATCCACTTCTTCTAGGCTACAGTTTTCTTTATTCCATTTATATTCTTTTCCATTAATGAATAATTTTCTGTATCCTATTTTGGTCCTGTTACCTTTGTTTCTTTCTTCTCTTTCTCTCTTCCTTATCATATCTTGGATTTCCTTTTCTTGTTTTGTCAAGGCTTGGTTTATGTAGACTATTTGTTTTAGTTTACTCTTATTTTTGAGAATCCTAATTTTTTCTTCTACGAGTACGTTTTCCATTTCTATAACGCACGTTTTATCTGAGATCTATTTTACGTTTCTTATCTTTGTTTGGATTTCCAATTCTTTTTCTACGAATGAAGTGATTTGATTTTTAAGTTCATCGTAATTTTTTCCGTCTGTTTTTATTCCACTTATTATAAGATTGTTTTTTATATCTTCTCTTTCCAAGTACTCAACCTTTTCAATTAGTTGTGAAATTTGTTTTTTTTAACTCAGAGTCTTCTTTTATGAGACTTTCCATTCTTTTGCTTTGTTTTTCTTGGGTTTCTTTTACTTCTCTTATTTCTTCCAGCATTTTTGCAAACATTACTTTTACCTCTTCCATCTATGGTTTGACGGTCTGGCGTTCTTCTAGTTTTTTTACTTTTTGTAAATGCGTCTGGGCTTCCTTTGTCTCTTTTCCTCTTGAAATCTTCACTTTTTTGACTTGTACACTTTCTTTTTTCTATCAAAGGAGCAAATCCCTTTTTTGGGCAATAGTCTTTGTGTGCTTTTGGCTTGTGTTTGGAGTTTTCGAAAGGGTTTGGTCCTGATTTTGAGTGCGAAAGCGTTTTTCCGTGCTTTGGGGCTTGCGCCGCGACGTGTCTGGGTCGTCGCGCCGTCCCAAGTCGTTGGCCTTTGGTGTCTGGTGTCCGCCGAGCCCCGCGATTCACCTGCCGTAACGAGATGGGATTGGTAGAGCGGTCACCTTACCGGTCGACGAGGCGGCCGTCTCTCAGTCAGTTTCAGTTCGAGCTCTCGTCGACCACTTCTTTGGCAAAAGCTCCTCTGCAAGACACGCGCGCCGGCCATGATACGCGTGATTGTGACCGATGGATTAAAATTTACAAGACGGTGATGTGGTGGCAACATTCTGCGACAGTGCTACGAGACTGATGACATCGCCAAAAGGTAATTGCCAAGACGGAATCTGCGACGAAATTGCTTTTTAAAGATACGATCAATCTCTAACCGCAAGATCCACTTTCGATAAGTCCGAGGTATTGGGAGAAAAATTACCATTCATGGCTGAAAGTGGTACCAAGTGAGTCAATACACTTTTGTGTACCCACTTCATTCATATTCTTGGCCAATAGTTCGAGTTTACTTTACATGATTTATGGTTGGGGGCTTGGAAAAAGGGGACGTGGAGTACCACTACTAAGTGCAAGTTCCGGTTCTTGTGATTTATGACTCCTTCACCTCAAAACACAACAATTTACTCCACTTCCACGCAAAATCCTTATCACATGTCCCCCTAAATGGTTTCCGTTTTGAGCTTTATTGGGAGTGTCAACAACAGTTATGTAAATCTTTGTCCACTTTGATTGTCTATTACTCTTTGAACAAAAAATGGTATGACCCGCTTTTAAATGGTGACAGCTAATTTTTTCCAAAAATCAATCGGGCATAAGTTTGCACAGTTTGCTGACCAGCGTTTAAATGGGCTCTGGAAATTGGACGTTCCAGGAAATTCCTGAGAAGTTTCGGATAATACGTCAAGTGATCGTGAACTAGACCCAGAGAAACAGGTCTGTGGAAAGAATTCGCTCGGGTGCAGATGATGACGGCCAAGTTTCGGACAGAAAAATAACTGGGCGGAAATATGTCTAGCAAGTAATTTGTCTTATTTAAAAGGGGATTAAAAATTTGAGAAAACAAGTTTTTGATTAATTAGGCAGTAGAATTATTCTTCTTATTTATCATTTTACAAGCTTAAAGATTTGTGTAATTATGATATTCAAAAAATTATCTCAATGTTGTTCCATTTTTGTATCTTTTGTTGGAAATTAGTTTTTTTATTACACAATGATTTCTAATGCTTTAAAATGTAGAAAAAATTCTAATAAATTATATTTATGACATTTTTACAAAAGGGTAAACGAGGGTGATATGGTGAACCAAAAAATTGAGCCTCCTAGAACACAATTGTTTATTTGAACAAAATAAAAATACTATTCTTTCATAAAATACATAGGTAACAACTTAACAGTGTCATAACCTCTTACAGACATAACAACAATTTGAAAAAAAAAGTATTTGTTTTTTATCAAATTTTTATTTTTTCTGCTTTTTACCCCAAAGATCACACATTGACTCATATTTTGTACAGTCTTTGTGCAACCAAAGTTGGTATCTAATACATTTCATCCAATCCAGAAGCAGTTCAAAATACTAGAGGCAACGATGTCTAGCTTATGTAGTGTATAAACAGTCTAAAAAGGCAGAACATATCAAAAAATACTTCGGGGACTAGGCTACCTGAAGCAACATCTACAAACGCCTGCACCGTATAAAAATTATTGAGCATCGGAAACAGTTTTGTAAAAATTATTAACGCTTTTTAAAACGGGACTGGTTTTCAATTGGTGCTCACTGCACAAATTATCATAAACAACTGTCATACAGAATTACAGAGACATCTTTCTGCCCGAAAAAGAAATAGAGAATTCACCATTTCACCCGATTCACCATATCACCCTGGTTTACCCTATACTTTTCTAGAACTTGATCTGAACTTGGTTTTGAATATTTATTAATTATTTTTTTTTTGTTTATAATGTGCATTTCGACAAATTACATTAAATTATTATACCCTGATTCTATAAAATTATTAACTAAAATTAGTGCACTAAAAAATCTTATGTCAATAAAGAAAATAATTAATTAATACTCAAAAAAATTAAACAAACTACATACAGAGTGCGCCAAAACTCGCGCCCCCGAAAAATATGAAAAAAAAATCGATCTATAAAAATTTCGAAGTTTTGAGAATTCAAATTTTGCACTTTGACTTTATTTATTTCTATTGGAAAAGGAATTCTCCAAGTTTTTTTGCTACCGGGTATTATAAGAGGAAACAGGGAAGCTGCATCCTAAATTGTAAGTTTGTTTAATGTTATTTGTGGTTTTGATTGGCAAAATTTCTGTACCTTTACTAAAAAATTTTATACCTTTACTAAATAATTATAAAAAAACATATAGAAGATAATCAGTATCATTAAATAGACATAGAAATGTCAAATGTCAAAAAATAAATGTCAACATTTTTTGACAGATAGAATTTTTTAAACATTTTTTTAGTACTGTGGGGGATTACCTAATTACTCCCTTAAAAGGAAGCGCGCGATTTTCGGACAGCCTGTATAAGATCATCACTATCATTAAATAGACAAAAAAATGTCAAATATCAAAAAATATGTCAAAATTTTTTGACAGATAGAATTTTTAAACATGTTTTTTATGTCCCTGGTATCTTACTTGAAATTTATCTCTGGGGCGCGAGTTTTGACACACCATGTATACTTTAAGCATTTATACATAATAGTAGTATCTAAGCTTAAAAAACAAAAAAATAAAGCAAAAGCTTTATTAAGCTATAATTAGACTATCAGACTAACAACCTAAATCAAAATGTTTAAACTGAATAAAAAATAAACATAACTGTGGGAGTACCTACTCTATTATAAAAATCTATAGGTTATTTGTTAAATTCTTGAGTTGTTTTTTATTTATGTTGACCACTTTTCTTTGAATTTTGAAATAAGAAATCTTAGCGAGTTTAAATTTTAATTAATCCAAATAAGAGTTATAAATTTTGGAGCTTTTTTCACAAATTTAGAGCTAATAATCTATATCTCAAATAGAGAAAACGTTCAAGAATTGTGTTTTTTAAGTGTTAAAAGAAATGAGATTTGGTTTGTTTATTTTTAATTCAAAATTAATTAATTTTTGTTTAAAAAAATTGTGGACTAAAAACCATAAAAACTAGGCAAAAATTAAGTTCGTGGGAATCTTTTGACATTTTTTGGCTTTACCACAATTAGGTACTTACTCCGTTTCGCTGATGAGCACGTTTTTGCTCAGTTTTTTCGTCAAAATTCCACATTTCTCCCAAACGTTGATATAGTCATTAATTTCCTCGTCCATTCTCATTACCATAATGATCTTCTCACAGTTTTTCTATCTGCCATCAAACAGTAACATTTATTTCTTTCGGTAATTATTTATTTTGACTTATCAATCAATGCTTGCTCCAACCAAAATGATAAAATATAATAAATGACCAGCATCCCATTTACCGTTGTCTTTTTTTATTTCTCGTATTAAAGAAACGTTTCTCTCTTTTATCTACAAACCCTACATTTTATTTAAAAGGGAAAAAGTGTTGAGCAAGTCAAGCATCACTAAATGCCGTTACTGTGGACGATTTGTCATTGTTTTTCGATTCAGGAATGGAGAGTGAAGGACTCGACACATAGTTGGACTATTAACACAGATTCTAGAAATATTTCGATGAAAAAATGTGGGTAATTGAAAATTCTCGGCCCTTATCACCTCGCTCTGCTTAATATTTGTCAATTCATTTTGTTTATATTTGAATCGCATTTACATAAATTTAGCTGGGTTTTATGTAGACACCTGGTCGTTAAATTCAATATTAATATTTACATCAAACAAATCTAATTATTGTTATTGATGATGATGCATACTCAAGCAGTTTTTTGCACTCTTGTATTTGTTTTGTGATAATCCGCCGAAATACGTTTGAAAATTGCGTTTAATAAACCATGCCCAGTTTCCGTTACTGACACACTATGAGGTAATGAACATAATCAATTATTTCCACAATTCCGTCTCATTGCACTTCAATTAAGTCGGAAGCTCATTTGTGTTTGGAAAAATTCTGCACGATTCAAGGAATTAATAAAGCACGAAGAAATTACTTTGTAACAGATTTTAAATGCGAAAGGCTGGTCGATAAATCACACGAATAAAACAAAATGTCTTACAAAATGTTCCGGTTTTATTGCTTCTGCTTCACTAATAGTGCTTCTAACAATACATGAAACATAAAAGCGAGACAAAGAAGTGGACAGGTGGAGCTTTATTTCAGGAACCGTTTTGCTGAATTTCTCGACGAAACAAAGCCAATTTAGTGTTGAGGTTAGCACGTTTTTACACGTCTCTAAACTATTTTTGATACGTTGACCCTCATTTGAATATGCTGACATTTAACTTTTTAGCATTTTTTGGCGTTAGCCTTTGTGACTCCCGAATTCCCTAAACCAAATGACATCAAACATTTCTTTATTTTAATAAAAAAAATACATTCAAAGTTTTTGTAGGATTTTAAATATACATCGTGAGTTCATGAGCAATGCTTATTTACACAGTAATTTTTTGACAAGATTTTCCATTATTTCAGAACCAATTTACAGTTTTTCTTCAAGCGGTAACTTAACTCCGTATTTTTAGTAATTTTGATAAATTCGGTGGAACGTTCATAACGCGAAATATTTTCTAAACCGAGACTTTAGTCTTTACAAAAAAAAAAAATAACAGATAGAATTTAGAATTTTTTCCATGTTCCTAGTATCTTATCTTACTTGAAATTTTTCTCAGGGCCGCGAGTTCCGACACATCCCGTGTAGGGTCTGAATATACAGGGTGTTCCGTTTTTATTGTTACAAACTTAAACAGGTGATAGAATATTCAATTTTAAGACAAAAGTTTCCTATGAACATGTATCAAAAAATGTTACGTAAGCGAGCTACACCCTCTGCAAGAGATGCGTTTTTAATGGGGTTTTCCCATTATTGCAGAATTGATAAAATTACAAGAGTTGGTACAGCTGATTATTTTTAAACACCTCAACGAATTTAAAGATCAGTTGTTGAAATTTTTAATCACAGGTCTCTTAAACGGTAAAACAAATTTAATTTTTAATTTTTATCCTCTTTATGGTCTGTAAGATAAATTGTAAACTGATTTTACTCAAAAACGGTAAGTTTTATCGAAAAAACAAAAGAGACCACTTTTTTGTGAAAAACTATGAAATTTAGAATTTTGTGGCTGCAAGTGGCAAAAACCAACCGCCAAAATAGTTAGGGTACTTTTTACCAAAAATC